TGCGGCTCCACCCCTGCGCCTACTCCTCCACCCCCTCGCTTTTCTCCTCCCCCCACAGCTCCTCCCCGTTTGCCTGGTGAGTAGTGGTGTGGGTGGACTCCTCGAGAGTGCCTGCCGGGGACATCGGGGTGGGCCAAGGGGAGAGGGTGAGGGAGGTCGGCTAGGTGTGGCTCGTGACGGTAGTGGCCATTTCTAAGAGCTGGCAGAGGAGGGGGAGGTGGGTGAGTGGCGGCGGCCCCGAGGGTGGGGCTCCAGGCCTGCTGGGACGAAGGCGGGCTGTCCCAGTGGCGTGGCCCAGAGACGTGGTTGTGGTTAGGAGGACCCCCGATATCTACTAAAAGCACTCTGTTGCTTTTCTCCTCTGGTAAGAAGTTGCCGATCCCGCTGTCACTGTTGCTGCTGGTGCTGTGGTTCTGCTGGGCGTCATTGTCCGGGTCGTGGAAGGCCCGGGCACGCACCCCCTCTATGTTGTCCCCCATGTCCCGGTAGAGGATGGACACAAACTGGAGGAGAGGTTGAGAACTGGGCGGGAATTCCAGGCAGCCTCCTGTGTCTGGGTCGGGGGTGCACTCAAAGCCAAACCTCCTCGCTACACCAAGGTGGACCTGAGGAACCAGGGAGAGGGTCGGACAATGGAATAGACATTCTAAACCACGTATATCTTTGTATAATGTATACTTTCTCTACTGAAAAAATGCATCGGAAAAAGTTTGAATTGTTGTCATTTTCAGATTAGGTTTTTTGTATTGAATCAATCTTTAACCGTAAAGATTTAATATAAAACATTTCATTTAATCACACTGATTAAAACACTGATCATACCTAATATTTTCCATTTCAATAACATTATTGCTATTAACGTATTAAGGTTTCTTTTAGTCTGCTGAATGAAAATACTTTTATTATTACTATATTATTACATTTAGATTCCAGTATAAGAGGTAATAAAAAATTAAGTATTGGTGTTATTGGTACATTGATGTTGTGACCAAACTACGTTGTTTAATTGACACGAATTACAACTACCAACAAATTATTTCTACTTGAATACCTTGACATGTTGAAACCAGTCATCATTTTAAACAACTAAACCAATAACATTGTATTATAACCCTTTCATGTATTGCACCCATTTCCTAAAAATCTTTTTTTTCTCTTCAACAACATGTCAAATTCTCTATTCACACCTGGTGGGGACAGAGATCTGGGTCCACGATGAACACGTGACAGGAAGTCCTCAAACTGCCCTCTTCATCCCGTCCGTTGCTGAAGTGGCGGTCGTCGTGGTCGTCGGTGGCCTGCATCGTGACTAGTCCAAAGAATCGGCGGTCATCAGGACAACAGGCGCTGAAGGCGAGTTTCTCTGCAGGATAGGTGGCAAGAACCTGACCTCTGTCACTGCAAAGACGCACGCTGTCGTGCATCACCTGGTGGGATTATAGTTCACACATATTCAAATCTGGTACCAGGAAAAATATAGATAATCCCACTCATCAGACATCAGTAAAACATGAAAGTTGTCTATGTTTATAATGCGGAAATCAAGCAATCGCGTCCTGTAATTACTATCTAAATGAGTGTGATTAATCTGTTTATCAGCATTTTATTTAGAAAACAAGTTGTTATCATCATCGTATGTTCCACGAAACATTCGTTCGCACCTTCATAAGAACCAACGAGTGGATCTTTTGCTCGGCCCGGAGGCGCCTCATGCTGCATCTGATGGCCTGCAGGCTGTCGCTCTCTAAGCTCGTTCCTATGGAAGCCAGCTCGATGGAGCCCAGATAGCCAACGATCATGCCCACGTTGAGGATGCCCTCGCTGTGCTCGAGGCCCAAGTCGCCCCCATCGCCCACATCCAGGTCTTGCTCTTGCTGTTGAAGGTGGAGATGACTGAAGTCTGCGTCCAGGAAGACTGAGTCGTCATTCAGAACTTGGGCCATCTCCTGCTCAGAGAGCAGGTTGGGGTTGCTCTGGGAACGGGAGGCGTTGCGGTACGGAGGGAACTCTGGGTTGGACCGCGGACGTGGCTTTGATGATGAGCTGGGTCCGGGCCGGTCCTTGTCTGAGCTGCTGGAGGACTGGCTGGAGTTCTCAAAGATCATGTTAAAAATTCCCCCCGACTGCAGCTCTGCCACGACCTTCTCTGCCCTGTTGATGCCCAGCTGCTTGGAGTCCAGTTTGGGTTTGGACCACCCCCCACGGGCTCCACAGCCTGGCCTGCTGTTATTGTTGTTGTTAACACCATTGCCATAGAAACCATCCAACTCATCGTCACTCGAGCACGAGTCCAGGTAAGACGCCGCCATCGCGTTGCTGCTCTGGTGACGACTTAAAGTTGTGCGTTGGTGGTGGTGGTGCCGCCTGTGACGTTCTCCCTCAGCGATGACCAGCTTCAGGACGCCGGAGCAGCGTCCAATCAGTTTGACCACATCTTCATGCGACGCCTTGGAGACGTTGATGTCATTGACGGACAGAATGTGGTCTCCTGAACGCAGGCCTACATAGTCGGCAGGGCTGCCCTTTAAGACGCAGCTGAGGACGCACGGGCCCTGGCCCGACAGGGTAAAGCCGTACCCAGTTCTCCCTCTCGCCACCTCCACGGCCCGGATCCGACCCGGCTGGACGGAGGCGGGCGCCGGGGGAGGCTGGGGCGGCCCGCTTCCACCGCTCGGGCGTCTTTTTGCCGAGGCATCCACTTGCCTGAACATCGTGCCGGGGAACTTCCTGTTGTCCATAGATTCAGTGAGTTTTAATCAGTCATTACACATCCCGAGGCTCTGCTCAAGCGGGTACGCAGGGGGCCACATCCAACATCTAGTGTCAAACTGCCCTGCTGTCAAGCTGCTACGAAAAGATGAGTAGCGGTTTCAAAATGCAGCAAGGGGGTGAGAGATTTTCCTCAGTTGGCACAGCCTCGCTACTGTAGTATTCCCATCCTGGTGTTAGTCAGTCTCTCCCAATTCACAGGCCGAGTTCCCTGCAGCAACACAGAACAAAGATTAGACACGCTCGCTCCGTCTTTGTGGGAGAATAGAGGCTCGATCCAAAATGTTACCAGGAAATCGTTTGAGTGCCATTAATGGCAATATTGATCATTAATACCGCGTTTTACGTGTGATTATTGAACGAGACACGCGGCCACACCTGTGCAAGGTGGAGTCAGCTCGGTCCAATCAGAGTATGCTTTTTAAACGAGAGGCGTTTTTCGTACCTGCAGACATGCAGGTGAAAGGAGACGGACCCAGCATACAACAGCCAACGTTAACTGGGGTAACTTTTAACTAGTCACTTATTATCCATCGTGAACTGCGGCTTCCGTCCTAGTGAAGCAATTAGTTTTGGGGAAGTATTTTGGGACACATCCCTCAGAAACCCGTAAAGAAGACGTTGACGTTAGCCGTGGTTAGCTGATGCGTTAGCTCGGTTAGCTTGCACATAGCGGTGGAGCTACGCGTTAGCACTAGCTGCTGGTCGCTTTTGAGCGAAGTTAACCACTTGGTATTCAACGCTTAACATTCACACGCGTGCATGCTTAGTCTCTGACTAATTACGAAAGTTTCAAAAAGTTTCTTGCCGTGACTTGCTGCTCAAAAGCGCACCCACCCGTGCTTAAACGGCAGTCCCGCCCCCCGCTTTCCACTCCTTTGGAATGTCGGTCTGTCACTATGGTAACGGCGGTGTACACAGACTTTTACGTCCTGTCATTGGTTTTCCGAGTTGTCAGTCAGACGGGAAAACAGTTATGTGGAGAAATTGACAAAAAGTTAGTTTGAGAAATCACAAATAAAAGTAGGTAGCAGCACGTTCCACAGGTGTCAAAAGCCGATCGTCACAAGATCCGTCGTCTGGCTGCGCTTTTGTAATTGTTGGCGCTGTTATCGGCGGCGCGCGTGCGTAAGTCTTTTACCGTCCCGAGGAAAGCAACGGGCAACAGCTGGCCAATTTAAGGGGGAGTTGCAATGCGGGGATGGCGAAGTAAAAGGTGGATGCGACTCGTTTTTCTAATATCCCGACGGAGGTGTTCGGTCCCGCGGGTTCACGCCGGGAGATCCGAGCAGGACTTACGGGTCCGACGCGCCGATGCCGCTCGAGCAGCTCCCATAGTTCAGTATCCAAGGGTTATTTATTGAGGTAAACCTCAGACGATGGGTAAACAAAAGAAAAAGGCTGCACCATCTGGCGAAGTGGCCTTAAGAGGACTGGAGGAGGAGGAGGGGGAGGTGTGTGTGGATGTTTGGAGTGGGCAGGGGGGGCTTTACAGCACAGATGAAGAAAATACATTTTAAAGTTATTTTAGTTAATTTACAATATGTAGGAAAATATTATCCCATCATAGAACTAGTGGAATAAGTATCTTTTTTGGGGGTGGGTGGGTCCTTGAACTCTTTTAACTTGTAAATTATCAACACAAGTCAGCGTGGAGCAGCCACACCGAGCACTTGGGAAGGAAAACTGCTGCTTTCCTTTACGCTGGACGTCTGCATGCCTGATTGTGAAGAGGACCACATCCACACGCACCTGCAGAATTATTTATCTGGAATAGTTTATCTAGCTTCAAAAGGTTATTAAACGGTGCAATAAAAGTCACGTAAAAGAGCTGGCTGTGCCATCGTGATTTCAGCTCAGCGGAACCATATGGCATCTGTTTGGTAATCCAGCTAATACCTTTTTTAATCATGAATCTCCAACCTCATTGGTGCAGTAAAACAAGAGCAACATATGTTACAGACGGTAAAAGGAAATTACAGCCTGGCTGAGAAAAAGGAAATTGTACAAAATGTAATTACTGGATCATGTCAGGTTAATTCAAGGCTGAAAATATAGTGTACACATTTGTAAAATAATTTGTCGCCGGTCTCCTAAATCTGAGTTGGAGCCAGCTTGTTTCTGACAGAGGAAGAGGAGGCCGCGTAGGACATCGTTTTACGGTTCTGACAGGTCCAAAGTGTCAGTGGTTCACAAAAAACACGCTCACGTCATCGTGGCAGAGAAGAATCCGTTCTCCTGATGGAAATCATTTTATTCACATCACACTTAATGTCTTTAAATAATTTATTAATTTCTACAACAGCTCATATCCAGTGATTATCTCTTGAAAATATTTAAATGAACTGAAATACACAATCTTTATACTTTACAGAATATTAAAAAAAAGTTTGAGAAGGCTTGACGGTCCTGTTGGGGATTCAGACAAGAAACTAGAGATCATAGTTTTTTATATAATACTTCTATTATGACTGTATAAATATATTTTCCTCATTGAACTATATTTCCAGAAAAGGACAAGTTTTTTTTTTTTTAAAGCCAAGCAACAACATACCATTTGAAAGACCGTAGAAATTGCGGCGCATGTAAAATAACTTGGCAGAGAGAAAAATGAAACCGCACTGATTCTCAGCTTTTTCATTAGGCCAAAATCAATAACCATAAAATCTGAGCTGCAGAGGAAAAACAAAGTTAAAGATAAGCATGCCAAATTAGTTGAACATGACTTCCACGCCCATTTCCCCAAACCACAAAGAAATTCTGGGTAATCGCATTATCCGCCCCGCAGGGGTCCCCAGCCAGTGCCCCGCTCTTCTTATTGGAGACCAGAGAATAGGCCCCTAAGTCTGCTTTTGTAAAGTAAGTACTGCAAAAAAAAAAAGGATCAGTCATCCGCAATTTCTTTTCGCGCCACGCAACCCCAAACTGACCTTGAAGACACTGTATATGTTCGAAAAACAGCACTCTCATTCCGGCGCATGTCAAATTTAAATGACAGCTGTAGAGCTGGTCATTTATTGAGCGAATACGTTATTTAAACATGATCAATAGGAATCCAGTCACGTTGCTGTGGAGGGTGGAAAGTGGTGACACATTGAGCACACAAAGTACCGTGGTGATGTTTTTACTTTGCTGCACTGCAGGACTCATTGCATATCTAAGTGCCTATCATCAACATGTGAGGAACTTGAGTTTTCAGGTGCTTTAAGTACTCTGCACAAAGACAATGAGATATTTAGCAGTCTTTAACTGGGACAAAAACAATATTTAAAGCCCAACAAAGACAGAATAGGCCCCCTGTCATGTGGCATCACCAGGCGACAATCCCTCATTGGTCTCTAAGGTTACGAGGGTCCTTTAGATTGTGTCGCAACGCTTCCTCACAGCAGTCATAGCAACCGCACCCACAGAATTACAGTATGAAGGACTATGCAAGAAAATAGCAGTAATGCTAAGCATGCTTTCAGTGTACAGGACATACGTGTATACAGTCTTCATCTAAGGCAAGTGTATGTACAGAGTAACGCCGCCCAGCACGCTCCCAGGCAACACACGGTCTTCAACGAGGTACTTGGCACTCAAAGCTTTCTGCCCACAGATTCTCATTTTGCTGATCATGTATGTGTTAAGACAGACAGAAAGTGCTCTAAATGTCCACGTTAAGATCTCATTTTTAAAGTTTGGATTTTATCATGCACCTTGGCATTTGTACAACTTCAAACTACCATTACTTTTTCTTTTCAAAAGGTACCTTCATTTAAAGACTGCATTTTACATCCAGTCTTATAACAAAAGTCACATTTTACATCCTGAGTATTTAAAAAGTAAAAGAAATGGACAGGTGGAGTCATTCAGGTGTACACGAGCAGCAGGTTTTTTTTTTTTTTTTTAAAGGACGAGACATAAGCAATGTGGTAAAAATCATAAGAAGCAACGTTCACCCCTGCTACTGGTTACAAAAGACGTCGCTGCAATTTTGGTATTTCACTTGCTCGACATTGCCCATCATCTTAAATGTTAAATACACTGTTGGAACTGATAAGAGCCTTTATATTACTCCCAGTGCATACCAGCCTACCTCTTTGTCCATTCACTAGAACATCCAGAAAACAAGTTGGTCTTTCTGCAGTGACAAATCACAACATCCATCCCCATTGGAAGAAAAATGAATAAATAAAAGAACTATGGCTATTAATGGTCATTGTTACACAACAAATATGTACTATTTAACTTGTGTGCGTCAGAGATGGACACAAGTAACTTGTATAAAAAAAAAAAAGGGTCTTCAAAGACACTAATTGACAACATCAAGACGGCGCGTCTGACCCCGCCGTGTGTCAGCCCATCGTCAGTGTCCTAACGACACCATAAGCAATCTTTTACAGAACGCACTGAAAAATAGATGCATTGAAACTTTAAATATAGTAAATACTTTGCATTTAGTTTTTTGTTTTTTATTCCTTCTCTATTTTACTTTACTGACATCACAATACTCAAGTCCTCACAGGAAAATAAACAAATCCAATGTTTGTGTTTGAGCGATGTTATATTTCTTTTTATAGTTTTTTTTAATCAAGGTGCTGGGTAGGAGGAGGTGTTCAAGGTTCTGTCATTCATCTGGACGAATGTTCTGTGGAAGGGAAGGTTTTGCAGCCGGTGTCTTTCAGTAGGTGCACTCTTCTTACATTCCTTTGACGTAAGCCCTGACGCTGACGAGAATTTCAGATCTGCCCTTGATTTTCTACGGAATTCATTATTCTGCCATCAGTAGTTCTACTCATGTGACATCAGCGTAAAGGAGGGAGCGGTGGGAGGCTACAGTAGATCTATTTTAGAACGAAACATTCTGTCGTCCCCCTTCATTGCAACACGAGGGCATGTACAACATGGTCATCTAATTTCCCGGTCTACCACACTGTGCTTCATCCTCGCCCCTCTCTCTCTCTCGCTCTCTCTGTGCCTTTGTGTCCTTCCCCGTTCGTGCCCTCAGAGCGATGTATCCTGGTGGATGGACTGCAGACAGCCCAGCAGCTGGTAATAAGGGCTGCCTGGCGAGGCCACGGTCTCAAAGACAGACTGGAAAGCCCTGCGGTCCAGCTCCTCGTCAATCTGGTGCCGGTAGAAATCCATGGCGACCAGGCAGAACAGGTTGACGTCCACCACCTCGCTGGAGCCCATGCGGCTGATCACGTGCGGCAGCCTGGTTTGAGAGCAGGGAGGGTTAAGGACAACATAGAACCCTTTATCGGTAAGCTGTACAATTGAACTTGCCCCACACGGAGCGGAGACACGACCCAGTCACAGTCCTGCTGATGGCTTTCATGTAAGGATACAGGGCTGATATCCACTGGGAGGTGGAGGCAGAGACGAAGAAACAGGAGAGGCTCCACATGGCCATGGCCACTGGTGTCCTCTGGGTGAAGTTGGACAAGGAGAGCAGCACCCAGTCTCGCACCATAGAAGACTGGCCTGTGGCATGGAGGGTCTGGAACACCTGGAGGTGTGTGCCGAGCAGAGGGAGAGGTGGGAGAAGGAGGACATTGGATACTGGGATTACTACCTAAAAGATTTGATGGGCTACAAATTATGTTATAAAAGCAACATTACCTTACAAATAAATCTAACGCACCATACTATTCATGTGTTGATGTGTATGGATAAATTATGTCAACCTAAGAATCAAGCTGCTGCATATATTTTTCTACTAAAATGTCAATAAAGGGGACGGATCTAAATTTATTTTAAATCCCTGAACAACAACTACGGGAAAGAACTGCATGCTCCCGCTTGTTGTTGTCGTGACAACTCATTGTTTGATTGGAGAACAAAGGCGCTGGCTGGGGCGGTCAAAACAAAAAAGGTACCTAGTAACAACTCCACTGAGACCGGACTTCACTACCGCTCCTTGCAAGAAGCCAACTCTTCATGGCCAAATAAATTGGATTCAACATACCGGACCTTATGAACATGTTTATCTTTTATGGTCTTGTTTGGTTTATAATGCATCATTAACAATTTAGCGATCATTTCCATGTCCTGCTGCTGACCTTGTAGACGACCGCGGCCATAAATTGTGGGTAAGGCTGCTGATTGGACAGAAACTCTCCGATGACCTTGTTCATGACGTCCTGTGGCGGGAAGAAGTCGTCCAGAAACTGGGGCAGGATCCTGGACACCACCCGGGCCTCGCTGGGTAAACCTTTCCGGATCCTGCAGACAGGAAACCCCGAAGAGCAAACAATAATGGTAAACTAAACAAGTGTGGCTATTGTGGTCTAAGAGTATATTATTTTGGATGCCACGATACCAAAGATGAGTGAAAGAATCGAGTGGGTCGTGTCATTTAAAAATCTAAAAAAATAATGACACCATGTGTTGTATCTGTACAACAGAGCTTGTGTGCGTTTACCTGTCAAAGAGCACAGAGACTCTCTCCATGGCAACAATGACGGACTCGCTGTCCGGGGCCTGGGGGTCAGAGTGGGCGGGGCGACTGGCAGGGCTGGCTTTCTCTTTTCCTGAGGAGAAACCAACATGACCGGCTGTGACGCCCACCCACTCTGCTACGGCAGAGCCAGAGCCAACCTGACCTCTAACCCCTGTCACGTCTGAACCCGACGCAAGCACCGCTGAGAGGACGAGAGGGGGGTGGGGGGGGAGGGGTGGGTTGCAGCGGTTGAACCAGTGGGGGAGACGTTAGAGTGGGTACTGATATCACAAAATTCAGATCAGAATTTAGTCAACCTTAGTAAAGAAGATGGGGGAATTCTGGGAGCTAGTTTCAGTAACATTAAGGAGGTAAGTTTTCTTAAAGAGATTTTCAATGCCATGTTTCCTGGTTAAATTATATACAAGATTATCTTCTCCAGTGACCTGAATGTGCAGCAGCTTGCTTTGCCGTGGTGCACATAAAGAGGAACTTAACGAAGTTAAGTTAGAACTCAGTTTGCATTTTCAAGAGCCCTCCTTTACGCAAAGGATTTGCTGGAGACCTGGCAACAAAATAAGGTGTTATTTTGTAAAGTGTTATGTTGTCTGTCAGCACGCAGAGAACACACTAAAGGTTGCTACAGTTAGTACGGGGCGACGTAGGGGTTAGAGGTACGGTATTTCAGAGGCATGTATAGAATTCATGAATCATATTCACAAGCAGTGTTGTTTAATGCTGTCACAGGCCTCATTAGAAAAAAGAAAGATGTGTTAGGCTGTCAAGAGAGATTTAATGGATGTAAATGACTAAGTACATCTAGCTCTAACTGGCAGATAAGATATCAATAACTAATTTATTTTAATGATGGTGTGCACTGTAAGCTGCATGAAACGGTGAGCTCATGAATTAGTAGTGTGTCAGTAGACCAAAAAGTAACTGCAGCCAAATATGATAACGGGACACGTCTACATTTTACTTTACAGACCTTTAGAAAGGAATGAGCGTAGGAGGGAGGAGGGAGACTCATCCTAACTGAAGCCGTTCACATACGCTGGCAGAGCTTCACCTTTGCACCATTACTAAGGGACAATGCCCAAGTGGCGTAAACTGACGATGGACGTAGTCTACTGCTATGTAGAGGGGCCATGCAGGTGAGTAAGCCAACTCGCTTCACCCTATGAGGCGTTTACAGTAGATTGAGTAAGTCCTGATAGCGGTACGGGTCCGTATGCAGTGGATGGAGGCTGAATGCAGGATGCTACGTTGTATTTGTATCAGTCGTGTTAGAGCACTTCTTACCGGTGTACATGCAGGTGAGCATGAGGCCGAGGGCGGCCATGGCTCTGTGTGGGGACGGCATGTTGACTCTGTCCACGCTGAGTTTGACCAGAGCTTCTCCGTCCACGCGCGACAACTGCTCCGACAGCAAGAGGCGCTCCAGGCCGCGCAGCACACAGTGATAGATGACGGAGGGGGTGGAGTCCTCGCTGGCCGACACCATCACGCCACACAGCTGGAAGACAGCAGACGGAGGCGAGAGAGAAGTCAACATTTTTACAAAAGAGGCACATAAATTAATTCATTATCATAAGCGCCATTGTTTATTGGATTGGGACAAATGTTATTTTAGTTCCATTCACACACAACTAATGTTTACCTGTATGATTCCAGCCATAAACTCAGCTCCTACATCCAGAGGGTAGTTCTCCATCATGTAGAAGGCCACGGCACACATCACCAACACATGCTGCTGGTTATGCAAGTTCACACAGCTGCAGCACACAAAGAGCAGATGTACAAGGTGAGGGGAACCAAATTAAAATGAAATGGTAAAGACCGTGGTCAGTTTGTTTGAAATGTGGAGGTCAGCACCTTGTGGCCAAATGCTGCCCTGTTGGTCACAGTCTCACGACAAATCGTGAAAAAAGATGTATAATCTCCACTAACCTTAAACTGGATAAAACCAATTCATTCCAAAGTCCCATACATCACAGACGGGCCACCCACCGTCAATAATAACATTTGCTCCATGATTCACCATCAGCTCATTTAGACTATGAAATGAGGTTGGTGTCTTTAACATGTAAGCATCCAAAAATAAATGTCCTTGCTTTGTGTTTTGCTGTTGATGTTTTTCATGTTTTTCTGTGAAGCACTTTGAATTGCCTTAATGTTGAAATGTGCTATACAAATAAAATGGACTTGTATTTTCTTCTGATAGAATAGAGAGCACTACTCACTGAGCGATCGCCCTGAGGTTGGACAGCAGGTACTCAGAGACGGCGGGGATGAGCTGTTTGGCTGTCTCATCCAGCAGGTCACACTCCAACACATACAGCACTCCATGCAGAGCCCCCATGCGGCTGGGCAGGTGGGTGCTGCGTAGGGTCGTCTCCAACAGGCGACAAACAGGCTCCGCTATTGCTTTGTCCTACAAAAATACATTTGCATTATTAATACACTTAAATCAACAGCTCATGCAGGTTGGTTGAAACCCTTATTAGGTCCTGAAGCGAGATATTGCTTTTATTAAAAAAGGGTCGTCAAGTATGTAATAGAAATTTTAATAACACGCTGGCATTATGGTGATATCTTTATAAACATTGTGTACGTTAGACTGTATTCTAGCGGTTTCAATATCCAATCACAAACACTTTTAACATCAAAGACTGACTCCAAGGACAGTCGTACTCACCATTCCCAGTACTGCAGCTGCCTTGCAGATGGCCGGCACAAGGTATTGATTGAGGATCTCATCCTCCGGAGGATGGAGCTTCTGCAGTTCCATCAGGGTGGAGAACATCATTTCAAACTGGTTCCTCTCTGTGAACAGGTCCGACACCGCCAGCAGCTACAGAGAACGAGAAGAGTGGGAAGATGCAGAGTGGATCATCAAACCCCTTTGCCAAACTAGACACGCTGGTGTGGTATATGCTCTGCCTTCCAGAGTGAGAAACTGGGATCTTTGCTGTCTGTGCTCAAGATTATTTTGTGTTTTAAACAATCCGTTACTGATGAAGCGCGTGCAACGTTGCTCACCGATCGGACCACTTCACTGACGAGTATGGTCGGGGTCTTCCTGTTACTCGGGGAGCCAGGGATTAGCCACTGGCTGTACAGCTCCAGCAGAAACTGGGAACATGAATGAATGTCCACACCTGCACGATGCTTCCTGAAAGCGCCGATGGACAGTAATGAGTCTCCATGGTGCATTCCTGTTTCAGTCAATGTGTTGAGACTAAAAAGTCTTGTTTGACTGACCTTGAATTGATAGGAGACACTGGCGGGGAGATGGGTGCCGGAGTGTCTGCTTCATCCTCTTCATCCTCACCCCATTCTTCCTCTCTCAGTGGGGTGATGTTGTTACCTAACCACACAGAGTGGATGGAGACCTGGGAAATGAAAAAACACATTTTGAACACATGTTCCTCAACTTAATTGTTTCCACCCGTTCTCCTTTGTTGCAGCCCTCACCTGTCCCAGTTTGTAGTCCATGTTGCCCAACTCCCTCTCCGTGTTAATCTGAAGCAGCAGCTTCTCGTGGCTGATCAGCGTGCCAGCTGAAAAACATATGAACGGAATTTAACCCAAAAGGATATTTTTGTTTGAGAAGATTAAAAAAAAGTAAATCAAGTAAAAATATATGAACACTAGTGTGGAGTGAGTGCAGCAGCTGTCTAGGTGAAAGTTTTGAGTTACCAGCGGATGCTGCCGATAGGGAGGGCACAGGGTCCCAGGCATGGTACGGGTGGTGCGTATGAACATTGTCTCGCTTTGACACAAGAGCCTGAATCTCTCTCTCCACCTCGCCTCTGATCATTGCAAGTTTCCTTCCAAACCTGGAAACACTCAAAAAATAAATAAATAAACAAACAAATAAAAAGACACTGCAGGTCTTTTCTGAGTACTTTAATAAAATAAATGGAAAACAGATGCGTAGCTACCGTGTTTCCAGCGCTTTGAGGCTCTTGTTGCGTGGCTGCTGTTCCAGACAGCTGACTGCAGGATTGCCAGCAGTAGGCAGGGTCATGGCACTCAGCACCAGGCTGGTGATGGCCTGCACTGCTAAAACATTCAACTGTGTACGCTCCAAGTCCTCCTAAAGACACAAAGGAAGAACGAAACAAAGAGTCAGATGGGAAAGGCAGAGAGACGGGACGGACAGTTACCCAATGTTCATTGTAATCTGAAAGATGTCCAGGTTCTTCGTTGCTCTCACGCTAAATTCATACAAATGCTTGTGTGTTTTTATTAAACTAAGCAACCGCGCAAATGCTTTTACAAGAGCGACAAGTTCTGTAGTCTCAATCTCATAAACAAACTAGCAGCACATTCACGTGAACATTATTTGTGTGGGTGTACCTCCTGCTGTGTCTCCTCCTCCTGGTCCATAGTGATGGGTTGGGTGACCAGCACCCCCAGTAGTGTGGCCCAGGTCTCCTCAAACTGAGTCCTGCTGCTCCAGCCTAAACATTGAGCAACCAAACCAGAAAATACAGTAATGCAACAGTCATAAGCAGACCATGATCTGATGTACTTGAGGCAGATACTGCACCTCTGAAATGATAGTTATCAATACTAGGCAACTATGATGAGATAAACCATGAGACAATAAAGGGAAAGCCTTTTACATGACTGTCTGTGGGTTTGTGTACCTAGTGTGTTGATGCGGTAGAGGAACTCTCGGAAGACATCCTTTTCCTGCAGGAAGTCAACAGGGATCTCAGGCAGCGTTGTGCCGTATTCTCCTCCTGGCTGAGGGGACCAGCCCAGTTTCCAAACCTAAAAAGTCACACACATTGTTTTAATAGATCAATACATATACACACTGAAGGCCTAATATTTGTCACACACACTGACCAGTGGAGGTACTCGGGTGTAGCAGTTGACTAGAGGCAGTCGAGACAGACTGATGACAATGTTGCGCAAGGTTGGCGTGAGAAAAGCAGGGAAAACACTGTTTCTATGGTGACCCAGGGCAAGGATGCTCTGCAGGCCTTCCACCAGCTCCGCCATAATATCACATGCTTTCCGCTCCAACGTGTCTGCAACATACAGGGGAAAACTTATTTCATGGAAAAATTGACGCAGACCAAATGACACAGTTACACATGAAACAGCGTTGCTGCGCAAAGCACATGCATACCAAATAACAACATCAACCAGGCAAAGGTTAAGGAAACTTTTAAGTGCTCACTGTCAGCATGTGCAGAGTCAACTTCATCTGCTTCAGCATCGCTCTCTGCCTTCGTCTTTTTCTTCTCTGGATACAGGAGCTGGTCGCCAGGACTGACAGCCACTTGGGAGGACAAAGAAAAACATTGTAACCAGCATTGAAAAGACAAGCAGACATTCTAATAGTAAGGGATAGAAATCCAAAATACTTTTTTCCTCTTAACTGTACTTTGTTAAGACTCTTTATCAATCTAGACTGTTTTGGTGTGCGTTGCGACACATGTTGACTTTAATCAAGACACGACCTCAATCGTATTGAATGATATTTCTAACACTCAGCAATGAACACCAAGACAATCTGGATTGCTAAGTAGCAATGCAGGTAAAAAGCAAAAAAAAAAAAAAAACTTGATTTTGGGGTAAACAGACCCTTTAAACACTAAAATCATAGAAGATAAACCAGCACGTCTCAGTGGTGTCCTCACCTGCAACGATGATGAGGTGTAGGCAGTAGATGAGGGAGCAGGTGTGTGTGGCGTACTCCGGGGTGGAGAGTTTGTTCCAGACGCAGGGCTGCTGCAGGGCCAGACACAGACAGGACAGAGCCCACTGCAGGTCCACACTCAGGGGCAACTGGTTCTGCAGGAGGCGCCACGCTACAACCTGGGCGAGCAGAGAGAAATACAAGGTGAATCGATCCCATCTGACATCCAATCACAAACATCCAGCTGAGAAATATCAAATTGTACATTAAGCCAAAAACACATACTTCAAGTTTGATAAATTTGAGATATTTTGTATCATACACACAGTCATTTTTAAAAGGGATTTTTGCAAAAATGTCATGTCCATTATACGTTTATATGCAAAATACAATAAAAAAAAAATATATGTATGATGTGTTCTTTTACCTCGGCAGCAGTGCAGGTGAAAGTAGTGATAAGATGTTCCTTGTCAAAGGGGATATGAAGTGAGGAAGGCAGCTGGCTCACACTAAGCAGGTACTGCGACAGCGCTCTGCACAGCGACAAAACCCCGGGGTAGAAACCCGGCTCATCTGAAAGACAGCAGAACATATTTAAAAAAGCAGATGTTAAGGGAAATTCACAATACAACCACAAAGCTTGAAGCAACAAACTCCAACTCAACTAAAGTCAAGTTTCTATTTTCAGGAGATGGCTAAATTCTACAGTAGACGAATATACATAGCATTGGATTATGCAATCTCTCCTCTCACCGTACACAGCAGCTAGTTGGTTCCAGTAGGGCTGTGACTGAGCGGGCGGAAGGAAGGACTGGTGGGGCACAGGAAGTGACCCTGTGACCCCTGCTAGCCGCTCTAGGGTCACCTGCAGAGCTGTCTCCAACAAGAGCGCCCCCTGACCTCGTGCTAACCGCTGCATACCCATACTGAGACATGGACACAGCAGGCTTAGGTTGAATTCCTGAGGGGGGAAGCAATGTTTCAATGAATCGAGATAATGATATTTATCTAGAAGTGGGATTGTGGCACTGCAGTCTGTCACCTTGCAGCTCATGATATCCAGGAGGTCGGTGGGAGGAAGTTTGGTGAGGAGTTCTGTCATCTCCAACAGGGAAACATCTCCACGGAAACAACACTGAGACTTCACCAGAGCCACGTACCACTCCTGAAAACAAAATCATGTACAGAAAAAACGTATACCTCCTATTTCTTTCTTTTGCTGGATCTATGTGCACAGTAAAAAACAATTAAAAAAATAAATGCGTACCTTATCTGCAGAGACCAGCTCGGGGGCAGGTGGGGGATCCCCATCCAAGGGGTGGGACGTCACAGGAGGTGTGGGGCTGCTGGTGTCGGCAACAGTGGCTCTGAACCTGTCCAGCAGGGAGTAAAACCTCTGATGCCTGCGTTAACAGAGATGGAAAAGGTTATTTTTGTTCAACATAAATCTGCTCTGTGATACATAACGTCTATTCTGGAAGATACTTGGCACCCTTATTAGTCCAGTGACGGCAGATGTTACATTACTTTGGTCTGTACACCACTTGGTACTTACAACCCACATACAATGGAAGGCGACTATACATGCAGTATTTGGGGAATCCAAGGGACAGAATTTGCCTCACAGTAGCATGTACATGGTTGTAAATACACTTATGATTTGGTTTGAGCAGATGAGTAATGCAATGTTAAAATCAAGTTTGACTTGCATGTCTTCTTTTTTAGTCACATTAACTGGCGGGTATTTTGATAACTAATAACTGATAACTGTAAAGTTATAAACTATTCCTCAAATTGGCTGCAATACAGAAGATCTCTACCTCTGAGCCAGGCCACTGGTCTGGAGGTATTCCTGGATCCTGTCCAGTTCCTCCACAGGAAGCTGAGCTACACTGTTCTGCAGGAGGGAGGGACACAACAGCACATGATCACTTTAACAGACGACTGACTGACTGGGTCTGCAGACGTCTACTTCATAACAACACAAGGGATTGCTTGTTGTGAAAAAACAAGGTCACAGAAAGACTGGAAGCCATGATCTATCAATAGAGTATAAAACTTATCGGGCTGTCACAGTAACTACTTTGTTTATTTCACCAAAATGAATTGCGATATTATTGCAGACTATTTCATGCTAGTGATTACATATTGACAATCTGAAAATATAAAAGCACAATAATGCAAGTACACGCTTAGAAAGTTTAGAATTGGAATGTGAAAAAAAGAAATAGATAAAAAAATATATATATGAATAATACACCTTTAACAAAAAAAATAAAACAAAAAAAAAGATACACGGTCCGGAGGAAGCGACAGTAGTTCAGGTTGAAAGACTGGGTGGGACAGTTTTGTGTTTTAGGAGAAATTGAGTTACTTGTGTTGCTTTTTTTGTTGCCACTGTTTTTAAACAAAGTGGACATACGGGCTCATTCGTGTCTATTGGCTCTCCTCTTTCATTCGGCTTACAGCCAACATGTTCCGGAGATTGCAGGTTTGAAACAAAGTCCATTTAGACTTGTTTATCCTAACTAGCTCGGCCAGTCAATATATTGATTTTCACGATGGGCCTAATAACGTATTGCTTTAACTTTGAAACACAATTATAATGAGAAACCTGTTCGATTCCAACAGCAGTTTAGGAAAAAAAACTACAATAAACTCAACCAAAATAGACTTGAAGGGTAAAAGAAATGCAGTCAGAGTCAGATGAGCATCTTACTGAGTCAATGTGAATTTAAACATTGAATAAAACAAAAGGAAAGCAGTCTAAAACGCTTTAAGTGGGGATTTTCCATAATAGGCTCGCAATGATAAAATACAGTTCATCAAATGTTGAGGTCAAAGTCCCCTATTGCAAGAAACGCAAACTAATCCATAAGCTGTACCTGTAGTGTCTCAGCCAGCAGCATCTCCACTCTGCGGCACGCCAGTGTGTCCACCATGCGAGCCAGAACCCTGAAGGGTGTACCGAGCAGCTTGTCCACATAGAGCATCAGCAGGGAGCCAGACTGACTCAGGTGGATGCCTTCCAAACACTGCAGAGTCTTCTTCAACATGGTAGGCTGCAAAGGGGTGAGAGGAGTCAGTTAAAAGGGGGAAAAAAAGGTGGATGAACTGTAAAAAAAACAAAAACCTTTACGACCAAATCAAGAGGTGAAATGGCCACAAAAGGAGAGATGTAGAAGAAAAGAAGAAAAAATAACATTTTCAGTAGTGAGAGGTACTGGGAAAACAGAAGTTAAAGGGTGAAATCTCACTGTGTTGAGGTTGTCACAGCGAGACTGGATGGCTTGGATGAAGAGGCCGCTGGCAGCGGAGTTGCGGTGCACAGCGCTGATGAAGTCCTGCACTGGAGGCTCATGGGAAAGGCTGATGAGGTCACGCACGTGGTTGACAATCAGCCAGGTCAGATGCTCCGAGTCATGCAGGTTCTGACACTGTTGTAGTGGGAAAAATCAAACTGACGTGTCAACCAAAAACAAAGGTCTATGTAATCAACACATGTTTGACGATTGTTGTCTATTTATGACTCTGAAAACTTCAGATTCTCACCACATAGTCACAGAAGAGGATGAGGGCTCCCCTGCGTACAATCTCTCGGTTCACCATAGCTAAGCGCTCCTCGGGCTTATCATCCTCGCCGTCCCCTGAGGAGTGAGGGCTCAGCAGCTTTGTGCACGACAGGCTGTGTCCCCTGAGAGCGAAGAATGAAGAAAGGGCAGTTTGTTACGAGATGCATTGCATTAAGACCTCGAGTGGCAATAAACGTCGCTGCGGTGCTCAGAATCGTCTGTTCCTACCTGGGAGTCTGGTGCACCTCGGTCCACCAGGAGTAGTTGGTGTAGTCGATGATGAGGAGGACCTGGCACCAAAGTAGCACCAGAGAGGGGTGAGTGGTGATCAAGCACTGCACCAAGCTGTTCAGGCCCTCTAAGGGGTAAAACAGAGCGGCTTCGGTGCCAGTCGGTCCAACTGCACTTCCACCCTCGCCCTTTAGGAGACGGCTGGCTGCAGCTGTGATTCTGCGGAACATTCCTGAAAGCGGAAAAAGGGAAAACGTTAAGAGCGAATGGCTCAGGTAAAGACTAGTATAAAAATAACAGCATGCAACCGATTTGGAATGTAATGAAAGGTCTGAAACTCACCACTTTTGAAGACATGTATGAGACACATGAGCAGTGTGCCCAGCTGCTGGCAGTAGAAGGTGTGTTGCTGCTCTGTAATATCAACTTTAACCTGTCTGGAGGAAATGTCATCCAGCAACACTCCTACTAGCTGGAGAAGGAACCTTAGTAGAAGGAAAAGGAGAAGTGAGAAGGTGGGTGGAAACGGACAGGTGAAAGCAACGTAGTGCGTGGAATAAAAACAGGGAAAAGGACCGCTCACCTGGCAAAGGTGTCCTCGGGTGGGGCCCTTTGTGCCTCACCAAAAGGTTCCTGGTTGAGGAGCGTGTCGGCAGCAGGTGGGTCACTCGGGGAAAAGCTCGGCTGATGCAGGCGACGGATTGTGTGGCAGGAGAGGAGATGCGGGCTGAGAGAGAGTTCATGGACCCGCGACAGGACAATGTCCTCAGTGGACTGGGAGACGAGGACCCGGAGCACCGCCAGGATACCGGACACCCACAGCTGGACTGTAGACACGGACGCCTGGAGGAGCAGACGTTTGGGTTCAAGTCAAACATATATGTTTGGCAATTACTTGAGGCCTTTTGGAGGATTTTATATGAGGTAATTATACGTAGTCGGTGTCATCTCCATACTAGGTGGCAGTCAGCAAACCCCCCAGTTTGGAGAAACAGAAGTATCAGAAAGGGATCAAAGTTGTTGTGGACAGGAGCAGCAGCTAAACAAAAAATAAAAACCCACCTAAAATATATATTTCAGTTCAACTGTGACCTGCATTTGTAATATTTCCACCGGTTTACATCCTTTTCTGGGAAACAATGACACAAACTAATCAATCAAAACAGCAACAATCGTGTTCTGCATGGTAGAATTACTAGAGGGGATGGATAAAAATGACTTCAGTCCACGTACTCCTGTGTCTACTTTAGGTAATAAACTGACTGAGGATAAGTACTATATACCACTTCAAAGATCTGAAGTATCCCTTTAAGTGGATTAGGTCTTCATGCATGTTCAGGTGTGAAATGGGCAGTCTCACCATGGTTACCGGCGTGGTGAACATACTCTTGAGCAGCATGTCTACAGGTCTGAGGGAGGAGGGCGCTACAGTTTCAAACAGAGTGTTCAACACTCCCAACGCTTCCGGAGAGTCCAGGTGCATCTGTGAGCACAAGATACAAATATATTTACTCAATTCAAGCTTTACTTTATACACACAGGTTAAAAAAAAATAAATAAAAACAACGAAAGTTAGGAATCAATGCAACACGAGGCCACCAACGCAGAGGTATAACCAAAACAACAAAAACAATTTCCCGACACACAATGAAATGTGGAAATATAACTTGTACTTGTCATTCTTAGGATTTTTAACTAAAATCTAATTATTGAAGACCAGACATTCTCTGCACATTCCATATATGTTGTCGTCCTCCACGATCTTCCAGTACAAATAGCTCAATCTCAACTCCCAGGTAAAAGAGCATTTTCCTACCTGCTGCTTGGCAATCATGGGAAGTATGACGTCAGCGATCTGTCGGGACAACCTCTTCCACTTGTCCTCATTCTCTTTGTGACACTGCTGCAGAACGAGGATGAACATCTCCAACACCTACATGGAGAAGCAGGAGTCAGGGTGAGAAAACCTTTCCTTGATGCTTTGTGACGTCAGCGCACCGTGTCTGTCGGGATCCATCGGGGAGAGTACCTGGTGGTGTTGCACAAGTCTGAGCAGCATGGAGACCACCACTTCTTTCTGCGTGTCGAGCTCTTTGCCTGCATCCGCTTTGTTTGACCCCCTCAAAACAAACAGATCATGGACGATCGGCTGCAAAGCTGGGATGGCTGTGAAGGAAGGAGGAAAATCTAATCCAACTACTTCCGACTCAATATCCATGGCTGTGTTCACGATTCTGTTCATGGTGATTATGAGAAGCATAAACATTTCTGTCACCCAGCAACAGCAAGGCTGTGCTTTTATGATTATGGTTCAGGAATGTAACAAGGGTAGAAAAACTTCTACCCTACCCTACTCTAGAATTTAATAATGAAATGATTATAAGTGGCGGGCAACCTGTAGTTCCTCTTACCGTGTGTGACAGCTTTCCTTCCGCTCGCCATGATGCCGTCACACAGCTGGATGATTTTGGGGATGCTAATTATCTGCTTGGAGTGGTAACGCTCATAAGACAGCAGCACCAGGAAGAAAAAGATGTTGGGAATGATGGCCTCCGAGTCTCTGTGGAAGAACACAGATTATTTTAGGTCACAAGACAGCAATAGAATATTTGAGCTGATCTACAATTATGTGGAAGCCAGATTTAACCACTTATGTAACACATAGAAGAACAACATCTAGAGAAAAGCCCGTTCACCCAAGTGGGTCCTGAAAATGCCACATTGCTTTTTTGGGAGTCACAAAGAAAATTACCTGAACTGTCCCACTTCAATGTATTCAAACTGCTTCAGGACAAAACCAATGAAGACCTGAAACAGAAAATGTATTTCACGAGTGAGCAAGATGAACAAATGCAAAAGCATTAGTGTGTGTTTTTTGTTTTGTTTTACCTGATCCGAGTCAAGCAGGCAGTAGTTGACTCTGAGCTGCACAAGTTGGGCAAGCAGGTCCAGTACTTGCCTCTGCAGGGCCACGGAGGTGCTGGTAGTGTACTGCTTCAAAGCTTTAATCACCAGTGGCTCAAACAGACGAATGTGGTTGTGGATGGCATTCTGAAAAAGTGGAGGGCAGTGTTTTCAGAACAATAGCACTAAACCCAAGCAGACAAGCAATACAAAGAATTACCTTAACTTATAGTTTACCTTGTCTCCTCTGTTTCGGGTTGCATTTGCAATGTTGGACCGCAGCTGGTTTGAAGCCTTTTGCATCACATCAAACCACCTAGAAGAGAAACAGGAAGGCAGGTTGCTCTAATTAGCTCATGTCTGTGTATTCATGTGGAATCAACGTCTTTCATGCTCCTGTGTCGACTCTGCGTGTTGCTACAACTCACCCAGAGGTGTCCTGCTCCTGTTCAGCCTGCACCATGTTACGGAGACTAGCGTCGGCCAGAGCCTGAGTGAAGTGCGTGTACGGTGCCATGAAGCAGTAGTGATAGAGGCCCGGCCGCAGGCTGGACGAGCCGAGACGCAGAGCCTTGCCCTGAGAGCGGCTGGGTCCACTGGAGATGCCCTCGCACTGGGAGGCCAGGTTAGTGCCAAAAAGGGTCTTTAACAGCTACACCAAAGAGAGGTATCAAGTTAATAAAGAACAGCAGTCACCCTGTGAAGAGTGTTTGTTGTTATAAAGTTATAACTATGACTCAATCTCAACACACGTCAAGTAGCTCCGACCGCTGGGCGCTCCTCGATAACGTGTAATAATAATACCTGAACAATTTCCAAGTGTCCGATATTCCCCATTAACACCTTTGCTGCTTATTGTTTGAACGGACATTCTTCTTTTCTCTGAGACGTTAGGGGAACGTTTACTTACTTTACTTATACATCTAAATTCATTCAAATCACTATAATGCAATGTGGGGTGTCTTAAAACACTCAGGCAAGAAGACGGCCAGTGAGTGTGTGAGTGTGTATTAAGATGTATGAAACCATCGCACAGGGAAACCGATGCCTTTACAGTTCCTGTCGGCAGGATCCAGCCTCACTCTGTGTGGAGTCACATCGGTTGCAGCACACTGCTCAGTGTTGCAACCATAAAGACTGCCACACACGCATGCAGTGAATGTTATAACACAATAAAATCAAGATCTACCACCACAGACATAAACAATGCGGATTGCTGACCTGTTGTACACAAACAGTAGCCATGGTTGGTTCTCTGCAAAAACAGGACTTCAGGTAGCCCAAGATTTCCTCCACACACTGACAGAAAATAGAAGAACATTTCATTGAATACATTCATCCAGTCAATATAAAGAAAATGTTTATAAGAATGAAATAAATAAACTTAATTTGCTTTCATCTAGTGCAGTCATCAGGCTTCCTTTTTTACGGCTCCCACCAATATAAACATTGAAACAATGTTTGATTTTTCTATAGAGATGTATTTACCTTACTGATGTCATGTAGTGTGGCCAGCTCCAGGAGCTGAGACAGAACATCTAGCGTGGCACGCAGGAATCCTCCAAACTTCTCCTGACTACTGTGGAGGTCCAGCGTCACCTGGGATAAAAAACTAAACATAATTAACACCCCCACTAACCACCATTAAGACTGTAAAAACACTTTTCTGCCGCGACAGGAAGTCGTGTTCTGACCTTGAAGTTGGCGTGTGTAGCTTTGAGGACATCATAGAGCTTGAGGTAGGGCGGCAGGTGATAGAAGTTGCCGAAGGTGGTAGATTTGTTAACGGCGGTTAACCCGGTGCCGTCTGCTGGCCTGCCTGCTCACAAAAGGCAAAATGTCAAACTGTTTGACACGTCACGGAGACTCTTAACCTATAGATGGTCAGGTGTGCATGTACCTGTGTTGACCTCATTACTTTTCTTTGGACTCATTGGAGCAGCACTGGGCTCAGCAGCATCCTTCTCCTTGCCTTTTCTGCGGATGGGACTGAGGGAGGGGGTATTGCTCAGGGAGGGGAGAGTGGCCTAAAAAAAAAAAATAACAGTAGGAAACCGTACAGAAGGTGAACTTTGGATGGCCTTCCTGTGGATACAACTTAGTCATAAGCAGAGACATGAAAGTAAATGCAAATACAATCCCCTTGACCCTGAGCACACAAAAACAAAAGACTGAGCAGTTACCTTGACCGCTGGTCCCGGTGGTATGTCATCCAGCACATGGGCACAGATGTTGAGGATCTTTAATAGGTGAGAAAAGAGCTGCTCCACAATGGCCACCAGGGAGCGCTCTGACAGACCAGCCCATGGCTCCTCCATCTTATTTGGGTTCGGATTGGCGCTACCGCCGCTGCCTTCGTCCTCGCCCGCCCAGGGGTTGCGCATGCATTTTGGGGCCACCGCTGGGAACAGGATTAAAGGACGGGTCAATCGAAAATAAGATACAGAGATTGTCTCAAAGTTCTGTTTGAGTGAATGGTGGCGTGTTTGCAAACACAACAGAATTTCAAGCTACAGGTCAAATCTGAATGCATATATTACCCACCAGCAAGAAGATTGCCACAAAGCAAAAGTGCATCCTGGTGAGAAGAAAGATCCAGTGGAAACCAGGCGGAGGAGAGCAAAGAGAGGACCATGTTGGCCATTCCTACTGTCAGAGTCCTTCGCTCATTGTCCGGTGCAGATGAAGAGGTGGTTGAAGAGGCTGGAGAACTGCTAGGCTGAGACACACTGAAGAGCGGGACGGGAAATAATCAGTTGTAAACAATACATTTTTAAAAAATGGGAAAGAGGAGGTTATTTTTATGGCAGAATATACAACAACCACACAAACCTAAGGGCCCTGCCTCTGCTGCGGCTGAGACTAGAGCGTGAAGAGAAGCTGCTACTGGAGCTAACGTAGCCACAGTGCCAGCCCGTGCTCCAAGTGCACACTGGGAAATTTGTAGCCAGGAGGCACAAGGCTTCACAGCAGCCAAACTGCAGCGAAATGGACAAATTCATTGTTTTTTAGATGTTATCATAAACACACACAGCAGAAACTAAAAAAAAGTATTACTGAAAGCTTACAGTCAGCGCTCGGGAGGAAGAGGAGGTGAAAGCATGGGAGACGGCCGTAACCACTCTGGACAAATTATTCTCGATTGTGACATCGGACACATTGTTAGATAAGTTGTAGCCTCGGTACGTCCTGGCAGACGGACAAAAAGAGCAGAGTTCGTCATACAGTGTGTTCTGTGATTTGGTCATGAAATCTGTCACTGAACCATTTGGACTTTAAGAATTAATTTCTTAACAACAGAATGTCATTGAGCGTCTAGACTCAATGCCATTCTAGACTGGGTGTCCGTGTACCTGGTGATTGTGCTAACTGTGAACTGGGACGGGGGTTGTGTCTCATGCATCAGCAGCTGCAGGTAGACTGAACTCTGGTCCCGGGCAATAGCCACCACAGGGTCCACTTGACCCTGGTCACAGTCATAGAACAACCTGGAGACCAGCCTGGTAGAGAGAGAGGGGCAAATGAAGAGGGAGACATTAGAAAGATACTTTCAGGGCAGAGGGGAACATTTTTAATACATTGTACTTTAAAGTGACCACTGTGTACAAACAGTGCTGAGCCCAAAATACAGTAGATGAGAGGAGATAGCAGACCTGCTGACAGCGGAGGCAGCCACGTGGCGGACTCTGGGGTCATCATCCCCCAACAGACGAATGACCACATCATTCAGCACTCTGTCCTGAAGCCGCAGCCGCTACAAAGAGAAAGATTCGGAATTAGGATCAGCTACTTTTAGGATACGCACTGCACCTGTTTGTGACTAACAATGACTTGCAGTTCTACTTGAAAACTGCAGGAAAGAGAGTAAGGAGAGTTTACCCCAGTGTAGTGATGATCCCCTTTGTGCAAAGTATCCGTTTTCCTCTCCAGGAAATTAATTAACCTAAAACCAGAGTGAATATCTTAAGACAGTGGTCACAGGTTAATAGTTTTGTTTCATTGTCACTGAAAGACACGCTACCAACAGACATTGTTAACGTAATCTAAAGGGATTTTACCGAAAATCTAGCTCGGCTAGGGTCTCCAAAAGCTCTGTGCGAACGAGCCAATAGGAGGAGTCCCTCAGAGGGAGAAGGTTTATCACCAACTGCAGGCCGAGCTCACTCAGAGTGCTGCTGCACACAGTCATGATGCAATGCTGCAACATACATGAAAAAAAGGTCAGCCTCAAACACACACGTGCATGCAGAGCACAGACTAGTGGCCCACTCACGCCGGTACGCTTACCCTCACTGCAGAGCAAGCCATCTTGCATGTGACTGAGGATTCGTCCCTTAGAGTTCTCTGGAGCAAAGGTACCAAGTCCACCAGGGACAGAGGGTTACCTGGAGGAAAAATATGCCAGACAGATTACATTGCAAAATAGGAATAAAATAGCAACACAAGTAAAGTAAAAAAAACATAATAGAAAAATATCCTCCCCTTCCAAACACACCAACCTGTTGCACTCTGCACGCTGGCCAGCCAGGTGTGTATGTTGTAACGTGTTTTGGTGAGAGCAGCTTGTATAATGGCGGCACAGAGGATGGCTGTGGCCCCTCTGATCTGGGGGTCCCCGTGGTCAATGAGGCCCAGCATGTCACTGATATACTGCTGCTCTGCAAGGGGACACAGATAAAGAGAGCAGGGTCAAAAGACCTGAAGGAAAAAACATTGAACAACACCTTGTGCGACTCCCATGGTAAAAACATCCACTGGAGCCTTCCAGTTGGCCCCTGACCTTCAACTGGAACGCCGTCCAGCGGCTCCAAGTAGAGGGAATTAAAGAAGGCTTCAGGGTGCAGCGCCGCTGCTGCCCCGACACAGCTGACCGCAAGAGCCTTCACGCTCACTCGCACCTCCTTATCCGGTGTCAGACCTGGAAAAACATCACAGCAAAGGCTTATATACAAACACACACTGATGCAAACCAAAGCAAGAACAGTCAGATAAATAACTGACAACGTTGTGTTGAGGTTGTGTCTCTAAATGTGGTGATAGTTTATAATAAAGTTATTACAGCAGTGTCAATAGAACACTCCATTAGCCAACCAAAAAGATATTTTGAATAAACCTAAAAGCTGCAGACAATTATTAAAGCTTGTAGACATGTTTTGCATTGAGATCATTCAAGTAAGCTGGCATCAGCTAATTGAAAAAATATTTTTCTTCTTTGTAAACATGAATTCATTTCTCAGCTATTTTGCACAGAAACATCATGTCAGACAGATCTGGAGTCAGTAATTCGGTTTCTTCTAGAGATTTTACCAAGATGTTGGCACTCTTGAATATCCGATCCATATTGTGTATGTGTATTGTGTAAGAATTGTTTTTGAGTTCTCACCTTTTCCCTAGAAATGGATTCTCCACATGAATCACTCAAACAAGCAACAAGCTTTTAGAAAAACTTTTTACTACTGAACCTCCTTATTGTTTCATTGTCTTCTCCTCATTGAAAGATCTCCATATTCATTTGTATCAATAATATATGTTCTGTATGTCTTTGCAAATGTTGACCTGAAATCTGGATTGGATTCTGAGCAGTTTGGATAACACTCACCATTCTTTTGTCCCGTCAGCAAGAAGGAAGCAGCAAGAAGCCGAACGCAGTGCACCAGTGGCTCCACCCCCTGGTCAGTATAATGTCCAATTGGACCCTTTATCCGTGATGGCTAAAAAAAAAAACAGGCAGTTAAGAGTTGGAGACAGTCGTGTTATTATTTTGCATTCTTTTCTTTCTGGTGAGAAAAAACAGATGCGGATGTTTTAGTGCGTTTACCTTATTGTCAGGTTCCGGTTCAGCAGGTTCGTCCTTTGGTATCAAGCGGTCCACGCTGCTGTCTGAACCCTGCCGGTTGTGACCTCGGCCATCAAAGAGATGCGGTTTGCTCAGCGCTGCATACAAGCACATATAAAAACAAGAATGCTTTATAGCAGAACCGGTTTTCGGTCTAATACCCAGGTTTGGGTGTTGTTCTGTGTGTACACAAACTCACCCAGGGCCGACTGCATGATTGGGTCCGATGGTTCTTCTTGAGAGGAAGGTGCCGCTCCTTCATCTTCTTCATCCTGCAATGTCCCAATCTGCATCCCGGAGTACTGGCTCTCACTGCCATCCAGCACCTTAAGCAGAGACAGACACAACAAACACCTCCAGTCAGGAACTAAACCTGCATGACAGAAACAATATTTGATTGCAAATTGGAAACGCTACTGCAAGCAAACGATTCCTACTTCATTTTGTCTCTTTCATTACGAGTTGATTTGCTGGACTGACGACAGAGACACACAGCACAACAAACAAAAACCGCAAGTCAAACAGATGTCCTTTATTTAAACCCTACTGGATCATGCTTGGGTCGCTTCATTTACAGCTAATCAACTACACACAGGAAAAACCACAGGCTTGAGCATTGTGGTTGCCACGGTCCACCAGGGGAAGAGCAAGCTTTTGAACCAAACAATTCAACCATGGAATAAATTACTCAAGTATCATTACATTTTTAGAGTCAACTCATTTTTCCTAGCGAGATGTGTAAAGTAATCTTATTGCAAAAATGTATACAAATATTTCCAGGTTGGGCCCCCACCGGAACAAAAGCCTGTCACAGTCTCTTGGAGGAAACAAAACAAGGTAGAGGGAACCAAATATGAAGGAGAACAATTCAAAAGGAAGAGACTGCCTTCGTGCTTCTACTTTGAACTCTTCACTGCAAGCCATCAAGATGGGATGTTGGGGTTGCTTGTTTTCACACAGGTCTTTCAAAGCATCTCATTTTTTGGGGGTCACTGGAAACAAGAAGTAGGGGAAGAAGGGGCTTGACATATAGCCAGTGGAAACAGGGGGGAAAAAGTAGCAATACGAAAGGGGGATTTATCTACATGGGCTGTGAGGAACAAAAGGAACGAAAATGAAGAAAGCCAAAAGTTTCCAGACAAGCAAGCCCCTCCCAGTCGGTTCAAAGTGTCCAATTGGCTGACCTTGTCACTAGTGCTAGCAGAGGAGGAGGTGGCATAGAAGGAGGAAGAAGAGGAGGAGAAAGAAAAAGAAGAAGTCGAAGAGGAAGCAGAGTAGACAGAAGAGTCGCTGTCAGTGGCATCGGGACCCTCGGTGGAAGTTGGCGAGGGAGGAGACTGCTCAATCACCTGCGGCAAGGGAGTGTGCGACCGAGACAAAGTGTGGAGAAGGATAAAGGAAGGGGGTGAGGCACGACCAGAGGCAGAACTGTTAGAGGCGACTATCTCACACCAAAACGTCTCTGAAGGGAAGCAGGAAAAGCCAAATGTTTCTTTCCACCCTTTTTTGCAAACTTTCAAAATTAAATATTGTTTTTTCATATATGAGAAGGTAAATTCTGTCAAATTACCCCAGTTTATTCCCGTTAATTGCCAACTTTGAATATTCCCAGAATTTTGCAACCCTAGCAGGCACAATACAGCAGGCCTGTACAATAGGGCCCTTACAAGACCAAATCCTCCCTCTATGAAAGACGAGTTGTCTGGATTTACACTCCTATACTTCAAGTCACCAAAGAGCAGTTGAAAAAGCAAATACTGAACAGCATGTCTGCCTGTCAGGATATAAATTAAAAGACTAGATGATTGAGAAACAGTTGCCCACTCATTTCGATTATGTAGGACCGGCTACAACATGCAAGACCACTGATACAACCCTTTAAATGGTAAAAAAAAACCATATGTGAGGAATGAATATTGTCCATTCTACAGATCTTAACTATGAAGAGTAGCATCATCAACTGCGAGCTGTGCCTTGGGGGACATTGGGGTTTTAAAGAACTGAATGTTTAACCTGTATCCTCTGACGAAATGTTATCTCACTTGCACGCACACACAGTCACACTGACCAGCTCTGCTACGTCCGAAGGTGTGACAGCCGAGTCCGGCCCCTCTGTGGTGGTCTGGGAGGAGTCGCTGGGTGGCATCGAGCGATCATTGGCGCCCAGCAGAGTGGCGCCTTCTCCTAAGGGCCCGCCCTCAGTCTCTGGCGTGGTGTAGTCAGCAGTCTCCGGAGTGACGTTGGCCCCGCCGCTGGAGCTGCGACTCAGCATTTCCTCCTCGTTGTCGTTGGGTGACTCGGGAGTGTCGGATGCGGACGCCCCGCCGCCGCACTGCTCTGAGGAGGCGCTGAGGTCCACCGAGTCGCCGGGCTGCAGCGTGTGCTGGGAGGAGCGGGGTTGCTCGGTGATGATGTCCACCTGCGCCGCAGAGGAACCGTCTGCGCCAACGACTGCCGCTGGAAGAGAGATGCACACAAAGCCCGTTCATTGATGTTGCCTGGGGGCTATAACACCTGGTTGGAAAATTGAGGCGAGCAAATACTCCCCATTCTGCCTGCTGGTGCTTCTCACCTGTGAAGACACCAGTTGTGACTTCTGTTCTCTCTGCGTCATCATCCAAACCATCCTCCTCCCCCGAAAGCATTTTACCTTAAAATACAGGTTTACTGTCACTGTTACATCAGCACCATCAGCAGCTGAGGAGAGACTAAAACCTTTTTGAATGAAATGTACATTCAAATACAAAAACAACAAAAGACTACCCTTGATTTTCTTCTAGATAGACCTTAAAAAACAAGTATTGTGCATTATTGACAATTTATTTAAAATCTAGAAGACCACCAACCACCCAAGGGGAACCAGTCAGAGGTAAACTAGCTAAAACCCTGAAGCATCAGTTCGAGGATCGCAGAAGAGATGAATAGACCAGTCACCTCTTGGTTTCCTGAGAACGAGTGGACTGCAGGAAGACCCTCCCCCCGCTGCAAATGGCAGGAAACAAGAAACAGGAGGCAAGGAAGAGAAAAGCAGCAAAAGCTCAGAGAGACTCATAGGAAACAACAATTAGTTACAGTCGACAGGGAATGAGTAAGCAAGCAAGGCCTTAAAAGTAGGAACGAGAGAAGAGCAACCACACAGTCAGTCAGTAAGGGTCAATGAAATGAAAGCTACTTAAAGCAGAGACATCGGCCCCCAAGTGCCAGGTGAATACGTGGAAAGCCCCATCACACGGAACAAAAGCTTCGCGGAGACGATCCCAAACGATTTGGCGCGTTTACCGATGAGCTCGCGGATGCTGCTGGAGCGCGCGCGGCTCTCGGCGTCCTGGCGGAAGACTGTGCCGTGAAGAATGCTGCCCGCGGTGATGAGCATGTGCAGAAGCTCTGGTGGGGGAGTCCTGAACATCTGCTGCAAGAGCTCCAGGGCTGCTGTGACCACATTGTGATCCCAGTGCTGTGTGTAGTGTAGAGTCAACTCGTACACCTTCAGTCAGACACACACACACACACACACACACACACACACACACACACACACACACACACACACACACACACACACAATTCAGGGAAACTACAAGATTAACATGGAGACACTGGTATCGACACAACCGCTCTCTTCCTTCTACCTGCAGCAGTTGTTCGGGTGTTGGCTGAACATCAGCCTCTTTCCTCATGACTCCGAAGCTTCCTTTGAGGCTGGTGGTGTTGACTTGCTGCTGCAGCAGAGGCATCAGGTAGCGAAGGGTTAACAGCACCCCCAGAATTAGGTGGCTGGGGTGCTCTTCATCCACTGGAACCAGCAGACCTAAAAAGACAGTTTGACAGTCAGGGTGTGCGACACCAAACTAGCTCACAAGGGTTGGCTGAAATAATCTTCACCGTTATGTCAGAGTATTTGTGTGAGTGGGGCCCTACCCAGCAGCACATTAAGGAGCCACGTGTAGAAGTAGCTGGTGCGTCTGGAGTGTTGGCACACACTGACGGCTGAGCTGGCAGCGGTGCGCCTGATGGTGGGGGAGCTGGACTTTAGGTTGGCCACAAAGGACTTCAGCAGCACCTGGGACACAGATGGTTGCACTGCGATGAAAGCAAGCGGGTGGAAGATGTGCATATTTCCTTCTCTACAACCGGTTACTGTAAATCATTTTGTTTGATTACTAAATTTATGGATTAAAGAGCAAAACTTTTCTTATTTATTTATTACGGCTTTACAATAAATTACCTTTTTTAAATTAGTAAAAGACGAGTAAAAATCAGGAGAGGAAACTAACAGCTAACCAATTAACATTAGCATTAGTATAATGCACCCAAATGAATGTTCCCTACTAGCTGCTACTGTGTGGATACCTTGATCTCGCCATCATTGGCGAAGTGCCCCAAGGCGCCCATGATCTTGGGCATAGCAGCAGCCAGAGTCTCCTGTACGGTCTCCTCCTGCCGCTTGGTGATTCGAGAGAGGCATGGCAACAGGTTGACCAGGTAGGGTCTGAGGTGAGAGGGATCACAATGTGAACACATGAAAGTAGTAAAAACATATTTACAACTGAGGTTTCTTTCCCTAACTAGTTGTGATTTACACTACTTTATGTTGCCTGCCACGTCCTCAAGAGACTTCCTAAAGAACACTGAGATTGATCTCTAAAGGTTGACAGACTACTGATTTTACAACCTACAACAAAATTTGCTTTCCCAGGATTTCCCCTCCCGAGTTTGGTATAATGTAATTTGTTGTTGCCATGTGAATGAAATAGAAAGCTTTTTTCAGGCAGTTTTTGTGTGTGTACCTGCATTTCTGTGGTCTAATGAGGTGAGCAAGCTCAGCAAACCTCCACAAAGCTGCCCTTAGACTCCGAGAGGCACCATTCTGCAGAGATACAAACACTCATTGACACCAGCCAAAGAAGTGGGGTTTTCCCCACTAAACATGAAACATTATTAGTGAGAATAAAGCAGCTGCATTAAAAGACAACCAATAACACAGACACCGAATACCTTTTTAATTTCTTTGTACAGTTCCAGCTGCAGCCTAGGCAGGTTTGAGTCCATCAGAGCCTGAAAATAAATATCATAAATTGAACACATCATAAACACTAAAACAGGCAACTGTACCAGGTCTTTAGTGGGAACCAATTGTAAATTAACAAACGGTTAAAGTTCTTGTCCTTTTATTGAAGCAACCATGATGGGCAATGTTGAAAAATAAGTAAGGTTTATGCAGCGCCTACTTTGATTATTTTGTTCAGGCACTCATCGGCTACCATACGGACATCTGATTCGCTGTCATCACTGCAGAGCAAGAACATCTCCATGGCGATGCCCAGCAGTTTCTGAAACTCTGGAGAGGTTCTGTTCCCAGGACCATAGAGAGGAAAAGTGAGGCAAACGTCATTACGCACATACACATTCAACCTCAACAGACATTGTTGGAAGCATGTCAAGATTGTTGTTCTGAATTCTTCACAAATGAAACACTGAAATGAACGCACACACACACACAAACATTTTCCACACACACGAGTTGCTAGATATCTAATTTAATGAGACTTCATGGGAAATTATTGCAAATTATTGTCATGTCTGGTTCTGAACTACATTGAGCTGAGTGAAGCAGTATTTGTACTTAAAATACTTTAGCTTTATAAGAAGCAAATCACATGTGCCTTTGAACACCACTAACATTTTTCAAACATTCTGTGACCCGAACCATCTGCAGAGGTTAATCTGGTTTAACAGGATAATAAATTATCCAGGAGGGATTATTAATATCATTGGCAAAGTAAGCAAGCTATTAATGCAGCTTGTTGTGGACTATCAATAATGCAGACGCAAAATATGTAAAATTGCGATTATAAAATATCAAAATAACATCTGTTCTTTTATGTTTTAGAAAAAAAAAAAAGTGTGCCAATTGTGAGAAGTTGTAAAAAGCCATGGCCTCTCAATGCAACCAAACATCAACTGGCATCCGTGTATTAATCTTGCCTTACTGTTTTCACACACACACTGTTAAAAGTAAACTTTATTGAACGTTCGATCAGCAAGGCTTACCTCAGAGACTGAGCCACAATGTTTTCACATATTGTCAGGCAGTGTGTGACCCGGTCCTTCTTTGTGGTCGCCTGTTCCTTTTTCCTGTGAAAGAGGAAATAGAGGATGAGAAGGAAGAACAGACAAGGACGGATAGTAGCAAAGGGAGAGAAAGATGGCACTTAACATGATGTCATATAAATATATAAAGCAATTCTCTACGGCTCCATCCTTGATAAAAACGGTGACAAAAACACAACAATATCACTTAAACATAAAGAAGGGCAAATTGTCTCCTAGCCAGGCCTACATTTGATTGATCACCTGCACATCACAACAAAGCTGCATTGTACTGAAAGATGAACGGGATGAATCTACTGGTCATTACTGTGGGCTGTTAAAATGCATTCCTTTAAAGTAAAAGCTTGGTCTGAGTCGCCACAGATCGGGATCGATGGACGTCAGTGACGTCAGCCCAGGAGGCTTTCATATTAATGCACCAGGGCATCGACCGAGAAGTAACGCTAGTTTTAATATGTAACCTCTCAGCACAATCAACCACAATGCTACATTTAAAATGTGAACGTCACCCTCCAAACAATTGTCTCCCGAAATCAACTCATTTAGGCAGATTCTTTTAATCGGTCCCCGGTCGTTTTAGCAGGTGCGTGCGTCAAGTAACGGACGCTTTCTGTGGCAAGACTGTTAGCTAGCGTTAAGTCTGACTGACTCATACTGATAATATCAGAAGACAACGCTCCGCTGGGTATTGTTGCGATATATAAAAACATAAAACGTCTAATGTAAAATAAATGACAGCCTAGACTGTGGTTACTGGTTCGCTCGATGTATCTGGCTTCAAGCTAGCTATAAAAGCTTTACCTTGTCCAACGTTAGCACGCAAGCTAAGCTATCTGGCTAGCAGTTAGCGTGCTGTGCAATCGCCGGAAGACAAAAAGCCACTTACTGCCTCTGAACCAGCTCCTCGGCGGTTGGTGGTCCCTGCTGCTGCTGGAATGACTTCAGACTCTCAAAGGCCTTCATCAATTTCTCCATGGTGGCCATTTTAGCAATCAACAGTAAGCAAGCTAGCTGGGCTAGCCAATATTTACTATGTGAGCTAACTAGCTAGCAGAGTGGGACAAGTTAGCGCAAGGAGAGAGCAAGCAGTGCGTAGTGCGACGAGCGTGCAAACACTGCTCGTAACAAGCACCACTAGCTCTCCACCTTCTGTTCGTGCAATATAGCTCCTATGCCTTCACAATGTTTAACCTAAATGAACAAAACGATAGTCGATAATAAGCCATCTTTGATGCAGCGTTGCATTCTCCCGAGAAATCCCACCAGGAAGTGGCATATGTGACAGTTTACAGAGCGGGGAGGTGTGTGACGTCAGCGGCCAATCAGACCGCAGTTTCATGTTGAGTGACTTGCAAAAGAACCAATGATTGACTACAGGGTTTTCTCCCCTTTGTTGTTATTGTTGGTGTCACGGGACAGCTGTAATCCAGATTGTAAGAAATATATTTTGAGCCACGCCAATGCTGTAGCTTCTATACATTGAACATGAAAAGAAGAGTGGCAGTGACCGTGTGGAGGCCAGCATCATTAAATGAAGATCGAAGACTTTAGTGCGATTGATATATGTGTATGAACTATGTCCTGCATGAATTTTGAAAAATGACAATGTATAAACTAAATATGTTGCAATAGCCCCAAAAATATGGCTACAATGCTTGAGACAATCTGGCCTTTATAGGAGGTCAGCAAACCTTTTTTGACTGTGTGGTGGCATCGGTGCTGGAGTGTCTGGTGGAAGTGGTGAGAGAGTAAAGGGCGACAGCTAAGCTATTGGTCCTGATGGAAAACGCCTCCCACTCCTTGCAGCTCTGGAGGACCTTCCTTGTTGCTGCTGCCAGGCTGCACAACCAATATTTCTCCAAGTAGACCAAAAAAAAAGCACCTGCACAATATAAACAATAATAGCTCTGTAATAATACATCTTTATTTATATATATGATATTTTAATCAAGTATCGTGGAGTCTTGTTATTTTTTCCTCTACTATGTCTGTTCGCCCTTTACTCTCTGCCGTTAATCCAGTGATTTTCCTTGCTGCAGGACTAATAAAGGATTATCTTATCTAATTGAACCATAGTGCTACATACATACAATGGCCCTTGCACCAGAACATGTTTAGTACATTGTCAAGTTATGTATACTGAAATTGGGAAAGGCTTCACACTAGTTTCCAAATGTCTGAAATCACTTCTAACAATATGATTAAGAACAAGTAAAAGACATAATAAGAGACAACCAGGAAGAAGTATTACAATTTGTAAGTACAAAGTGAAATAATTAAAAGACACCTTTCCTTAGCCTAATATCAGTGGTCCACAGTACTGATTCATAAAGAAAAACATTACCTATTCATTCATTTCTGATGTATCTGTTTAAAAAACCCCACCCATTGGAAATAAAGGGCTACCTCTAACCGTATGTTCTGGTTCATGGACGTAGGATGAAGCTTTCAAAACATCTACCCTGCAGCATGAACACTAATGAATGCAGATACTGTGGCAAGAACATTGCATGAGTGCTAAGCAGCATGACGCTATTACCTATACACACAAATTCTCCATCCATCCATCCGACACACAAATTCTCAACAACCAAAATCATTTAAGGCACAAATAAGTCAAGACAAGTATTTTTATACAAATGGCAGTGTATTATTTCATAATTACAAATGTCAGATATGGTACAACAACCAGTGATACAACTTGTACAAGAATTAACAATGACTGCAGTGGTTGAACGACATGACTGTACAGATATAAAAAAAAAAAAACGAACAGGAGAAAAATCAGTCCCAGGCCCCGTTTAAATACCAATAATGCACGTGGCATTTCTCCCTCCTTTTTTCCCCCTTGAAACAACCGCTTATCTGATATTCCTGGCCAGAAGTGTGACACCCTTGAGAACCAGAAACCAGACTACTGACATCAAGGAACTGAGGATCTCTCCCTTCGAAGTGTTGCTGGTGAGCGCCATGCCAACTTTTAGGGAGAGACTCGGCATCACTGCCTTGGAGGGAGGCGGGAGGGAAGGAATGCATGCTGGGCTTTTAAACGGGGGCCGACTCAGCTGGTCACCTTGCCAATTATAAAGTTGTCCTCCCATACCAGTGAGATATGTTGGCTCTAGAAGGTCATCATTTACATATACAAGGAATCTGAAGTATTACAAACCAATACATGCTTGAGTAATAAAACATATGTTTTTTTTTTTTTTTTTTTAAACAGGCATTACAATGCACTTAGTGCGGACATTCAAAACCGTTGAGCCGTTTAAAGTTCCTTTACGTGAAGGAATTTCTCTCAGAATGGACGGAATGATTGGAAAAAAAGGCGGGACGTCAGAACTTAACTTGGTAATTGGCACATATAATAAAGGCTATCAGTCTTTCTTCAGGAACATTTTCAGACCAACCTGTCCCACGAGACAGGTTTGATTTCCTTGATGTTGCTTTTGGTATCATTGGCAATAAAAAAAAAAAGGTTAAAGACACTTCCTATAGTCATTGTCAAAACACACCATAGTGCAATGAAACTAAACTGACTCTTTACTGCTATATGGGTGCTAGAAGAGCAACGTTCAAACAATGACAGAGGCATGGGTGGCAAACACAGTTTAGTTTCCCCGTGAGAGTGAGTGTGAGCTAGTTACATCTTAGAAATACATCATTTACAAGGTTTTTGAGGCTAAAGAGCTAAAAGGCTTAAATCTACATAGGCAAGAGAAATCAGCTTCAAAATGTGCCTGAGAGCAACAAAAACAAAGACACTCAGAAACTTAAGTGATCAAACGAATCAAAGCAACAGATGCACGCATTCGATTCTTGATTTTTAAAAATGGAATGTGCAACAGGGGACAACATTTTTTAGAACAAGCCAACTATCCAAATTAGATTTAAGGATGGGGAATAACATGCGTACCATTTTACGTGTACGGTCTTAAATGGTTTTAAATTCAAATGAGTGTCACTATTGTATTGTTGTACTTAATCGCGGTGGACTGAACAGACTGTTTATTTGCTCACAATGAAAAATAATCACACACACACACACAGACACAAAGTGAACATGTCCAGATTAGTTATTCACAGCATTAAAACAGGTGATGGGCGTAAACAGCGACTTCCTCAAAAGCAAAACGGCTTCAAATGCCTCCGAAATGCAAATGAGGAAAAACAATTAACTGGGAAGTAAGCACTTAGTCTTTGATGACACTAAAGTGCACAGCCACTGTGGCTCTGCAAGTGGACGAATGTTCCTGTACACACATGATGGAAACTCTACCCGCAATATGCTAATGAACGTTATTCCCGTTCCCCTCAGTCCACACACACACACACAATTGCCCCAAGCAACTCCTACGTCATAACTACATACAGGTTTTTGAAATGGAATATTACGATTAAGAAATGGTATTTTCATCCAATACAAACACAGCCGAAGCCGCGGGGGCGAACGTCTACCAGGAGGCCTCGTGCCAGGCCAATGTTCCATGTCCGCCAGTTTGATGCAACAGCAATTGCTTGTCAAGATGAAGACCTCGTAACTGCAGACCAGATTATCTTAAACAGCGCCGCCACCATCATCATCATCAGTCATGTGTTCCCACTCCAGCAACATTCCTGGTACACTGTAAATACGGGTGGCAAATTACTAAGATATTTTAAGTGAAAGGAATTCCGCTCAGCACACGAAACCGGTTTATGACAAAAAATGGACACATCAGGAAAGACCAAAACAAAAGTATAACCCAAGTAGCACAACAAAAGAAGCTGTAAAAATGAAAGAAAAAAAAAAAGAATGCGGAATAAAAGATAACCAGAAAAGATGTTTGCCTGAGTGAATAATGTAACAGACTAACTCAACAGCTGTTCTTCTGAAGGAAACGCAGCCTGACATCTGAAATGAAAAGATCTGAGCCTTTTAAAACACCATAAGAAATCTATTAAGAACAAGAATGATAATTCTAATTGGATATAATATCGGCCCTTCCGTTGACAGAAAAGGCCCCTGCCACATTTACTTTGAATATTCCAATTATTGCACTTGCTGACTCCATGTTGTCTAGAATCAAATCCAAGCATCTCCGCTGAAATTGAGCTGGTCCAGGACCCTAGAAGATGGTTTACTACACACGATAGACACTCCAGTGCAACCTAACTGACTGGGTTAAGAGAAAGATGTGGATTATCACTTCAGAACTAATTTTAATTAGGAAGTGGCGGCATCAAAACAACTACACTGGACTGGATTTATTTTCCCCCCAATAGTATTTGGTTCAATGCGCTTCTCTCAGATCGCCCTGGGTGTGTTTTGGGGGGGGGGGGGGCCGAGGCTATCGGTTAGTTTGGGAACCGGGTGAATCTGCTAAAAACACGTCATGTTGACCAAATCAATGACAAACACAGCACATGTATAAAAATAAAATAAAAAAGGCATGATGCTACATTGAGGAAAAAAAAAAGAAAAAAAACAGTTATTACTGTGCTTAAAAAAAAATTAAAAAAAACTCCCCGATACACATTATCCATACTCATTCCAAAAGAAAAAAAAAGGAAATCAAAACGTAATATATGCATTCAAGTGGTACTTTTATGGCTTTTTGTACAATACAACCTTTAGTGAAAATATACATCTAGACATAAATTCAAGTACAAATGTACAAAATCTTTAAACTCATACTTTTAGCTTTAATTATAATACACTTTTAATACAGCTCATAAATACAGGTCAACATTCACTGAGTTCCTAAGATTTGCGCTCGGTTGGAGTTTGTGGTGAAGTTCGGCGGATAGAGGCGGGAGGAGGAGGAAGGAGTGGTTTAAAGTCGCGAGGGCTCCTCGATCTCGTCATCACTGTAACCGCTCTTAAAACAGACCTAGGAGGAACCAGAAGTGAGGATATGTCACTAACTTTCAGAACCACGTCTCAACACACACACACACACACACACACACACACACCTGGGAGCAGGTTAGTAAGATAAGATAACAAATGCAACTGAAGCAAGGGTGAAGGCTAATTATGAAACAACTCATAATGACTAATCTTTGTTCATTTCAAATATAGCCCCAACAACAAAAAACAAGTTTGTTGCTGAGAGCGCATTGATTATTTCAGATGACAGACCAGATGAGCATGTTGACGGTTTCCCAGTATTAGGTCACCGTTAGGAGGAGCTCTGAATTAGAAACTAACATTCTACATAACAACATGGAACAAAGTCTCTGTCATGGAGGACAGGTGAAAGTTGGAGGTAATAACCAAAAATTGGAGTAGCTGCTGCTGCCTACAAAAAGAGGTCATTGTACATTTGTAAGCGTGATGTGTGACACGGTTTCTAAAGCAAAGCATCACATTGGGTCCTCCCACAACCACAAACCAGCTTCTCTCAAGAAGACAAGACTCCTCGTGCAAGAAAAAACAAATACAAAAGGGGAAAAAAAAATCCAAAAGAGAGGCCTTATTCCAACCAACTATGACGACATGAGCACAAAACTACAAATGGATTTGAGGTTTCGGGGGGGAAACGGTTTCACATGTTGAGTTTGGATAAGGCCTGAAAGTATAGCAGAAGGAAGAGAAGAAGTACCTTAGCCCCCACCCCCCCGGACAGTTGCCGGAGCACTAGCACTTGCCTCTCTTCTGAACAGGCGGTAGAAGAAGCCTCTCTTTGGTGGAGGATTAGGCCGATTCACGTCCAGATCGGAGCACAGCGTCCCGTCGGTCTCGTAGACGTTGATTTCTTTGAAGCACTCCATCTCAATCATCTACCAAAAGGGCGAGAGGGTGAGTTATCCTGACGACTTACTGGGGAGTTGGGTTATATGAGAGGCGTGTGCGTCAGCGTAAGGGAAGGGGGCCCATTTATTTATAACACAACCCTCTCTACAGATGGATGTTTAAGTGTCCGTTCTGGATTGAGCCTTAAGGATGTAAATGAACACCTCCGCACTGTGTCTCATACATATTCAAAACTTGACTCATTTAAAAAAAAAAAAAAACAATGGCATATTCACATTTAACACATTATGATCACATATTGACATTATGATTCAGCATCATCCCTGTATCCTTCGTGATCACTTTTAAAAAAGGTTCATTAACATGAAAGGGGCGGGAGGTTTTTTGTGTTTTTTTTAAATCATAAAAAAGAGGTCTAATTGCTGTATAAATGCTGCGAAAAAAAACACTGCATCCATGGAGAAACCCTCACCCTGCAATCAGAAGCGTAGCCTTAACAACGAGCCGTGTGACGTCACATAATTCACAACCATTTCTCAGTTTTAAACATAATGAATGTGTCCTAGTTTATGTCAGTTCCTTTTTAAGTGCATTTTATAAGCAGAGGAAGTAAACATGGACCCAAGCTGTTACTTTGCTTTCCAAAGAGGGCAAGAGGGCAAATACAGGTACATTCAGACGGAAAGTGTGAGAAAAAACAAGGTTCTTTTTTTAAAAATATTGAAGCATGTTCTAGTATAAACCCCATGGACATGAACCTAGAAATGAGCACAGTATGTTTCCGCTAAAGGAAGACCACGGCCTTTAATACAGGTGTTCCTATGTCACCGATGCTGTTCTGCGTAGTATGTGTCTGTTGTGGTACGATGACATCATCTGCCGGCAGTACCTCGTTCTGCCACGGGATGGAGACGCTGCCTGTGACAAACTTGTAGTAGAAGTCGTCATCTGTGGGGTCAAGGTTCACGCCTTTGACGGTGGAGAACTGCTCAATGTCCAGGACGTCTTTACAGTACACGGCCCGGGGCTGAGAGAGAGCGAGAGAGAGAAACTGTGAAAAGTGTATCTATCTTGGTTTGGGGTTACTAATCATGAATTGAATTAAATCAAAATTATTATTAATTAAATCAAATTGCTGTTTCAATAACATGGTCCTCAGACACAAAGATTGACTGACCTGAATCACCCAAAATAGAAACGCAGACAGCACGATCTACTTTTAACTATTGATTTAACCTCGCAGGCCACTTCCCTCTCGCTCCCTCGAGCTATTTAGGACATTGAAAATGTAATGATTCTTTCTTTGAATGCCTTTTTTATTGTAGGCAAAAATCTATGAGTTGAGCTACATTCATCAAGGGAAGTTACTGCAGCCATCTACTGTTCACAAGCTCCACTGCAGGAACTGTTATCAGTGCTGATCATCACTGTAAAAGGGAAAATCTGCTTTAATCACATTTTAATCCATTAGCTACCGCGATAACTAGCAGAGTGTTCTTACGTGTGACAAAGGTGTTTGCTGTATGCCGTTTGCCCACTGAGGATTACACTACAAGCAGCCACGAAGCCTGCGTGCGCACTGTGTGTGTGTGTGTGTGTGTGTGTGTGTGTGAGAGAGAGAGTGCGCGCTGTTCTTACATCAGGGCTAAAGGGAGGGTCCTGCATGTTGGCCTCCAGTCGTTTGAAGTTGATGTTCCTGAAGATGGGGTGCTGTTTGACCTCTATGGCCCCTCGACCCTGACAACCCAGTCGCTCCTTAGGGTCCTTAGTCAGGAGCTGACACACATCAGGAGGAAGAAGCAGGAGAGGTTTAAACACTATGTATGTATGTGTCCAAATCCCATTGGAGAGTAAATTATAGGACTATGTGTCTACCAAAACATATGAACCAAACCCCTATTTAAGCCTGATTCATCAGTAAGGATCTGACTACTAATGTGATGTACACAACACACACACACACACACACTTTTTGTGTAATCCTGTTGCCTGTATCCGACCCAGTGTGATCTAATAAAGGGGCCGATACAAATCCGTGCACCCGGGGGTGAACGCAGCACCATCATGGATAGAATTAGAGAGCGCCACAGCCTCTGGATAATATTACCAGCGCAGTGTCCTCAAGAAGTGGACGAGGGCCGTCCAGCGGCTGGGACACCAGCAGACACGCTCACCCGCCCAGTTATCACCCCAAAGCTGGCGACTTTGACAAACAGGCCAATGGCTTCCCACGTCTTCACCACGCCTCTTCCTCGCTGTCTCTCTAGTTCCCGACTGGTTCGCTGGTCTCGACTGAACTTACAGCCGGGTTCAAAGCAGTGTCGCTTTCGCTCTCTGCTTTCAACAACTTGTCTATTTTGAGCTGTGGCAACAGCTCCCCCCCCCCCCCATTCTATCCCCCTCCTTATTATCTTTTTCCAAATTTCTCGCTGAAACCTTTCACCCCCCCACCCCCCTGCACAGAGTCCTCTCCTTGGGGAGATTATGAATCTGCTGAACCTCGGGTCGTAATGTTCCACCGCGTCACACAAATCGCAGCACAGCGGTTCCCTCTCGCAGTTCAGACAGTTGCAAGTTGCATTTTTGACAACCAACTGATCTACTAAAATTAACACTAACCCATATTATCACTACGTAAAGAGCAGAATTATTAACTCTACAAGGAAGCTCATCGTTCTGTTTTTTTACGTCTCACGAATGTACTGTTGTTCGGTGTGTCACTGCTCTTCAAACCCTGAAAAACACGTTTTATAAAGTTGTCCAGCACCAAACTACAGACAGAAGTTTGATGACCTGCAGCACACAGAGGAGCACTTGGCAGCTAAACAGCTGGTTATTCCTCTCTGGTTTAAATGCAAATAGTGTTGCTCAGCTGGAGGTGTAAATAACAGCATTCAAAAATAAAACTGAAGTCAGTTAAACATTATTTTTTCTAATATCTCACTTCTGCTTTTCATGTCATTGGATCCACTGAGTGGCAGAAGTTAAAATGTGCTACTTATAATTGTAACAGCACTTATTTCAATATTATAATACTGTTAGATGAAATCCAGCGTTCTGATTGGTTGAGTGCGAGTCACAGGGGCACATTATTGAGCGATAATGTACAGTTGCAGTTCACATTGACCCGAGCGTATCGTATCGCGACCGTTAGTTGACATTTTAGCTTAGAAATAAAACCTGACTATTTTTCTCTAGGCTACTGAAATGCGATACACAACGTTTGGTGGCTACAACTATTTTGTGCTGAAAGTCAGCTATTTACTTACTATTTATAATTTTGCTGGAAACCGTATTATAAAAGCAATAAGGTACTTGAGGCAGTACTTTATCTTCAATAATTTAATGTAACAACGCCCTTGAACTGTTACATTATTGGACGATAAAGTACAGACTCTCGTACCTTATTGCTTTTATATAAACCCTTTTCATGTTTTATTCATCCAGACAAGAACTGAACGTTTGTGCCTAAACTGAATTAACATTTGCAAGTCTCAAATAAATGTGGTGCTCCCTTCCCTTTGTCCCCTTTCCTGACGGCTTCACCTCTTCCCCCTCACCTGTCTGCAAATGTCCTTCGCCTCCTCCACAAACTTATCGGAGTACTCCTCCTGGTCCTCGCGCACTCGTCGGTCCACTTCCTCCCGCTTGACCCGCTCCTTGCGCTTGCGGAAGGGCGACTGGCCCTGTATCATCTCAAAGATCAGGCAGCCCAGCCCCCACCAGTCGGGGCTGAAGGTGTAGCTCTCGTTCTGGATCACCTCGGGTGCTGGGGGGAGGGGAGGGAGCAGAGGGGAGCGGGGAGGCAGGGGGTGAGGAATGTGAGAGAAGGGAGGTCAACTCAAGTGGCACACAGGAAGCCTGGCAGAGGGGTTTTCCAATCAGGTGGAACAGAGACACTTGACGGCGTCCGTCGCAGAAGGACGGCGGCTTGAGGAGGCAGAAGAGGGTATCAGAGTTACCAAAATCCGTACCCATGTATCCAACGGTGCCCACTCGCCCTCGTATCGTCTCTCCTTCAGGGATCTGAACAGCGAGGCCCAGGTCTGAAATTCGGATGTGTCCTGAAAGAGAACCACCTTTTAACAACCCGGCTAAGTTGAATGCACACACTTATCACGGAATACATCCTATTTTCTAGAAGGCCAAAAGTTAAAAGGGAACACGTTTTGACAATACTCAGGCTACACCAAACGGATCTTTTACAATAAAAGTGTGACGGGAAAAAAATGACTAGCAGAAGAGATACATGAAAGAGTTTCCTACATTTCAAGATAAGACCACGTTGGGGAATATAGATGATATGGAAATATGACTCAGAGGAAGAGGGGAAGCAGGAAACTTTGAGAGAGGAGTTTTCAGCTTGTGATATACATCCTGCGGCGCTACTTGCACATTATAATGTAGACTAGGAACAAGTGGCTTGTGTGTGCTCGTTTCATAAAGCGAACGTACCACGATCATCCAGAAGGATGTTTTCAGGTTTCAAATCCCTGCGGATAGAAAAAAAGAAAAAAAAAAAAAAAACATGTGAAGGAGGGATTCTGTTGATTTAAATGCTCAGAAATGGAAATTACATTTGAAGATTTGACAATAAAATCCTGTATTTAACATTGTTATCCTTTAACTTGTCATGTTGGCATTCATTGTCTTGTATTGCCTGTGTTCGTCTACAATCTTTTATGTGCTTTGCTCTTTTGAAAACTGAGATGGTCCAATAACAAACGCCGTGCTAGACCGTGAAGGCTGATGCAGCGCATGCAGATATCAAGGAACTCTGTGTTTATGACTACGTGGGCCACGTCTATGTGAGTGCATGCATCCACCAAGATGCATCCGCGAGCGTTACTCTGAGGCCCCAGTGAGTGTGACAGGTGCATGACCCCTCTGAGAAATCAGTACTGGAATATTCCAGTGACATTTAATCATCCAGGACTTTCCATCTGCACACGACTGCAAACCGCCTAATGGAGTACACCTCTTCATAACATCACAGCTGGGACAAACATACAGCTGGTTTAGGGTTTGTTTTAGACCTCTCCCATGGATGAGGTTTCTCAATTCATTCGAGATAACCCGGGTGACATCACAGTGGCATCATCTGGATTATGTCAAACTTTAGAAGGCCCCTGTCAGAGTTAAAAAGATGTTTCTAGTGGTTGAGCAGTGCTTCTCGTGACGCGTAAACAGAGCTTCCTGTGTGAAATTGGTGGAGTGTTTTCTTTGAAGGCAAAGACATTAAGCCAGATCTGAAGCAATACTCCTCTACAAGAAGCATACGTAATATTGTTCTGGTATTTTAAACCTCAAAAAAGGTCCTCAGAGACAGAGATCCTCAAAAAATACCCGAGAAAAATGTCCTTAAGCCTCCCTGCTCTAGGAAGGACGACAGTATGTCATAACATACTGTACCAGACAGCATGCTATGATCTTCTCAACAGTAGTTTGAAAAAAGATATTTTCATCTAATCTTCTTGAACCTGTCTACACCTCCCCCAAAACAACATTTGCGCCCCTGCGGTGTCCAACCTGTAGACTATCCTCTCACGGTGCAGGTCCTCAAGGCCACAGCAGATCTCAGCAGCATAGAAGATGGCCCTCTGCTCGTCAAAGCCAGAGTTGCCCATGTTGTAGATATGAAACTTCAAGTCCCCGCCATTCATTATGGTCAACACCAGGCACAGCGCATCCTTGGTCTCATAGGCATATGCTAGACTAACCTGGAGAGGGGGGACACATTTTGGGGAAGCAGTAACAAGGGAGGTGAAGGGCCAGTCAAGGAGAGAGAAATGAGTGGGTGGGGGGAGGAGGTGGAGCAAGAGGGGAGAGCAGTGGTAAGAGACAGGTAGTCTAGAGGAACACCATTATAATATTTGGTTTATTTCAATACTGTCATCCAGGTCAGATGTGCATACAAAGAGAAACAAAGGGGGAAATACACCACAGATATGCAACAAAACAGAAGCCTCGCTCCACTTCTCACTCCTTTGCCTTGTGTGCTTTCACCCTGATCGCACCGTTTCTCCTTCTCTCCCTTCTTTCCCACCAGCCCCCTCATCTCCCACCACCCTCCCCCCTTGGGTCAGTGACACGCAGGGTACTTAGTGTGTGTGTGTGTGCGCGTGCTGCAGAGTACAAGCAGGATGTTGCTGCCATCGGGAGGAATGCCATCTGCTCTGGAATACGTAGTCAGAGACGGACCAAAAGAGATGATGGGTAAAATTCTCATGGGCCAAATAAAGCGCACACACACACACACACCTATTGAAAAATACATCTCTCACTGGGCTTGGTGTCTTGTCGTATTTAGGAAAAAAATAAAAATACAAACGTAATAAACACCAGAAAATGACGAGCTTATCCATCAGCTCAAATATTTCAATTGTGCAACATTAAATTCCACCAGAGCCACCGGAGACAAGCAACTGGCTTTGTGACGTCCTGACTGAGTTTAATCTGGTCAGGTCAAGGCCAGGACGAGCACCGAAAGTCTTCACCTGACCTTGGATAGGATATTTAAATTAGGGATGCACTGATACGTGTAAGAAAACTAAAGAATAAATAAGTACATACACGTTTACTAAAACGCTTTACTCGCCATTATTGAGTTGTGAGATCTCTACAAACAGCCGACATGTTTGTTGCGCGGTCTGCTGGTGTGTCGCTGACGCAGGACATAGTAAGCACATAGACACATGGACTGGATACACATAGAATTCGATATAACCGCCTCATCGTCACAGACACCCAAGCCAGCTACTCCGATCACTATCTGCCCGACGTCGGTACCAGTGAATCCATTGGTCAGTTTAGGGCTAAGCAGTGAAATATATCACTGCTTAGTGATATCACTGCATTTTGTTTTATGAACAAAATGAAAATCAAAGCAAAGCTCTTTAGTGCAATGCAGTAAAGAGATGCTGCCTCAGCCTCACCTGACGTAGACTTTAAAACAAGGTTCCCCCCACTCTACATACACGTACTGAATATGTGGATGTTTTACTGGTTTGAACATACAGTAAACTGACTAATAGTATGATGCATTGACCACAACAAAAGATAAAGAGGAATAGCGCAGGAGAGAGAAAAATGAAGGGTTTGGGAGAGCACTTGACTCTTCTTGCTACAGCTGTTTGGTCAGTGTTGCTAGGGCAACAGAGCTGCTCTCATAGGGTAGAGAAGCACATGAAGAGTCATCAGTTCTGCCTGCAGCACACAGACACACACACACACACACACACACACACACACACACACACACACACACACACACACACACACACACGCCAATCCCAGGTGACAAGAGCTGCAAGTCTGAGGTTCTGTAACAAGCCCACTCCGGCCTCTCTGTGAGCATGCACGCTCACACACATGCATACCCGTACACATGCTTCTGCCGTGACTCACTCACTCAAAACAAGGACGTGCAACGCGGCTCACGCTGCATCAGAAACGGACCAATCCAAAAATGTCATACACGACCATTAGCTTTGGATTTAGAACACGGAGGCTTTGAGGCTCTGCTCCCCAAGAGTCTGCTTACTGTACTTCTGCGTAACATCTGTTTTGTACATTTAAACAGTAGAACATCGTGATTGACCATTGGAACGCATGCACATGGCACACGTTCCTCGTCATGTTACCAGAATGTTAAACGAGAACTTCATGGAATTTTCTTCTTTTTTAAAAAGAGAAACAAAAAGAGCCGGCGCAAAGTTTTGTGCTGGCGGAGCACCTGGGGAGCTCTGTGCGCACAGTCGCTCAGAATGGAAAGAAGCACACGTTACTCATTTCCTCCTGATGTCAAGCATGGTTCAAATTCAGGCGTTAACATCTTTAAAAAATAGTGAGTGTTGATAAAAAAACAGCATGAATACATCGACTGCAGCACATGTATGAGATAAAAAGAATTAAGATGATTGATATTTTGGATTATTATTTCTATTCCAACTAACTGATATTTTATAGCAGAAAGTAGCTAAGTCAATCTTATTTCAGGCACTGCCACCTCAGAAACGAACATAACTTTAACGTCATGGTTGTTTCCTGTCCTGAATCATAGACATTACTGCAATCTCTTTTTAAGGTCTCAAACCTTTCCTATAATTTATCATCTCACACGTTGGTAGAATTTATAATGTACTTTTGCCGTTTGGTACGAGAACAAATGAGAAGCTGAAGGCGACTCTCACTCAAAAAGGCGTTCAGGCTCGGCATTACGGCGCCACCCAAAAAAGCGCGGCTTATTCATGACTAGGCTCAATTTATAAAAATCCGCCAAGAGCGATGCCGCCATTAAGAGCCGGAGGGCTGCTGGTACTGCTGCAGTGAACACATGTATTTATTTGTCCTCTACATGCTGTTGTTTTGTTAAGCATTTCAAATTTGTGACGTAAAATTCCACAGAATTCAAAGCCTTTGAAAACACAATGAATGATTTATACTACATTTTGTAGTAAAGGCCCCAGTTTATTATTTTAATCTTTTCTTTTTCATTTAGAGCATTTTTTTATATTATTCCCATTCGTGGGACCTGCAATGCTTTGAAAACAATTTGGGATTTTTTATTAATAGTGTTAACAGATTGATGCTTCTTCAGAATTATTCCTTAAATGTTGCTCATGTCACTGAACATTTGAGTTTAATCTAATTCAGTCTAATAATGTACCTTGAATTAGCTTTCAGCAGAGTATGTTCAAGCAAGCGGAGTACAGTGAGGATGTCACACTAAGCAGAGATCAGTCCCCCCCGCCCACCACAAAGTATGACTTGAAACAATCAATGTGAAAACCACAGTGTGAAGAACATATCAAACATTCAAATGACACCATAACAGATTTTAGTCAAAATGTAAAATACATTCACAGATAGGTAAACGCTCACAGGATACTCCAAATTAAAATATGATTCAGCATGTTTGCACGGGCCAAATAACAGGTGTTAACAAATTCATTTGCATTTGTTTGCTGAACTCATCGACCTTTGGGCCCATGATTGATAACCGTCTCTGGTCATCTGCAACTGGTCAATAAAATCAGTACCCTGATCAACCCCCCCCCCACACATTTTCTTTTACTTTTATTCCATCACGTTTATTTCCACTGAGTCACAAGCTCGTCCAACTGGTGTGAACGTCATTGAACAAACAGAACTTGAGTCACAGCAACTAAAACAGCTGATCTACAGACTTGGCAAACATACCCTTCAATTTCATTTGCAGGATCCTGGAGCCACAACAAACAGCACTTGCACACGCATGTACGCACACACGCACATTCAAAACAGACAGACAAAACAGGTACAATTCCGTGTAAAGGTTGAATAAGAAAAAGGTAGTACTTACTACAAAACTACTGTTAACTTTTTCTAAAATGCGTTTTTCGTTTAGTGCCATTGCTTCACCTTTTCTTTTCTTCACTCGTTTCTTTTCCAGCTTTTTACAGGCGTACATCTTACCGGTGGCACGTACTTGGCAGGCACAAACCTGGAAAACAAGAAAATGAGGAAACATGATCACAATTGCGTAACAGAGAAACACACACACACACACACACACACACACACACACACAGAGATTTCCCCTCTAGACATCAAAGGAGTGGAGACATAAACAGCGTGCCATTAACTAAGTGTCAAAGGCGAGATGTAGCAACTTAAATCATTAATATCTCGTTACTAAACTTGCTGTGTCAGGGAGCTTAAGTCCATCCACTCACTGTGGCCTCAGTATCCATCTCAAAAAATACCATAACTTATCGCAACTTCACTTACCTCGCCAAATCCACCTTTTCCTAGTACTCTGTAATGTCTGAAGGTATTTTTGGTTACTGGTTGCCTGCAGAGACGGAAAGAAGAGAAAAGAGAGGAATAATAAAGAGAGCGACAATAACAGCGGCACACAATAAGCGGTCTGGCCAATACATTATTAATCCAGCCTAATGACTGTCGTCTCCACCGTGCTACAGTAATCCAGCCATTATGCAAAGCATCATCAATTATTTACTCCTCTCACCAGAACACTGACTGGCTGCCCCCCCCTCCCCTTTCTTTTAGTGCCAACCCTTTTCACACTAATTAATATAAGGTTATTATTTGTCTTAGCATTTTATATTCATTCATCATTTTTTGATTATGATCCCAGCCAAAAAAAGCCTTTTTAATATGTGCTGGAAGTTTGTCTATCCTGAGCAAACAAAGAAGTGGAGTAAAACCATCCACGGGGAATATTGAAGTTGTACAAGATCCCGGGTGTAATTTTTATTGGTAAAAAGAAAGAAACGTCAGCTTCACCGAGCGCGTAATTTGCAGAGATTACCCACCTCTCCAACCATTTCCACTGCAGGAAGCGAGAGAAGTACATGGACTCCTGGTAAGAGGAAAATGGAGCTCCACCCAGATAATCACGAACTATTCTGTAGAGCGAGAGAGAGGGGGGGGGCATTTTTTAATAACAATGCAATAAAGATGTGCAGGTCACCAGAAAGAAAGAGAAAACACTTCCCCCCCCCCCCCCAGAGGCCTTCTAACCTTTACAACACACACATTTTATCTGACTATCAACTAAACCTGTGTGTTAGTGTGTGTGTGTGCGCAGGCATCGCTGGTTGTGTAACCGTTTCAAACAGTGGAAAGAGGGAAACTTTGTGCCGGTAGAACCACCGTGAAAATTTAAAAATGCCTTTGAACAGAGGCATTCCACTCAATCATAGCAAGAAAAGGGGAACCAATTTCCACTGAGCAGGAGGTTGAGCGGCACACCGGACCCTGCGAGTGAGCCTGTCCCAACATATGCGATTATGTCACATATTTCAGACGTTATCGCTCCACAAGTACAAACTCAATTGTGTGAAAGTGCTGCCGTAGGTTAAAGGGTTGATGTAACGCAACAAAAAGCTCTTTGGTGAAAGAAGCAGTGACGAAAGGCCGCGGCCTCCTCGTCGCCGAACCGTACGTCAGGCGGCATCCGCTGAGAGTTGTGAGAACATGACACGCTGACGCGACCCCGCCAGCCTCTCACGCCAGGGTCCTTCTTCACCGCTTTGACTGCAGTTTGACTTGAACACCGTGTCCTCTGTGACACCGGCGTACCAAACAGACAAGGGCTGCAATTGCACTTTGCAGGTTTATGAGATACTAAGCATCTGCATCAATGTTGTGTTCACACATCGGATTGACTGTGCTATATGAAAGATACGGTTCCCTTCTTGACGGTTTGATTGTATTGTCGCTTCCCCAAACACATGGGAGTCATCGGCTTTTTATCCCGGATCTTAAGGTAGAGAAAATGTATTCAACAGAATCTTCTGTTATATCAAGACAAAGGTCATGTGATCTTTGGCATTATCATGGTTTAAACTCAATTATTGTGCAAGATGCCACACCACTTTCACCAAAGGGTTCATTTTTGGCATGAAATATGTAGCATAATTATGTAAAGTCAATTTTACAAGTGTTCGAGGATCACATTCACATTTATGAGTGATGAACAATTAAGTTCACTATGTAGCAGTATTGAGTAACCCGGCAAATATAACATTATCATCCAAATCATTAGCAGTAGCATCGCGACTTAGAATAGACTGATTTAAGAGGTGCATTCATCATATTCAAAAAACTCATATTTCCACTTGCTTAGGATTTAGAAAAAAAAAACTGTCTATGTGGCCGAACAAGCAAACAGTTTTGTTCTCTCTTGCTGACCAGTGCGCTAAAAGTCTCTTCTGCAACACACATACCTAACCCCTATTACATATTACAACCCCTCCTCGAGCTCCCAGGCGTTGGAGGGATACTCATATCTGAGGGGAGATTTTCCATGACCATATTTCTTAACTGACTTCATCACGGAGGAGGATGTGGTTACTGTTCTTGTTCTGGGTGGCTGTATTCGGTAAGTGGAGAGTTTCCACACGGGGGGAGCACACTCCGCTCTCTAAAAGTAAAAAACTGAATTATGTCTTCAGGGGATCCAGTTGCTTTGCTCATGAGCCGTCCCGGGACAACCTAATTGACTTTTGTACGGCTCAAACATACATTTGGTGCACTGTACACTGTCAGATCATTTGCATCTGTAGTGCCTTGACAACCTGAAAGAAGGGGCCCCAGAGAGGAAGTGAGCCTAGCAGTGCCCGGAGTCCGGCCTCAGGCCGACACCGATGTGGGTAGAAATAAACACAGCCACAATATGGCTTTTGTTACTTCAAGGGAGAGGAAAAGAAAAAGAAACGCACAAAGGGCTTTGTGAAGAGGGGCGATCGCATAACTCAGAGATGTGTACCGAAGGGCCGCGCGTATGTCTCCGTATGTTCCACTGCAGCAGGAGGAAATCCACGAGAGAGCGGATACACTTCTGCTCGTGGGTTTGTTGCTCCGCCAAATGTCACGTTTCCACGTGCAGCTCCGTGCTTTGCTGCCGGCTGTCCCTCCGAGAGAGAAACGGGAGAAAGCCCCGGCACGGAAGTACAAATCACATTCAAATAAAAATTTTAAAAAATTCCACAACGGAGCGCAAATAGTGATAGTGGAAGGAGTGATGACTAAACTCGGACAGGAATCCTATTCAAAAACATGTGAGCTCATGCAAAGTTAGACAGGGACACAAACACGGGTCTGTGATGTTCTGCTAAACGCTTTCTTTCCATTTCTCTTCCCCACTTTTTCCTCTTTGCTCCCCCCCCTCAGCCCCACCACCCTCCGAGGGTCTCTCTGATTTTCTCTATTTTTGGGTTTATATAGTTTTTTTTTTAAATACATTTTTCTTTTGCATTCTTCACTCCGCCCTGGGTTCAGCCTACAACCCAAAAATATGTTTTGTCCACTAGTTTTTATTTGACATTGTTGTACTTTTCAATGTTCAAGACCAAAGCTTTTCAAATAATCAAAACCTTTCGTCTGGATTTGGCTCCATTAGGACCCTCTGTCTTTCTCACACCGTTTCTCACAGTGTCCCCCTCCAAACTGTGAATCAAAACCTTTGGTCTGTCAGTCGTACCAGAGGAGAAGAGCACAACGGAGTGCCCCAAGAAGGATTCCCATCATTTCTCCGGCCTTCCTAAGAGCAGATTCCAGTATTCCCCGGAGAAGCTCCAGTGAATCGGAGGCTGCTCACAGCAGTTGTACGTGTGGCTGAGAGCGGTGTTTTCTGCTCCAGTCCCGACTCAACAAACATGCGTCTGTTTTCTTATAGCCAAGTGATTTGATGAGGGGAGGAGGGAGGGTTGGATAAGTTAAGCTTTGATGTTTTTAATCGATTTTTTCATTCATGGTCCCTGACCTAAAATAAAATATGTGGTAAGGCAGAAGACCTGGAAGACATGTGACTTTATGCCAGTTTAAACAACCAGCAGCATTTTGGAGCAAACTTCTCTAGGAAAAGCTCATTTGTAAGTTTTCTGGTATTCTGGATAGGAACCGATTCACTGTAATTACAGTGAGAAAAGCTACAATAAAAAATATCTAGCAATAGCTTAAGCTCACCAACACGCATAAAGTACATTTTTATCTTCAGAGACGGCTTACACCCTGGATGGGTCGCCCGCCAATCGCAGTGCTATCACAGAGACAAACAACCATTCACACATCCACACACCTACGTGGCAATTTAGTGATGCCAATTAACCTGATCCTCAGTGTCTTTGGACTGTGGGAGGAAGCCGGAGTCCCCGGAGGGACTACACAGGGACAACATGCAGCCCCCACACAGAAAGACCAGGTAAAATAACAAGTCAAATAAGATATAATGCAGCAGGTATATACTACAAATTGTTGCTTTGATCGTTACCAAGTTTAGTAACTAGATCCCCATTGGCCAACCCCTTCCTGGGGGTCAACAGCTTAATTGTTAGTTGATTTTACAATATATTACTCAGCTAATCGCCTGGCCCACAGAAGCACAGTCTGATGGAGAAATGTTACTGAGCGAATACAAAGTTACTTAGAGATGTGTTGAATGTTCGTTAGTCCGTGCAAAGTTTGTTTCTCCTGGCTCTCAGACCAAAAAGCAAAAGCACCTGCGAGTGTTTGTGTGCGCGAGTGTGTGTGTTTTCGTGGAACATGAAGTAGTTGTCATGCAAGTCATCCGCCGCCCTCTATGCTCACTTCTCTTTTCATTCGCCTCCGCTGTGTGTGCATTTCTGTGTGTGTGTGTGTGATTTTGCACACCAGGTGTCAGCTGCCTCATCATCACTACTGACGGGGTTCGTCCACACACAAATTGCAAATACAAACACACTTTCTGGAGGAACGCGGCCGTTTTGCTGCTGCTGCACATTAATGGCTGAACTCAATCAAAACAGGAAAAGGTGCCAGAGAGAGAGAGAGAGACTTACTTGGTGCAGTCATTGAAGAGCTCCTTACATGGACTCTGCTCCAGCTTCTCCCGACACCCGGCGACCATTTCCTGGGGTACGTCTGGCAGATGGGCGGCCGACTTGAGGGTGACAGGGGAGAGAGACCAGGGTGAGGCAGGGAGAAGAGGGTGTGGTATGAAATGAGCTGCAAGTATCAAGGCTAAGAAAAAAGAACAGATTAATAGTGTTTCTGCGTGGGAACATGCACGGTCTGAACGGTGGGGCGCGACATCACGGCTGTGGACACTTCTCTCCAGTTTGGTCTGGTTTAAGAAAAGCTTTGACTGGTTTATCACTGCGGTCCATTTCATGTAGAATGGTGAAAAAAAAAGCAATACTAGAGACCAACTTGATAATGTAACGTCTTCCTGTGGTTGTGAACACAACGAAACCACAAGAACGTGTGATATGGGTGTGACACATTTACACTTTAAAATATACTCGACCCGTTTCCTTGAACTACACGAGACTCGTTTCCTCCTTTTATTTGTAGATGTTTCCAACAAGTAATAATTACGTGTTTGATTAAAGACCAATGACGGTAATCAAAAAGCCAAAAGAACCAAGATAGAGGCGTAAACACAACACAAGGGGTGACAATAAAGCAAGAGTGGTCCGCCGATGGTAAGCGGAAACATCCTTTTGGCTTCAGCCCAAAGTTGATACAATCCACCGCTTATCACGCCAGACTCATCGTTGGCTAATATTTAGTCATTCATTCATGAATATATATGCAATGATCACATAAAAATATTAATGAAAGAAATACAAAATACAGAAGAGATACTAAAAGCTACCAAGTTATAAACAGACAGATTTAACTTAATTTATATCATGTATATATTACGTTTTGTCCGTATCAACAAGCTGTGCAATAAAGTGAGTGTGCGTTTGTGCGGCATACCCCATTATTAAAGTATGTGTCTAAAACATTCAGTCCATAGTCCCTCCTCTTCTCGTCAGGAGCTAGCTGGTACATGGCCTGTCGGAGAAAGAGAGACGTGTGAACAACCACAACGGCACAGCAAGCAGAGCTCATTTAGCCATCCTTGTATCTGATATCTCTCCAAATAAGGTCACAGAGAGACGGCGAAGGGAGAGACACAGCGATAGAAAGGTAAAGGGGTAAATAAATAGGAAGACAGGACAAAATCGAAACAGAAAAGAAGTGCAGACAAAGGGAGGGGAGGCACCGCTGACCCAACATCTCATCCAGAGTCCAGGTGGCAAACTGGCAACCGTGTTCAACCTCACGCGCCGCCCGTTACAGGCCTCACTGGCAGAATGCTTCCATTGCACTAAACGCGTAGGCAGCGAGCTGGCCCACAGATCTGCTGCTTCAGCTCGTGCGTTCTGATTGAGAACCACTCAGGATGGGGTCCCTGGGGGGGGGGGGGGGAAATCAATGGCACCTTCGGCACTTGCTCGTTGCATTTCTTCTTGAAGTCGGTCGTCCAGTGTGGGGTTGTGTCACATACTTACTTGCCCGTCTACTTGCCTGGAGAAAGACGAATGGGTTCTTATTCAATGAGCAGGATTCTCCCCTGTTTTTCCTTCTCACATACCTCCAGGGGGGCCTAGACGACACGAGCTCGGGAACTGTGTTTGCCTGCTCACCCAGGGGACCTTCCTCTGACGTAGGCTTGATCTCATGGAGAGTGCGTGGAGGAGGAAGAGGAGGGGCGCCGCTGCCGCTGCTGCCTGACAGCCCGTCTGAGTCGCTAATCACCCCCCCACTAACCCCTCCAACCCCACCCACCGCCCCGAACCTCTGCCAGGAGCAGGCAAAGGGCCGTGCTCCCACTTTCCCAACCCGGTTTGCTGCTCTGCAGGACAGATTGCGGTGGGAGAAAACACAGCGACAGAGAGAGAGAGAGAGAGAGACAAGAAAGCTATCAAGTCGTCAGAGAACAAGCAGAGAAACAGTCAAAGCCTTACCACAGTATCCATAAACTCGATGCAGCGCTTCAGCTCCGGCCTGGTGTCACAGTACTGACGGAATAACAGCCGACCGATGGGCTGCTTCTCACATAAACTGGTGTAGTCCCTCTCTGAGGAGAGGATGGGGGCACAGATGGAGGAATGTGTCATTACACTAGAAAGATACATTATACCAGCGGATACAGACCGAAGCGCCCACCGGCAGGCAACACACAGAAAAGAATCACTACCATTTTGCTTAAGATGATATTTCAGAAGCTTATTTTTGTACTGTACAGTAATGTCAATAAGAAACAACAACATTTCCTAAAAAGCCAGAAAGGGCTGATCCAAACTGAAAAATGCAGATATACCATAACAGCGAGACAAAAAGAAAGTAACACTGAACCCCCAAACTAGTATTTTTACTTATGCTAAAACGTGCTAAAATCCAACACACACTACGTGTGTGTGTGTGTGTGTGTGTGTGTGTGTGTGTGTCTTCTGTGCAGCTGGCCTCGGCCTAGTAGGACCAATGGCGTCCATTTGAGTCATATTTGGTCTGGCACGAAATGAGGAAGAGGACCCGGGACGTTTTCCATCACTGGTTGACAGTAAGGACACACACACACACACACACACGAGATAAACATACAAGTGAAAATAGGCCACACACGTCGGCGTACACGTGCATATTTGTGAGCAGGAGGAGGAATGCATGGGATGGACATTTCTGAGTGGTGACAGCCACGGGACAACCTCCATCAGTAAATATAATCTTATCACCAGTCCACCCAGCTGCTCCTTCGCACTCAGCACTTGTGCGACCACAAAAAAAACAACCCAAGTTATCGCTCGGCAGCTGCTGTGTTTTAAAAAGATCAAAACCGCTTTCAGAAAATCTCACTGAGAGATCTTTAACGGCATTGCTTTGGAATCGCTTTCAGCCGTTGCCTTTCATCTTTCGTTACTCTTCATTTCTTCTTTAGGCGTGTTTCCCTATCAGCTGTGAGCCTCGGCCTGGGAAAGCCCCTCGAGCTCATACTTGATATCCCAGGGCCTCAAAAAGAGAAAAGTCCACCGAGGTGTGTTTGAAGTTTGGAGACGGATGATTCATCTGGACGGGCGGGAGCAACGGCGTGAACACGTGATGATCTCTTTTTTTCCAACGCGATGTGCAATAAAAGGACTTTCTTGCGGATGCGTGTGACTTGTGTTTGTTGTACAAGCAGCAACCAGACGGCTTCTTTATTTCAGGTTTCCTCCTGGGGATCGTCCCCATCCCTCACTGCCCGTCATCACTCCAGCGCTCTAGTTCACGACCAGCCTCCTGGTGAGGTCCCAACGCCTCTCTGGTGAACTGGTTTTGCTGGGTGACTGTCAGGGTGGTTTTCACCACAATCACGACACAACTGGTCGCAACGTTCCTCGAAGCATTTCCAGGTTTCCGAGCCATTGGGGCCAGGTAAACGTAGACACACTTAGAAATCATCACTAACCACCTTCAGATCCATACAGCAGGGAGTCATCTCAGCATTCTGTATCCGGTGCGGTTCGCTGTTGCACTTTATTTACATTTTAACAGTAAACAGAGAACCAGGACTTGGCAACAATCTACACCCAGGGACAAGTGGATGATTTCGGTATCCATGTTTTCATAAACAAGTCAAATTCTCTTTGTATACTTCTGCCAGAGCAACAAATACTACCCAGTGTAAAAAAATGATATAGTGTAGCATTTTCTAACCTCAGTGGGGGCGACTATTCAACAATAGGGACGAGGTGTGGATATTTAAACACTAAGAAATCCCAAGTATATCTTTGAACTGTCTCCCTTCATCTTACTTGATGAAGTTTACATATTGTTCACCTGCGAAATAAAAGGATTCGGTTACAAAATGTAGACTTTGAAGTTGACTATAAAAGCACTGAAGGCCTGAAAAGAAACCACAGTTTCTGAGTCAGCGTGTGAGAGCGTGTGTGTGTGTGTGTGTGTGTGTGTCTTTGTCCAAACAGATTCCGGCCTCTAAATCACCCGAAAGTAAGAACGTAGGACCAATATTCAGTGTCCTCTCTGTGTCCTCAAGAAAAACAACTGTTGAAGCAAGACGAGGGAGAAAACATGACAGGAAAATGAAGAGTTGTAAAGCTCGACACTAGCCCGGACCGGCCACTGTCAGAGGCGCAAGCTGCAATTACAGCTCATCTGACCCCCCAATACGGGCGCAGAGCGAGCGAGACATTGATGGGCAGAAGCTCGCTTCTGAGTTGACACGGCAGAGATGGGAAGTAACAGGCGCAGGTGCACTGAACGCTTTGGCCAGAAGAGAGAAAGAGCGGAAGGGGAAATGGAAGAAGAGGATGGAGAGAGAGAGAGAGAGAGAGGGAGGCCTAAGGCTGGCAGACAAAGTGGCTGCGGCCCACGTAATGTAATCTGGGATCCCTAGAAGTACTGCACACTCGTCAAGGCTAAGGTCAAATGCCTGACATTATCGAGACACAACAAAGACGCTGCTATCGGTCCTTTGCTCGCCTTCTATCTGCTGTGCTCGCACTGTGCCGGGTTATGCGTGAGCGTCTCCCAAAACGAGGGCCGTGTGCGAGAGAGAGAGAGTGTGTGTGTGTGTGTGTGTGTGTGAGAGAGATAGCACATGCCTACACGTCTGTGTGTTTAAGTTGGCAAAAGGGATTATTTTGATCCCGCGGCCGGTGTGATAGCGATGTTACACAATAGCTATCTATGTAATAGTGACGTATATTTCACCCTCAATAGCTGCGCACACGCACACACACACACACACACAGGCACATTTAGCCCACGTTAGAATCCTCTGCAAAGTTATAACCCGAAAAAGGCGGAAACTGTGCAAGACATGACGAGCGCCGTTCCTTTTCACACCTTTGGTGACTTTTATGAGCTGCTATTTCTTCCCCGGCAGGTAATCCACCCCTGCTGACGACGGGCGCATTCAAGTTCATAATAAATAGAGCCTCGAGTGAGGATTTGTGATATGAAGACAACAACAACGGGGGACACAATCAACACTGAGTGAGCGATATCGCCTCTCTCTCCCGCTCTCACGCAGCCTCCCTCCTCTCCTCGCTCCCGTCCTTAAGAGATCTTTCCTCCCGTTTTGTTGCAGCTTTTCACTCGCTCGTCTCCATACCGCTCCTGTTCTATCATGTTCCTCTGGAGTGGTGGAAGGGTGGGGTGGGGGGAGAGCGCTGCAGATAGCGGGAGGGGGGGGGAGGCATGGAGACGAAAGGAGGGAGGGAGAGTATGTGGGGGAGGGTAGCACTGCAATCTCTGGCAGAGATAGCAGTGACGCACTAATACACACACAAACATGCACCTACACACACACACACACACTTGATGCTGTGGCATTCAGAGGACCAGTGTGGGTGAGTTGAAGGGGGGGGGGGGATAATGTAGCTCAGCAGTCGAGCACCACAAAGAGAATCCTGGTTGTACTATCAAGCGAATGCCGGATGTGGAGCAAAGAGGAAGGAAGCAGGAGAGAAGAGGTTTGGAGACGGCGTGTGAGCAGACAGCGGGACAAGCACATGAAGTCCAGAGAGACTTTGAGATTAAGAAACGGCCGTGTGAAACGATTTACCCGAGTCAGACAAGAACACACACACACGTATACACAATGCACAAACTGTTTCCTGTCCAATGCCTGTAACCGCGGGTGGAGACGGGTAGAAACAGGAAGGAAGTCCAATTTGAACTTCCTCCAGCAGTCAGACCCACCCCAACGACACAGCATGGCACGCCGTCTTCCTGCGACACACACACACACACACATACACACACACACTCTTACCGATTGAGCGGCGCAGCTCCTCACACTGGCTGATGTGGGGCAGTTTTAGCATCTCCTTCCATTTCTTACTGCGGCCGTTCCTCTTCCCTCCTCCACCTGAGAGACACAGAGAGACGTTTCAAAATCAGCCCAATCGATCCAGTCACGGTTTCCTCGCCGCACTCGGAAGCCGTTAGCCGGCGGGCGCCGTCGTCGGGAGGCTTGCGCGTGCGTACGAGCACATCGGGCCTCGCTGCCACCAGAGGCGGAGGCAGCTGCTTCGTCTCGCCAGTCGCCTCCGTGCATCATGACGGAGCACGTGGGGCAGAACGTTGACAGCTTTAAAAGATCACGGGGAAGACACACACACACACACACACACACACACAAATACACAAACTGGTGAATCGGTGAACCTTCAGGTCCAACATGCTCCTCCAGAAGGGCTGAGGTCACTCCGTGTGCTCATTGCAACACCAGACAGTGTGTGTGTGTGTGTGTGTGTGTCTGAACTGAGGTATTTGCCCCTTGAGGAAAAGTTGTGTGATTGAACGCTGCTTTCGTTTGCAAAGAAGCAGCTTTACTCACGAGCAGTGGGGTCAACGTGCGTCTGTGTGCAAGAGAGACACGATCCAAACGGAGTATCGTCGGCTTTCTTTGCTACTAGATTAAGTTTTAGCTTCAGCTTAGCCTGACTAACACAGCAAAACGGGAAAAATTTGAATAAATGGATAAACAAAAACACTTTGTTAATCCAATTACACACAAAAAAGTCTTTATTGGGACGTTAAACGTTATTTGGTGTAGTAGATGAGTTTGGCGCAAACACAAGGCCTCTGCCTCTATATATATATATATATATATATATATATTCATTTATTTATTTTTCGTATTTTTCGCCCAAAACCACAATTGGGCCTCCGTGGGGTTTACATCTGTACACATGCGCCTATAAGCCCATCCAATCAGCTCATCTGAGCCCTCGGCCTGCGCGCTCCTCCTTAAGCTGCTAGTTTAACAGCTGTGAGTCCTCCCCCAGTCAGCGTCTTTGTCCACGCTCACAGTGATTTTGGGCGAGTGGGGGCTTACCGAGTCGACCACCTCTCGACCTGCGAAAACGGTTGACAACCCTGGGATCCCTTTTTTTCCCCCATGTAGCGTCGTCCTGCTCGTTTCTCGCAATTATCAAGCCGGCCCTTTAAGGACAGAAAGTTTACCGCACATGTACCCGTGTTTTCTTTTGAAAACACGGAGTAAACAAACTATCCCGAGTGAACCACGTAGACTGTGGCGGTTAAGAGGATGACAGAGGGGGAAATCCTCTGCCCAGGAGTTCACCAGCTGGTCTGCCAGCAACATGTGCCAGCTTCCAAACAAACACGCCCTCGGGGGTCACTGTGGTACAACACCTGCAAAACAACACCTTCCAACACACACACACACACACACACACACACACACACTCCATGGTGCAAACTCCACAGCTCCCCCTCCCCCGGCTCCATTACTGCAGATTTACTCTCTCACTCGTGCTACGTTCCCAGTGAACAATAACAACTGCCAACGTACGACACAGCTAGATATCCGCAACCCAAGCTGCGGTGATTTAGTTGCACAAGCGCACACACGGCCAAAAGAAGGTTGGGAGATGAGCTCCATGTAGACGCTTCGCTAACAGACTTCATGGGATCCCACTGGTCTCGGGTTTCGGATCCTGAAGGCCTTGCTGCGGCTGCAGGGCGCGCACACGCACAGAAAAACACTCGGTTGCAGGAAAGGGAAACTGTTTTTTTTGTTTTTTTTAAATGCCCAGAAAAGATAGAGATGATGATGTGACACTAGCCAGTCACGCACGCTTGAGCCAAAAATACACAATGATTGATGATCGCAGTGGAACCAGGTCGACAGAAAGTAGAAAACTGGCACAGATCAACTTCTTCCCCCATCAAAAGACGTCTTCGGAGGGAATGTTGAGTGTTGGGATTAGGAGTACCAATAAAAGGTTGACAGTGACATTGCTTGTGAAAAAATGAAAAGGCAAATGGGACAAAACGGGAAGAAACGACACCTAAAACCCGGCGTGAGAAAAGACGAAAATTGAGGAAAAACAACAAAATGAACAGCGATTCCCACAAGAAAAGCAAGCTGTGGAGGAGCGCGTGTGTGTGTGTCTGTGTGTGCGTGTGTGTGTGTGTGTGTGTGCACATGCCGAGTCGGAGTTGGCTGGCCCACCGCACCCTGTTTAATGTCACTCTGACGTCAAAGCCATGTGTGCAGGCCCTTAATGCAGACAGGATGGAGCAAGTATTTATTTAACTTTGCTTCTCCCCTCCGAGGGAGCGAGGCCCTCCATAAACACCGACTTCGCTCATTCATGGCCGAGCCGCGGCCAGCGGGGCTGAGATCATCGCGCAGCACCTCGGGACCGGTCTGCGCATGGGCGCCCGCGACCAGATCCAAACAGCGCTGCCGCCTTTTCCTTCAGAGGTGGATGGAGAAGGAGGCAGGGCACAGGGGACGTTTACTTGTTACCATCGCCCCCCCCACCCCCCCTCTCAGGAGTCTGTCCAGCAAGAAAAGAGCAAAAAGGCTATTTGAGAAGAATGCAGATGAATGGATGACTGAACATTAAACTCGTTTAAAATAACTTCAGGTAACCGCAGCCCTCTTTTTCCCTTTTTAATATGATCCAAACGGTGTTATTTTTCCAAAAAAAGGACACAAATAGCCGGAGGCACCACCGCGAAGAATGTCGTATCAACAACATTTCTGAACGTCGCCGGTCCGTCGCCATGCGGTTCTTTTATCTCGCCTGCAGCGACTCTTACTCTGTGTCCGACGTGGCGTCTGGCCTGGTTTTCTACATTTCGGAAGGGGCCGGTTCGACGTAACTAAGACACGAGAACCCGGGAGACAGAAAGAAAATACACAAAACGAGGGAGTGAACGGAGAACATCGTCACGCAGCTTTTGTTTGCGTCTGTCTCCGGAGAGCTGTGACCGCCTCCGGAGGTTCTTACAATCACGGGTCTTTACCCTCCGCTTCCACGCGACGCCAAACAGTGGAACTCCAGATCCGCTCTGCTCCCCAAATGTCCTCCCTTTCCCCCTCTCTCTCTCTCTCTGTGTCGGTCTTTCTTTCATCTCAAGGATCCAGAGACAGTGCCCCCCCCCCCCCCCCCCTCGCCCCTCATTTCATAGTAGCCAACAGGGGGGAGATGAATAAGATTCCTGTGCAATCGTTGGGCTCATAAATTGTCTAAATGACTAAACAGGATCTAAAAAGACAGCAATCAAATAAGATCTAAATCAATTCAGCACATTAATAGATATTCTATCAGAGTTTATTGGCTGATAAGTCACAAGATAGAAATGGAAGTGATAAAAACTATCTAATCTATGATCTCAAATATGAATTTTTGTAGCATCAGCCTATTGAACTTCATGGCTCGCGGTCAAAACGATTTTGTCTCGGAATAAACAGCGGCCTTATTTTTGCCTGGCCGACGGCCCAAAACCTAAATATGATATTTTATGAAGCCACTGTGAACTCTGAGAACTTGCGATGAAACTTTTATGAACCAAACATCTGACGTTAACGTAATATCGGAACATCACTAGAAAGTTCAATTCCTCCAAATGAGGCAACACCACAACGGTGTTCGATGGAAAAACAAAGTGTAATTATGTGCCGCACACACACACACGCACACAAAGCAATTATTTGCAAACCAAATCAGAGACCGACTGTGCATTCTGTGGAAGTTAATGAGATCGCTTTGATGAAATGAAAACACCGGCAAACTGCTGCTGTTCAGAGCCGCTCACCCGCCTGACGAACCCACGTCTGACGCCGAGGAGAAAAAGCCACGAGGCCGGAGAACTCGCCTGTGACAGCGGCGACGTCTTCTCACACACACACACACACACACACGCCGCTGGTAGCAGCCCAAACCGCTCACTAGATCTGAAAGCCGCCCTACAGCAGTCACGTCGCTGGGTGTTCAGATACCGGTAACCCCCCCCCCCGCTCCAAAAAACATGACTTGCGTTGTAGGAAAATGGGAGAGGGCCACGCATAGTTTCTGGCCCATTGTATTACGAGCGAGCACGGCGCACAATGGGGCCTGGCCATGATTAATGAATGGCCGGTTGCTTCCTCAGTCGCGCAGTGCATGATTGGCTGGCGAAGCCCCTGATAAGGAAAACATTAGCTGTGAGGATCCAGTGTTGCCCATTCAAAGCAAAGGCCCAGTGTTTGCATAAGTTAATCCGTCCGTATGCACACACACACACACACACACACACACGTCAGCTGAGAGAGAGCAAAAAGCGAAACATGTGAACGTCAGGCAGCGCTGGCCTCCCGTGATACACGCATCGCTCACGGGCCTCCTTCCACCCCCCCCTCCTTTCTCTCGCTTACTGTGGCTCCTTGCTCCCTTCCCCCACACGCTTTGGAATCGGTAGCAGTTTGTTGCCGAGTGTGTTACACGTACAAGGGATTTGACACAGTGAATGATGCATAAGAATAAACACAGTGCAGCTCTTGTTTTGCCTTTAATGATTATTTCCTCTCTTGCAAACACGAGGTGGAGTATGTGGTTCTTCACGGGGGCATATAACACACACACACACACACACACACACACACACACACACACACACGCGCTCATTCCAGTGACGTGCCGTGGTGTTTTGCAAGACCTTTCCCCTCCTCCGGCCCATATCTCTGCGTTAGAGGTATTCCATTAAAATCGAGCCGAGACGTGCCTGAAAACCCGCCCCTTGTTTTCGCGGCGTCTTGAGGGGGGGGGGGACGCGCCGAGACTAAACGTGAGACGGACGCACACGCGCTCGGGAGCGAGAGGACGCACTGAAACGGTTAACCATCTATATGCTGCTATCTGCAGCTGCCTCTCAGATGAAGGGCCCTCTGGATCGTTTCACGGCCTCGCTCAAAAGAGCAGGGAGCACACGGGCGGCGCCGAGCCCTTGGGTGCGGAACACGTAGCACATTTTACACCTTGAAGATCAGATAAGACGACAGCCGTCAAGCCACGTTTGGAGAAAGGGCCGGCGGAGAACTCAACCAAGGGCGGATGCCGCCATTATGACTCTGCAAAAAGTTTTAAAAGCAGCAAACCGGAGGACCTTTGACATTTAATACTCCTTCTGCTGGACTCTGCCAGACCTATAATAAAAATATATATATAATAATAATAATCTTAGCTCGGACCATGGCAACTTGCACATTGTTAAACGCCGGCTGACAGCTGTGCGCTCACGGGGAGAACGGCCATTCAACATTTAATAACGCAGCCGGAGCGGAAAGTGCCTCGTCATGCACGCTTCAGAACCTCAGGGGGGCGGCCGGTCGGGCCCAAACGCTGCGTACGCGTTTGCGGGTGTAGGAGCTGTAAAGTGAGTCCCACATCAAGGGACAGTCACAAAGCAACTTGGGTTTCATGGGCTTCAGCTGGAGGAAACACCCCGGAGTGATGACAACCAGTGTTACCCCGGCTATGACCGCAGAGCGAATAACGTCACAGGAAAAAAAGCCTCACATGCGGCCCGAGCGGGCCTGCAATTTATTTTTTAAAAAGGGTGCTGGAGAGGTCGGCAGAGAGCGGCGGGAGGTTAGAGTTTGCAGAGGCAGGTCGTCTTACATGTAGGGCGGAAAGAACTTAAGCGGGATTAGTTTCTTCTGTTTTTTCAGGGGAATGTGAGCACCGGACTGTCCACATTCCTTCCTTTTAATGAACCCAGAAGGAAAGAAATCTGATGAAACCTTTGTGTCGAGCTTCTCTTCGCGGTTGAATAACGACGCATGTGTGGAGACATGAAATGGTGGGGAACATATGCTCACGTCCATGTCGCAATCAAGCGGGTATTACAAATTGAAACACCGTATGGGTGTTTCCATGGCTCCTGAGCTCTGACACGTTCACCCACCAAGGCGCATCACCAGACAGCTGCACATTTTCCCCAACTCAAAAAACAAAAAACATTTTTGGATTGTGCCGATTAATAACCAGATGCAGAAAACCTAAAGTTGCAACACTGCATTGCCGATGCAGCTTTAATTAAAGCTTAAGTTCTGAAAACATAAGCAGTAGTCAGGCCCTCAGGACTTTTTTTTAATTTTACAAAAAGAAATGGGGTTCTTAAAACGCCAATGCAACAAGAAGGCATTGGCTCTTACAGAGGACGCTGGGAAACGTAGTCCTTCTCTTACTGAATGGAACGCTCTGCAAACAACCCCTAAAATGTACAGCTATCAATAATAGGGGTCTGCAACTGACCGGATTCCATCTAAATGACCAATTTAGGATTTTCCCATAAAAGAGGCAATAAGATCCCAATCGTCCTGTTGTCTCTAGTCTACACTACTCTAGATCTCTTTAAACAGCTCGTATGAAAACAGACGTTGTACAGAAGCTCAACAAAAATTTCAATTGAATTTGGCGGGTATGGTTTCTAAATTTGAATTGTTGGCTGTCAAGTTAACACAAATAATTCCTGCCATGCAGACGGCTGATACGAAACAATGTCAGCATTCGTTGAATATACAACTTCAGCAGCGTCTGGATGCTTTGGGATTAGCATCCACTGAGGTTTTAATATGGTGAGAGGACAATATGTCGGATGTATATTGCAGAGGCCATTCGGCACTGCTTGCTTCTTTATTGAGATACAACCGTATGTTCAGGTGCAATAAATGTATCCGTTCATACCAATAATTGTTTCCCCATCTCATAGGAAAAAATAAATATACTTTTTAAGTTGATCAAAGGGACCCTCCAATGTGGTTGTTAAAAGCTCAGACAAATACACGTGATGGAGGCAGGATATTCTACGGCCGAAGAGTAAACATCAATCTTCTCAGCTGACTACACAACGCCAGCTGCTCGGCTGTGAGAGTGCGCGCCGCCAACTCAGGTGATGCAAAGTTTTGTAAACAGTGGAGTCCGCGGGACAAAGTATGATAACACTGTTTTCGAACTGCATTCTGTCCCCCCCGTTTTCTGTGAACTATCGGTCTGTGATAAAGAAAACATCAGCTGTCAAAAGGCCGTCTAATGCATCGGCCGCACTCCACAACTCAAAAAGGTAAATATTGCACATTGAATACTACCTAACAATGTTCACACTGTGATGCAATTACACGCGTCTCATGTTGTACTGCAGGAGCGTGAATGAATCCACCCAATCGGCATCTAAAATGTTCCTCTTAAACTCTCATTTCCAAAACGATCTACCATGATCAAACAGTAATAACCTCCTCCGATAGAACTAAATGTAACCTGTTGCATTCTGAGAGGCGCTTCGACCAAAGATTTAAATGCCGTTAAATCTGTTGGCTTTCCTGTCCCGTCCCCACCTTTGCACAGAGGCAGAGGTGGGGGACGGGCGGGAACGGTGTCATCTCTAAAGCACCAAACCACTTCCCTCGACGTGTCATTTCCACCGAGGCAGACTGGACACACCCTGTCGTAAAAACCTCTCCCTCTGGCCACCCGGTTTCACATCAACAGGTGTGTAAAAGCAGGCCGAGAGCGTGGAGGATCACGCGGACTGAGGCGGACCGTGCGGGGCGGCCTTAATGATCAAGAGCCAACGCGGCCAATCGGCAAACGGGACCATTGTTTATGCGCGTGTTTATTAGCGCGCTGGAAACCGTTCGTGTGAAGAGGCCTTGACGTCGACTGGTGCAGAATGGAAGGAAAACGGGCAGCTGACCTCGGATGCACAGGAGCTGCTGGCCTTCTGGGTTTGTGCGCTTCAACGCGACAACTGCAGAAACACTTTGAAAAGCTGCAAACGCCCACCTCTGTGAAGCCCAATTAAAAACAAATTAGTCTCCCGTGCACCTAAATTGGGAGCCATTCGCGGTTTTAATGGAAGTGATAATTAACCGAGCGAATGGTATAGCAGAGAGAAATATAAAAACAGACCTATCCCACGTGTTTGACGTTGCAGAGGAGAAATCCTCATTAACTCCACGAATCAATTTTGTGGGTCTTTTTAGCGTGAATAACTATAAATTCCAAGACAAATCTCCCCCTGATTAATAATCACAACATAAGAAGTTGTCCCACGTAAGGAGGCTCTCCGCATGGATCACACCCCCATCCGAGGGCCTTCTTGAGCCCACAAGGCCATGCACCATTTCCACACACACACAAAAAAAGGCAGGTGAAGGAGACCGCGGTGCCTTGTGAGGAGCCGCCGCTGCTGCTGTGAAACGGATCTACTGCCGCCGCGGATAATCCATTTCACAGCAGCGCTGGCGAATGCAAAGCGTCAGCAGGAGGCCTCGGCCATCTACTGCCCCTTAGAGCCGTGCAGCTTTCTGCTGGAGCCACAACTGATTGGCAGAGAGAAAGAAGAAAAGGAGAAAAAATAACACACACACACACACACACACACACACACAAATGGGAATCGTTGACTAGTAATAACACCTTTTCAACCTCCCCTGGCAGCCGGTACAGTGCTGTACGCCCACCCGGCGCCCACTCACTAGCTTCTCTGCTCCGTCCTCCCCTGGGGAGGGAACAGAAAATATAAAATAAACAGCAGGACACTCGCTTGTTTTCTCCACCTCCAGGTGAGCTGCGGCGGGATCTGCGGCCCGCTGAGCAGCGTGCACTCGAGGCGGCACGCAGAGAATTAGTGGGATTTTCTACGGTTTTATCCTCCATGTTTTAACGCCCCCTCATCTGAAACCGAGCTCACGGACATTTACACTCTAGTCAAGGGAAAAAGCAGTGTGCCTCTTGGGGTAAAGAAGCACCCACGTTTCAGGTTTCGAGTTGGAGGCGGGCTTTAAAAAATTATAATAAATAATAACATACGCGCACGGAACCCCACGGTAACAGCTCGTGAGAGAGAGAGGGAGGGAGAGAGAGAGCAAAGGGGGGGGGGGAGAGCGGCCGCACCGCAGCACCGAGCCCCACTGCGCAGCTTCATTTCGGCTCAACGATCGCGGCGGGACGTGGACGGGATGGCCGTTACACGTCCCGCCGCGATGTCACCGTAACATGTAAAATATCCGCTGGTGCGGAGGAGGGAGGCGAGAGAAAGGAGGAGCGCGCTCGGCCGGCGTGTAACGCGACGCCGCAAACACTCCCTGCGTTGTTCACCTCCAGCCCCGCTGGGCCTTGTGTCAACCTGCGCGATAAAGACGTGTGTGGTTGCTGCACAAAAACAGCTGATTTTGTTTTTGTTTTTCCCCCCCCCCCCCCAACACACACACACACACACACCGCCACCCCGGGAATATGCTCGCTGTCTACCCAGAGAAGAAATGCGCAGCGCGGTGATGGGAGACTCAAGAGGAACGAGGAGGAGACGCCGAACGCTCGGACACGTCCGTGGGGGACAAACACAAAACAGCACACACACACACACACACACACACACACACACACACACACACACATGTAGACATTTTCATGTATTCGAGTGGACTTCCAGCTGCGCTCACCTTCCCGTGCCTTCAGGAGAACCGTGTTGGCCACGATGTTTTCAATCTCCATTGTCAGAATGTGAGTCGCGAGCAGTCTCGATACATTTCACTCAGCGGAAAAAAGACCAGTTTTTTTTTTCTTCCCTTCTGATCAAACGTGCGGGCGGCGGTGAGGCTGCTGCACGCGCGCAGGGCGAAGGCGGCACTGGCGCATAGTCGGTGTTTACACGCGGCCGCTGCTCCTCTCAGCGCCGAGACGCCTTTTTTTAGAAGAAAAAACACAAAAAATAAAATCTAACTCCGCTACCTACGGAGCGCCGGGATTATGACGCCGCTCGTTAGCATTCACAGCCTGCCTTCCCTTCCCTCTGTGACCGCCTGCCTTCCTTCCTGCTTCGGTTCCCTCCTCTTCCTCCTCCTCTGCACGACGAGCCCGCGAGAGTAGGAGGGATCATTTTACAACCAGTGCAACCCGCACGCACGTTCACGCGCACGGTCACCGTCACGCGCACGGTGCACCCCCCCGAAATGTTTTTTGTGTTTTTAATTAAAACGTACTTTATATGTGTGGTGGTGGATGTCTTTAATCCAAAAACATGTCTGTAAATACTAATGGCAACTTTTCCCTCCTGTGATCTGCTGCTTTACGGCTGTCGTGACGCAGAGACTCGCCGGTGCCTCCGGCCGGCGGAGGCCTGCTGAAGACCTTGTGTTGGCGGGAGGGTTTTAAAGTTGCCACATTTAGACCAGGATGTAAACGCCTGGAGAAAAAACGAGATAACACACAGGTTTTGTCTGTGCTGTGAGCCAGCGTGCCTCTGGGTGTTCTGATCTGACTTTCGGATCGAGTGCTCGGGTCAGGGTTATTTGAGGTGTGTGTCTTTCGATTGTCGTGTACCTTTGGAAGCACAAAGTGGGAATTGTCGAGGGTGATGAGACCCATGAATGTGATAAGTGAGAATACACACTTCCTCATTAGCTGTTTCACTTTTCATTTCTTTTATTAGGGTCATAAACACATCACAGGGAGGCCTAAAGGTCTTTGTGGAGCCGGGAGTGGAGAAGCTCAAAGGTCGAAGGTCAAAGGCTTTCATCTTCACTTCCTCATTGATTTTACCAAGTTACTCAAACCGAACAAGTCTGTTTTGGTGTCCGACCGCTGGATATGTCCGAAATAATGTCTTGAATCGCCGAGACATAACAAAAATGATTCGGTCACTGTAGATTGTTTAGCTATTTCAAAAGATTACCAATCTGACACAACCTTTGTCAGAACTGTGCCCATAGAAACGGTCTGTTATCCATAGCAACAGAATGTAGAATTGAGTGTTCAATGAAAGCTGGGTAATACACATTTTTAAAGCAGTAAGAATGAAACTAAAGTAGTAGTTTACTCTCCTACCACGACACTGTCGGAATGATCTTTTTTTCTTCTTCTCATAAGCAGAACTTGTGTGGATACAGTAACAATACCCCTCATTCAGCCTCACATCAGACTATACACTATATTTTAGCAATGCACCCGTCCGTGGTTGCTTGTCTGGATAAATAAAACCCCAAGTACTGGTCCATTCAGTCAATGCTGCCACCTAGTGGTTATAATGCATGACTGCAGCTCTACACGGATTTTATGCTTGAAAAAACGTTGAAATCCTTGCAATCTGTATTTAGCCTCCATTGCTTTAAGAAATGGTATTTCGATAAGAAATGGGAAAAGCAATAATATTATATGGGTACAGCAACAAGTTAATGCATTAGCAACACCAAACACACAGAAACTATTCTGGGATGTTGACTTTTAGTCCAGGTCATCATGCTACAAGACTGGCCTAAAACCTTTGTATTCAGGAAGGCGTTTCTTACTCTGTTAAGTTTTACCATGTTTTACTTTGTTTAATGTATTTTTCATGTTTGTGTTACTCTCTCTGTGGCACTCTGAGATTTGTATAGCTGAAAAGTGCATTACAAATTAAATGTATTATTATTATTATGACGAAAAAAGAACCCCTTTGCTTAGACTCAGAGGAGTCGGGATTATGGGATGTCAGCTGGTTGAACAGCTCAATACTGCTTTGTTTAAATCAATACTTTAATAGATTGGTAGGATTTATTTATTTCAAGTCATAAAATTTTTAGTTTTAACAGCAAGCAATACAAAACAATTTCAGGTTCATATTTACTCATTGTTGCAATTCCACTTTGTTCATGGGTTTCTTGGGAACGAGAAGCATACACTTACAAACATATCGCATATCACTTTTGATGCAAAAAAAAAAAAAAAAGCTTCCCAATTGTTTTACAGGTATTTCCCTGGGCTTGATTCTCAGGTTCAAAGTCCCTGCGGCCGCGAGGGAGGACCTCATCCTCGTCGTCGCCTTCTTCTTTCTTCATACCGGTCGGCCTCCCAAACCAAACGAGGTCCGAGATCCCTTATCTGACAACATGAAGCCGCGCTGCCTGTGAGTACTTATTGAGTCAATCTTGACCACAAATCACAAAACCCGTCCTGCTTTCTTCAACCAAGAACAATATCCAAAATCAAACTTATGCTCCCTACGCCTCGACTCAGGAAAAGTAACTATCAGTCAAGTCCAGACCTTTAACTCAGTGTCATCCTCCTCTCTGGCATCAGACAGAAGACCTTGTCTCCCCTTCTACCAGTTCACGATGCACCAGCTGGTCTTCTCAATGGATTTAACGGACAACGTCACATCCCCCAAATCTTTTCTCCCCTGGCTCCCAGTTTCTTTAGTTGTCTTTTCTAGGTTTTTCTGCAATTGAGACTTCCACAAAAGTAGGACGATGTGCAACAGCCTTCTTTTTGTCGACCAGTTTTCTGTCGGTTACTTCAGGTAAGACATATATGTACATCAGTCTTGTAAAGAAAAATACTGTCCATTTAAAAAAACACACGGCATATGTGGCATTTTAAAATGACTATTTTTTTCCTTCTTTGAGCTTGTAAATGTGCTTATTCAATAATCACACACGTCATCATGATAATACAGCACAATGTGTTCCTCCCCATAAGCCTCTCTCACCGCAGACCCGTCACAGGGAAAGGCTCACATATTGTTGACCCAGCGAGTCTGCGTCTGGTCTGCAATACCAGGGCGGATAGTATCTCTCCTTTTTTTTTTTCTTCTAATTTTTGTGTGAGGCACTTTTGCATTTAGAGAAGTAATTCCTGGTCAGCACATTTGAATCTAGCTGCAGTGTGGTGCTCTCACTGCATATGGAAGATCTACAGCAGACGCTTCTGATTCTCTGTTGCAGGGTTGATACTGGTTATGTTGATCCAGCCAGGAGTCACTTATGGTGAGACGGGAGAAGATGCAGAGTCTCTTGCCATTGTCGAGGACTTGTTGGATGTAGTGTGGTGAGAGGAACGTTTATATTTTGACATCAAAAAAACAAAACGTTGGCCACTCGATTGTTTTCTCCACCTTCAGGTGAGCTCATGAGCGGCCTGTCAGTCTGTTTTGGTCATATACACGGCCTGTATATCTCTATGATAGCATCTACCACTCATGAACGTTATGTCAGACTGATTCAATACATAACAATTTTCCACCAACTTAAATGTGATTCATAGCAGTGTATTCCCCCCTTTGATCTCATGAAAACGCGGCTTTTAAATATGACTAATACCACCCCATTTTACAACATTGATCGATTCTTCAGTGGCAGTGTCCCTTTCCTGCCAGGAGGGGGCGGTCTGTACATTTCAATTCATAATTATGTGTTGGTCATTGTATAACATTTGATTGGCAGTACTATTACATTAACTAATATGTCTGTGTGTAAAGCAAAGAAACGACTCTTGTCTCAACTGTATAAAATATTTTTAATGTTTTTTTCCCCTGCAAAAACGACTTTACGGCATTACAGGCGCAAATCTGGCTGCAGAAACCAGGGTGAGATGGGCCGCCGTACATCCCTCAAAGTTCTCCTCTTTTTCCTACTCCAATGCATCCTTTAAAAAGCATAGAGATATTTTAGGTTAACACAAGTCTCCGTCTAACATGAAATAACAGTCTATGCCAGCAAACTGACATGTATCAAAGGTCCATTAATGTAAACACATGGTAATGCAGCACAAACTTTTCTTTAATACCTCCAGAACATTATTTGAATATTTTCCAACAGCCTGCACAGGGCTGAAGTGTGTACATTTTTGTTAGTTATTTTTTGTAGCTGTCTGAAAAAATGTCTGGATCCACAACATCTGGGAAAGAAAGACAATGCTCCACGCACACACACACACACACACGCACAAGTGGATAAGCAAAGATACTCTACATGGTTACTTACTTTTCAGCCTTCGATAATGGGCCTTCCTCTGAAACTCTTCGGTACTGACGATAGCCCTCCAGCACACTGGTGCTAATGACCCAACCATTTTGTTACCATCGAGCAGAACGGCCTCCACAAAACACGGCCTGCAACAGCTCCACACTGAGCTGTATAGTAACATTTTGAAAAATGTTTTGAAAAAATCAATATCTGTTCGAAATCATTCCTTAATAAAAGTGTTATTATATTGTTTCCCTTCTACAATAAAGTTATCTAGTAGCCACATGATGTCCGTGGATGTCAATAGAAATGGCAATTATTACACATTTTGTAAATATATTAACATTGAAAAACAATTTACCTCTTCCATCTGTGTTGCTCTCACTGTCTGCTCCATTGGCTGCATTGGGGTTCAGATGTTATGGTGAACCCTGTCATTCATTGAAAATGCATTCAATTATTATTATTTTTTAAGTTTTATAAGTTTATTGTTGAAAACTCGCATATAGTAGAACTCGTAAGTCTGTTCAATATAAAATACTTTGTAATAACAGTTATAATAATCTGTCTATAGGCCATATTAAGAATTTTTTATTATATCCTATTACAGCTTATTTTAATTGTTGTTCTTGACTTTGTTTGGATTCGGCTATGTATCTTGCATTCTAACCTATGCTGCTGTAAATTCTTTTGATTTTCCCGCTGTGAGACCTCAAAGTTATTATCTCATGTTATCGAATCATTTGTCAAGACAAATCAAGACATATTTGTTAGACATTATCATTTTGGTCTTGCCTTTTCATGTATCTCAAGGTGTTGTAATTAAATATGAACTTTTAAATATAAAGATATATAAATGTATTAATATGAAATGTCATACGGCTGAAACATTTATTTATTACGGTTTTGAGAATTCCCTCTTCATATGGCTAATTGCAAAGATCAAAACTACACAGAAGAAGGACTTTGGAATGCTTGAATTGTCACTGTAATCTTAATTTCTCGTAGTTACTAATGCGGTTACTTTAGCTTATACATTACCAGTATTTTAGGTCTGATGTCTTGGTTACGTTGAGTAGAATAGATCCAGCTTTATATCTGGATATGCAAATTGTCCGCCTCAGCCACCCAATGTGCACCTGGAACAGATTCCACGTTAATTTTTAAATCCATGCTGTATTCTGACATAATGTAAATAAATCCGTGGGTAAAACATATTGAATTCTTACTAGTTTTGTTTCAACTCTACACTTTTCAACTTACCTATATCAATCAGGTCATCTGGCCATAGATATCACTTTCCACTGCAGGTTCATTTTTAGCCACAATGTATTTCAGTCTTTCTGCCAGTTGTGCAGTCCGAAATGTTGATAAAGACATATTCATATTAAAGCTTACTTTGAAATAGCATATCATAGATACAATGCGACACCATTGCTTTAGAATAAAATAGGATTGGACATTAACCACCAATTTCCATCACAGTGTATCCCTTCCCTTTTAAAAATGTAAAGCAGCCGTTACAAAAGCCAGTATTATACAGTTATTATACATTATGCCAGTATATACTATACGGGTATGTACCAGTGACACCCACAAAGGAAGTCCTGTGTAGTCCAGTCTCCTTGTACACACTGCAAGTGGATCTACCGTTCACACTTTTTACACTCCACCCAAGTTTTTCACTTCATCGTGAAATGTGCTGAGAAAGTGATTAAGACAGTTCGACTTTATTACAACTTGTGTAGCCTTTACATTTTGTCTTTTCAGAATTGTGGTTAGAACATCTACAATACCTCTATGAGCCTTGTACTCAATAATGTTTACATTAAATACCCAAAATAATGATTAATTACAGATCGAAAGCACATTTCATCATATAGTAGAACAATAATGAGCCCACACGTATAAAATGATATTGGTCGTGCTACCATTCATAACATTAAAGGTATTGAATATTTCTGTAATCTTGCTTTTTACGCATTGTACTTTGCAGACGGTCCCTTCGCAATCCCCTCGAAATCGGCCACACATTAAGACAAAATGATTCGTTTAGCTCGCTGACCGGTCTGTTTTGGTAAAGTGCTGGTTAATAATGGGTGTATTTGGTTGTCAACACCACTACGGTTACGGGGAGGTGTCGCTTGTGTTTTAACATCGTTTCGCTGACGAGCTATTGAACCGTGAAGTCTGAAGCTGTGAATATCTCGCTAACTTTACCGAACTCTTCGGTCTCCAGGCGGGAGGAGCTAATAGCCGAGGGACTGCTAGCCGACGAGTCCATCCAACATGGCCAACTAGTCCGGGGTTGGTCGACCTTCTGCTCCAGGTAAGTCATACGCTTTAAACCTTAAAAGCCACCAGCCAGTGACCTGACGAGTGTAAACCCCGTTCGGCGTCTTGTCCAGTGACCTAACATGTTTGTAAAACGAACGTTAAGGTTTCATGCTAGCAAGCTGTAGCTGCTAGATGACGTTAGCTTCACGGCTAGCACTTTTCTACGGAAGCGTTGTGTTTCCAACTCTCGCGTAAATAGGCGTTTGTCTAACGTTATGTACTCAACGACGTGGCTTTTATTCAGACGAAGATCGACGTTAAAATACCCTCTTACTCAAATAACGTTGGGTGATAGTTGTTGAGGTCCGCATCTTGTTCTCCTGTATGAAAGCCGGTCAACGTTTGGTTTCGCTGCCCCTTCGCGTGCCAACGTGTTCGTCTGAGCAGCGGGAGCGTTTTTGTGGTAACGTTAATCTGTTATAACTGCCATGAGGCTTAATCTGTTAAAACAGTGATTGTTTACTTTGATGGGGTTTTTTAATTTTCAATGGTCAGAACAAAACGCCATAAATACACACAAGAAAACAAGTACCTTTTAACTAACGATCCAATGTTTAGGTTCAGCTCGCAGCGTTGTCATGGCGACGGAGTTATCTCTATGGCTACTGAGCAAACTCCACCCACGGCCCCTGATGAAGCTAATGAGATAAAGCTAATAAGTGAGAGCAAATATTTTCATTTGATCAAAATAAATGAATACAATAGGAGACGGGGAAGGCTAAAAAATGTGCTAGGGTTAAGAAGTAAAATCAGCCATATCATGCCTTTTAAACAGACCTTTTAATTCCACAACGGGCATGAAACATAATGAGGAAGCTTCGATGTATTAAAGCCATCCAGGGGATTTAGGTTAATATTTTCTGTATTTACATTCTACATTCTCATAATCTTTCTTTGCTGTAAAAACTGGTCATGACTATGACTTGCTATTCCTTTACATTTTTTTTTGTCCAACTGGTTCTTCCGTATATACCTCATTATTATCCTTGTGAATAAACCTGGCTTTCTTTTTTGAGTCTACCAGAAGCAATGGGAAACTTGAGATGGTAAAAAGGTGGAGACTTGTTGCGATAGAGACCAGCGATTCATCGGGGCGAGAGGGCTGAAGGGAACCGTGAGTTTATTATCCGATGCGTGTGAAGGAGAACAGCATGATGGTTACAGCGTGTCCCGGGGAGAAGAGGCGAATAAAGGGTGAATAATTGAATTGTTACAGCGTACAAGGAGGCAGTGTCTGTGCTTTAGAGGGATGAGTAATGGAAGCCGTTCACACATTAGTGACAGTAAGCGCATTATATGTTGACCAAGATATTTTTTTTTCAATTTGACGTCTATGTTGTAGAGCGTGTTAGTCAGGAGTTGGAGCTTGTTTAGAGAGCCGCTGAGTAGGCAGAGAATAAAGGGAATGGTTATGAGCTGTATGGGGTGTAGTCTACTTCAGTAATACCAAGTAAGCTCTTGTTGAATACTTCAACATTCTGGTCCCGCCTATATTTTTCAGAATGTAGTTATTAAATTCTGTCATTGTTCAGATCTTGATCTTCGCAGACACATTTTGTGTTGCAAAATGGTGATGATTTATCCGTTTGATTACATAGTGCTCTGCAACTTCCTTCCCACCGACATATTGCTTCAGCACTACCACAAACGTGCATCCTGTGCTCACTCATTTTGAAGATGCATTTATTGCAGAGCTAACTTCATCAAATATAATGGATCAATTATATGTAGTGGCCTATTGTCCTTGGGACCAATAAAATACTGTATCAAATGGCCACTGATGCACCTACTGGTTTGTTTCTCTTACGCAGCAAGGTTGTCCAGGCAATCTGTTCCCTTTCTTTCACATTTTATTTCAAAGAAGTCAACAAACAAACATACAATTGGCTTGTGGCTTCTAAACTGAGGGAATAAATATCTCTAGAAATGCACGCACACTAAAAAGATCAGGTACAGTAAAGCATTGTGATGGGCGATAAATGTTTCAAGATGTGTTTTAAAGGCCAATGCTCTCTTGAAACATCTTCCAGTTTCCCTGAGAATTTGCTAAAGGATGTGCTTCAGCAGAGGGGATCAGACAACCAGACACTTGTATCTCTTCTTGTCATCAATGTGAGTAGGAGATGGGGGCCTCAACAACAGTCACACTCATTAAACGTGTGAAAACGTTTCTCCCCGTAGGTTAGTGTTTACCAACGTGTATTGATTTTAATGAGGTCTTTGGAGCTTGACTTTATTTGTGCGAGGTGCCGCCGCCCCCCTGTCCCTCTATTGCAAAACACAGGAAACCCTGCTGTGCAAGTGAAAACTCTAAAAACACTTCAGCCATGTTGGCTGTTCTTCTCCACAGAGCACTGGTGAAGGACGGTTCAGTCTACATTCCATACGTATCTCAGACATATGCGATCAGGTTACTTGTAAGTCCTGAGACAGTAGGACGTGCCAGCTGCTCCGTGTGCATTGATTAAGGTTCGGACTGAAGGGGACAACCAAACTCCATTGTGTAAAAAGAACAAGGGGAACCACAGTCTGTTTGTCCAACATATTTCCTCCTCCCTCGGGTCCATTCTTTCATCCTCCCCGGCCATTGTTTCCAGTGTGTTTTTATTATTATTTGAACTGTATACAAATTTGAAATCAACAGTACAAAAACAAATTGGGACTTGATTCTCATGAGCTAAAAACAATGTAATGTACATCACTGATACATGATTTGAATAAAATAAAACATGTATATTGTTGTTTTAAAAAACTTGGTTTGAAACAATGTAATAAGTACATATACATTTTTAAACAATGTTTGAAAAAGCACTTTCCTGTTGTTTTTTTACTACCTTTCTATATTTTGCATTTCATACCGCACCCTCCCCCCATGGCTCTGATGTGCCTCTTTATGCTTAACCCCAGGCAATAGTGGTCACCACTTCAAGTCCAAGCCTGACCGTGAGGATGGAGACAATCCGCCCATGACCTCCTTTGGGGTTGCCGTGCGAGGCCTTCCCCTGGCCTTGGCTTCCATGACACAGGCTACCGCCGCCGACTCGCGCTTCCACCCTAAATGGCGGGCGATCACTGTGGCGACCCTGCTGGCTTTGGTGCTCATGTTGTACCTGCACCGTGCAGGAGAAGACAGAGACACTGCCGACGGAGGTCACCAACGCCACAGGGTTGACGATATGAAAATGCACAGTGAGGATGTCATCTTCACCGACAGGCAAAATGCTCGAAGCATACGCCGCCATCAGAGGAGCGAGCAACCATACAACGACACATACCCTTTGAGTCCGCCAGAGAAGACCCAGCACGGCATCCGCTACCGTATCGGCGTGATCGCGGATCTGGACACGGCGTCGCGTAGCTCAAAAGACCAGACGTGGTTCAGCTACATGAAAAGAGGTCACCTGACCGTTTCAGACAGCGCTGACAGGCTGGAGGTGGAGTGGGATGCTGAGACAGTCACACTGGAGAGTCATCTAGCTGAGAAGGGACGAGGTGAAGCAATAACACACACACAGATCTGCACTCACTACGTTTGTGCTTTCACCGTAGTGTGTTGGAGACCATCGTGTTTGTTTGACCTGCTGTGCTGCAGGTATGGAGCTGTCTGAGCTGGTGGCGTTCAACGGGCACCTATACAGCGTGGACGACCGCACGGGCGTGGTGTACAGGATCGAAGGCAGCCAGGCCGTCCCCTGGGTCATTCTGCCCGACGGGGACGGCTCGGTCTCCAAAGGTCAGTCTCACGTGCACCCGTGACAAAGTCCTTTTGGGGAACAGTTCCCTAATTTGTTATCAATATTCTGATTTCCTTTTGACCGTCAACAACAAAAGAGATGTAGTCTGAATCCAACTGAGGCAGCCGGTCATCAATGTGCGTTATGGCGACACGGAAAGGAAAGGCCGGTGGTCGTCTTGAAGTGGTTCACATACCGTCTCACTAATCAGTCCTCGCTTTGGGTGCAGGATTCAAGGCAGAGTGGCTGGCAGTGAAAGATGAGCACCTGTATGTTGGCGGGCTGGGCAAAGAGTGGACCACGACCTCGGGGGAAGTCGTCAACAACCACCCGGAGTGGGTGAAGGTTGTCGGCCACCGCGGCGATGTGCAGCACGAGAACTGGGTGCCGTACTACAACGCCCTGCGCAGCGCAGCAGGGATACAACCACCAGGTTTGGACTTTCTCCTTTATAATCCTGTTCACATTACATTAGAACCATTACCGCAGTAGTATCGCATCTTATTAGTTGAACCAAGCGCATGGTTTGGATTTCAGATGTCGTGGGTTCCTCAATCCAAAAGTAAATTGATAAAACCTGATAACCGTTATGATTTAAGGGGTGACATCCCATTGATGTTTAATTCTTGCATCCCTGTAGGGGAACCGTAGATGGCAGTATTTTATTAGCTTAGATCTTGTTAACTTGCCCGTCTTGCTCTGCAGGCTACCTTATCCATGAATCAGCGGCGTGGAGCGAGCGCCTCCAGCGCTGGTTCTTTCTCCCTCGCCGCGCCAGTCACGAGCACTACGAGGAGACTGCAGACGAGCGGCGGGGCACCAACCTCCTCCTCTACTGCCCCGCCGACTTCAGCCAGATAACGGTGCGGCACGTCGGCCCGCTGAACCCAACCCACGGCTTCTCCTCGTTCAAATTTGTTCCGGACACGGACGATCAGATCATTGTGGCCCTGAAATCTGAGGAGGACGCAGGCCGGGTAGCCACCTACATAACCGCCTTCACGCTTGACGGGCGGGTGCTGATGCCCGAGACAGAGATAGGGAAGGTGAAGTTTGAAGGACTGGAGTTTATCTAACAAGGGCAAACCTGACGAAGATTAACAAACAGACTTTGTGTTACATTCCCATCTTAGTTTGTGCAATATGGGGTATGACCCAAAATGATATATTTCATGATCATATATTGTGTGATGATTGAGAGGAACGGTAGATCATCACCGTGGGAGACATGACCAGTGTCACCAGTAATTGAGTTTTGTGCAGCTGGTTTGGGCGCCAGACACAAACATCCACACCTTTCAAAATGAGAAACCACCAATATAGAGTAAGCCGTCGGTTGATCAAACACCAGGTGATGTGGATCTACGTTCCTGCAGCCAAACTCTGCTGGTCAGACACTCAGGGGAATAAACAGGATTACTTATTACAAAGAATGATGATAAATATGAAACTCGCATCACTTTGTGTTTGAACTCACTCTGCAATTAGCTTTATATTGATATAATAACCGCTCGAGCAACTTGTTCCATGTTTTTTTCAGCAGGTCCACCCCAAATATTTTCACATATTTTAGTAAACTAAATATTTGTTTTCTCAAGGCAGAGAAGTGAAACACCAGCTATTTTATTTAAACTGAAACCATAAATGTTACTTTTATATCCTTTTAAAATACATAATAAAATTATGTTTTGTCATGTATAAATCTTGTTTTTAATGTGCAACAGTACATCAACGTTTGTATTGTTCAGAGTAGAAACCACAAATCTATCAAAAATAATCACATTCCAGTTCTTGTTTACAAAAGCATTGGTAATACATTACATTGGTCCATTGTTCAAATGTCATTATGCATTTCATTGACTAATCTAATATTGCAGATGGACATTAGCAAATCATGAAGATAATATTTGATCAAGAATGACAACTGATTCTATTATGATGTGCTGCACAGTCTGCAGTTATTCGCTGTTTTCATCTTAACATTTGAAACCTGAGGATGATGTTTTTGACTCATCTTGTTCACAAGCTTGTTCCCATGGCAATGATGTCCTGAGGCAGACCGGCTATTTGTGCGGGTTTGAAGGAGCCCAGTTTAGTGTAGAAGTCGCACATCCTCCGATCGTCCCGCCTCAACTCGCAGAAAACTCCTCTGGACCCTTGAGTTATGGAAAGTTTTCAATATTAAAACAAATGTGTGGCATTAGGGATGCTGAGCTCTTAAAAAGCTGCCAATACTATTGCAGATTTAGACCTCTACCCGAGCATAGTTTCAGCTGAATGCTGGAAATAACACAGCTAACTAAGCTTCAACTCTCATCTTGCACTAGTATCGGAATTGCAACAGCGTGAGGAAGCTGAACGGACAATGACAGAGGGGCTCCTCCGAATGGCCAAAATGCTGTGTGTTAAACTTGAGCTTGCTCAATGGTAGACCAGTTTCATGAGGCACTTCTCCAAATTATCAGTAGCAGTTGTGTGCAGTTGAGTGTCCTACCGCTGCTCCGGATGGAGGACAACAGCTGACCGATCATGCGCTTAGCTGGAGAGGGATCAGTGACCCGAGGCAGCACTTGTATGGTCACCAGGGAGGGGAAGTCCTTGAACACAGATGCACTTACTGCCCTCTAGAGGTAGGAGATTAAATTTAAAAAAAAATAGCATGATGCAAAATGCATTTCATTGTCATCTTGTTGCTGAAAAACAGGACGTTGCATCACCTGAATCTTGGTTGCGGCTGGTTTGGCATCAGTGAGAGCCAGCGCGTAACCGCACATCCCGATGTCATCCTCCAGGACGAGGGCACACTGAGGGGAGGGGGAGATCTCCCCTGCCGCCAGGCTGCAGCGCATGAGAGGTAATGTTAGCAGGAATAAAAGCGGGAATACTACGTGAAGAGAAACATGACTTCTTACCAGTCACAGAGAAGTGGAGGTTGCGGCATCGGGGGGGCTTTGCCCTCTCCTACGCTCTGCATCTCCCTGAAAATTCTAAGCACCTCCAGCTAGTGCAGAAAAAAAGGAAATTGCGTAAAGTCAATGCTAATGTAAGTATCACAGTGTCTCTGATGAGCTGCTGACCTTGTCCTTGGTGCTGTACTGGCGTATGCTGTAAACCACAGTCATGGGAGGATGTCTGAACAGGTCCCGGTTTCCATGGCAGGGCAGCATTCTCTGCAAGTGCACACAAACACTGGACGAATGTGGACCTACGCTGGATAACGAGCGATCAGAAACAAGAAGAGATGCTAAAATAATCATCTTAAGTCCTGTTTAAAAGGTACCTGGATCTCTCCGGAGAGGCCTCCTCTGAAGCCCCAGGGTTCGGGATCGTCGTTCATCCGCTGGGCCGAGGGTCCACTCTCGCCTCCTAAAGACAACAGAACAACACAGCTCAGCGTAATGGATTAGGAAGACTCGCTTTAAATGTGCTCATTTTGAGCTGAGACCATTGCATTGACTTTTCACCCCTCACCCTGCACCTCGTTTGAAAATGGACAGTACGCCAGCAGGCCTTTCCTCCCCCCTCACTGTGCTCCTTTACAGGTCAGCATGTTCAATAGGTGCTAAAAGATTCTGTTTCTCTCACCGAGTGTTTTCACGTAGGCCTGAGCCAGACCGACCCCACTCTTGATGTCACAGATGTAGTCGTAGAGGTCGTACAGAATGCTGCGGTTCGGAGCGTTTGAGAGACGGTTGAACATCTGCACCACCGCTTCACAAATGGCGTCAAACTGCTGCGCTCTGCAGCGCCACTCTGCCGTCTAAAGAAACAATTTTAAAAAGGGTGAATTCTCAAGATGAGGACAATTGATCACATTATCTGAATCAAAAACACAAAACCGTGTCGGTCTCTGCAGCCACTGCCCAGCTGTGTCTCTTGAGCCAGTCCAGCTCCTGCAGCATGGTCCCGGCTGTCGGGCCGTGCTCGTACGGCAGGTGGAAGAGGTCGGTCAGCAGCCTCAGGTCATCCAGGGTCAGGGGCTCCGCTGTGTACAGCGGGTTCTCCTCGAGTCCGGGCACATAGGAGCTGCCTCCCGTGTCGTCGGACCTCTCCTTCTGGAGACCAGCTGGAGGACGACAAGGGCCCGGAGGGATGAGGAGCGCGACAACACGCTGTTGGGGGGGGGGTTAGCGTTAAAACAGCTGGTGGTTCAACGTTTGGCGCTCTACCTCCAGGTTGATCGGTGCTCAGAAACTCCTGCAGCCAGTCAGTGAGGGCCAGAGACAGGGCCCTCTGGGGGCTGTAGCCGGGGTCCTGCTCCTCATCGCCTGGTGAGGTCAGGTACATTTCTTATTATCCTTCTAATTGTGTCACTATTGAAGCTGATGGACGTGATAAAGAGGCAGCACAGAGAGTGTGGTTTCATTTTAAAAAAAAGAACTCACCCCTTTCCACATTGCTCTTTGATCCATCAGCGCTTGCTTTGCACCATGTAGCCAAGGTGTGGATGGCCACAAAGTTTGGGTAGAACTCACAGTTTGGATTGGTAAGCACTCCTCCCAGTTTGGGAATCAGCTCAGTGGGACGATCCTACCAGGAAGAGATCGTGTCCATTTTTTTCTGAATTCAGATCAGGCAGAAAATTATACAGACAACTCAATGTTTAAACTGACCTTAAAGGGTCCCATGAAAATCCTTTGGGGGTCGTAGTCATTTGCGTGGATATTGTCCCAGATGACTGGGGCCCTCTTCAGGACAGAGGACACCTCTTCTATGGACTCGACAGAGATTTTGTGGGACACCACTTTGGGACCTGAACAGCATAAATAAGACAGACAGAAGAAAGAAGAGGTGGCCTGTGTTATAAATCTGAACCGTTGGCTCCTATGTTGAGGTTGAGTGAGGTCCTGAGTCAGTGCAGCCTCACCAGTCCACAGTACGTCGATCCCAGGCAGCAGCTTCTCTCCCACCGTGTGCAGGTAAGAGGACTGGGACACATTCGGAGTACAGAATGCAGCACAATAATCTGGATTGAGAGGGACAGAGCAAGTGTGAATGATGGAAATCAGTGGGAAAAAAAGACAGCTTCATGGGTAAAATAAAAAGGCATCACGCATGCTTGAAACTCCCCCCGGCTGTGATCAGAAGGATTTGAAACGTAATACACACACGTCATATTTTTCCATTTTAGGTGTGCCTGACCTGTAGGACAGAAGAGGAAGGTCTCCGGCTCTCCCAGGTGCTGGTACACCGCATTGGTGACGGCCACCTGGGCGTGTGCGAAGGAGCTGAAGGCCCGTTTATCAGCCGCACACATCTCAGTCGCAATGTCGTCGAAGAGCAAAGAGAAGGACCTGCAGCCAAACTGTCTCACCTGAGGGACAGAGAGGACAGCTTGGGCTCTGAGGACGTTGAGGTCATCTTTGTTTTCTTATTCTCGACAATGTAAATTTCCTTGTTTGGATAGTAAAGTTATTGCAAAAGGAATAAAACCGACCACCTGCAGCCGTGTCGGCGCCATTGTTTGCCCTTTGACCCACTTTCAGCATATTAAAGGCTTCCAATTTACTGCTGCATGTTCCATATAAAGTAATACAGTGTCCAAACCGATCCCTCAGGGACCCATAAACTTTACTAGATTAAATGATCTCTCCTGCTCCACCCGTCATCTCTGCATAACAAGCACTACCTGATCCAGTTTCCTCTTCAGAGCGGCAACCTCTTTGGGGTTGGAGAAGGTGATGTCCAGGCCGGGAGAGATCGCATAGACGAACTCGACATCGTGCCGCTCGGCCGCTGATATCAGAGCGATCAGTTGCCCTGGAAATAGAATCAGAGATAAAAAAATATATTAAAAAAAAAAAAAAAACGTCCAGTGTCTTAGTGCACAACATGATTGAACAGGAGAGGCTCCAAAGTGAGCAATTAAAAGATGTGTCTGAGGAGATAACAACTGGACTTTGGTATGACACTGATAATAAAAGAAGAAAAAAAAGGACCACGTCTCTTTTTTTTTTCTCAGCCTAGTGGTTTAGTTGGTTAATGAGGATAGTTCATGGTTCTAATCCAGGTTCAGTTTGGGATATTTTTTGTGTATTCTTCCAAATATTGGTGTTCCACAACAATTCATTTTGACTCATTATCCTCAGATGCTGCCGTTTGGTCCTGTGTGCGTTTTTGTACCCAATTGCTAATGAGGCCACCCCTCATGTTCCAAGTTGTTCATGACAATGATATTGGCAAGATGTTATTTGGGACGTCATGCAATCACTTACAAGGACATGTGAAGGGCTGAAACTCACCTGCCTCCTCTGCAGTGTACAGATCCCTCCAGTACATCCTGTGTTTGTAGTCGTCCTTGGGGGCGTAAAGGTACGTGTTCAAACCCCACTTCTGCTCTCTGTGAAACCCGACACCAGAAAGGATTGTGAGTGCATTGGACCACAGGGTGTCTAAAGGGTCCTGAAAAGGAAACTAGGCATCGGGAGATGGCACATTTACGTTTCCTTGATCTTGTGTTGGTTTCCAATCCCCTGTATACAAGAGGACAGTATTTTCTATCCCTACTAACACATGCTTCATTTTTGGGCCATTACATGTTTGCATAGTTGCCTATTTTCACAGGTATATTAATGTATTTAGAAAGATTCATCTGATATTAGTCATTATTATAATATTGTGATTGTCATAAAACATTGTCAATTATTAAACGGAAATGAATGACAGACTATTCTTTAGATATTGTGGCATGTCCATCTGTGTTGGTGGGACTAAATGCACACCGAGTGCAAGGATGATTGACAGCTCATGGTTCTGACTGGTGTCGGTGTACTAAATACTAGTGTTACCGTCGTGTCAGTAGACTTTTATCAACACATCCAAATAAGGAGTCAATGCCATTTTCAGGACACGCTCTTGCTTTCAAAGTCGCCTTCAACCCCCCACTTCCAGTTGTGTCCGTGCACCTGTTCGACGTACCTTTCAAACAGCTCCGTTCTCTGCTCCATGGTCCATGGTCGCCCATAAAACCCTGCACCAAGCAAAGACCACGTCACGCACGTCCACTCTGTTGCCGCCCTCCTCATACCCCCATGCCCCCATACCCCGGACCACGGGCAGCTCACCTTCCACCACCCCACTGATGAAGCGCTTCGTCCCAGCGGGAGCTCGGCCCCCAGGTGCAGCCATGAGTTACAGATGTTCACTGACGCTCGGACGGAAGACCACAGGTCGCAGCTGCGCGTGCCGAATGGGTCGTAACGCCGCGTCCTCTCGCGCCTGCGCAGACGCGTCTGGTTTAAGCACCTTTAATGCCTACATGGTCTAAAGTCTGACGTTGTAAATGCTCCGAGCAACTAAAACTCAGCTCTTTGGTTGTGTGCATTGGCTGTTGTTGTTTCGGAGGACAGGAGCGTCCCCGCCCGTCGACGTCTTAAAGAGACAGGGTCCCTTTGTCTTAAAGGGACAGGTCTCCTTAAAAATACTGAACGGCACCTTATCAGGATTTTTCGTCACGTTGTTTGAATGTTTTTGTGATGCATTTATTGTACTCACAGCAATTTGACAAGTGACTGGTGTAAAATCAGCCACATACAATGTAAAGACTACTAACCAGGTAGTACCAATACTTCTAAGTATGCATAAAAGTACTCTGAATAGAAATTTGTATCCAATGAGTTTTTTTGGACCATGAATATGGAGATATTTAAACTGCCATCTCTTGAAAGATGCAGGTGTACTGATATCATAAATGATGCAGTTTAATTTAGGTGTGCTAGAAAGCTCTGGATAATCAATTGGAGTAAATGTATAATGTATGTTATTAGTTACAGCGGTTGTGTGTGTTCTTTGCCTGCAATGAGAAAGGGCCTAGCCTAACAAAACTCAATGAAACGTCGTTATCCCCAAATCCAATCCACACGCGTTGTCCACAAGCTGACAAAAACCCCTCACGTGGATGTGATCGGTGTGAATGACGTTAACTTAAGATATGAAGACAGCAGACTAAAACATGCAACTACTTTGTGCTGGGGTGTAAAGAGAGAGACACTATTACAAAGTTTTAAGATTAAGAACCAACATAAAAATACTGAAACGTGACAGTTCGGACAAATGTAACCAATCAGATTTAGAGCAAGAGCCCCCTAGTGCATGGTGGCTCCCTAGAATAGTTTTTTGGATGTAAAATAAGGTCAGGAAACACAATTATTTTAGAGCATTTTTTTATTATATATACATATATACACACACACACAAATATTCACAACTTGTATGTTGGAAAATGGAACAAAGCTCTTTGGTGGGTTCCACTGATAAGTTGTAGTCAAATAAACAGTAATTCATTTACATACATAACACATTAGAAACTGGATGCGTGTTAAGAGTCAAAACTTTAAATAAAAGAAGATAAAAGAATATGCTACATAAGTGCGAGCATCAAGCTCAGAGATTAAAGAAAAAAACCCGCTTTAGTCTTTGCTGTCTTGTCGTTGCTCTGCTAACTCTTTAATCCTCTCTGCGCCTGTTTCAGCAACGAATCGAAGTCGAGGTCCTCCGACCGGCTCTTGGCGGGAGCCGACTCTGCGTCTCTGTTTGCGTCTGAAATGGACATTTACGTTAACGTTAATAATACACACTTTCTTTAGCCGCTTTCCCGCGTTTAATTTGAATCAATTAATTCACATTCTGCAAGAAATAGCTACTCCTGGTTCAACCTTTTTTTGAGTCTCACCTAGGTCGGCGTAGTGGGTGTTACAGAACTGTCGCCTTCCACCGAAGCAGATGTCAAACGGCAGCTCATCCGGCTTCCGTAGCTTCCCGCCATTATCGATAGCCGCGAAAGCGTCGTCCATGTTGTAGAATGTGACAAAGGCGTAGTGGTCACTGCGGGAATCAGAGGGGGAGGGGCTTAAACAACCGACATCTACGGATGAACGGCAAAAACATTATGACGTCCGTTTCCGATCGTGGACCCTCACCCTCTATCCCTGAAGTGAAGCGACACACACTCCACGTCTCCGAACTGAGCGAAGCGCTCCCGCAGCTCGTTGTGTGTCATCGACCTGCGGATGCGGCCCACGTACACCACCCTGCGCTCGTCCTGCGCGACAGGATTTTCATCATCAGTCACTACTCGCCGCTCACAACAACACAAACGGGTGGCAGCGATATTTCACTCACTATGGCTTTGAGTTTCTGAATCCTGATCTCGTGCTCTCTCCTGAGCTTCCTGGACTCTCTGCTGCTGCAGGGGGAGAAGTCAGAGGAAGAAGGAGTCAGAGGTCAAGGTCATGAACTCCGTAGAGCCAGAAAGAGATGCAAGATAAACATATTTTTGTACACCGTAATTTTTTTTTTGAATGGAAAACTCCGACAGAAACTGACCTGCAAACATCTGTCCATTGTGTGCGGCAAACCAACGGGGAGGGAGATCGAGATCTGGAAGAGGACCGGGTCCGGGACCAGGATCTGGACCTGGACCTGCTCGTCCTCGATCTGGAGTAAGACCATTTGTAGCGCCGACGCCGGCAGCAGGAAGCGGACCGCGAGGGAGACGAGGACGAGGACGAGCTGCTCTCTGAGCGCTTGTGGCGGTTCCTGGAAGGAAAACGAGAATCAAGAAACGGAAGCAGAAACAAAGAAAAGAAGAAAAACAAAAAGACGAACGCGCAAAACAGCAGACGATGATTACTTTTGTCTTTTTGGGGACGGAGATGCAGAGCTGCAGGGGGACGAGGAGGAGGAGGACGAGCGGGAGCTGGAGTCGGAACAAGGAGATCTTCTCCGATACCGATTCCTCCCCCTACTCCTGCGGGGGGGGCTGGGCGTAGGTGTGGGAGGAGCGGATGGCGCCGTCTCGTCTCCAGCGGCACAAACGCAGGCCGGCTCAGCGGAAGCGGCGTCCGAGCGGCCGACGGCCGCGCACGGGCTCGTCTCCGATCTGGTCTTGAGCCGCTCGGAAAGATGCCGTAGCCCCGCGGCGTTATCAACGGCTCCGACGCCGGCCTCACTGCCGGAGGTCCGTCTCTCACATTCGGCAGCGGCAGCGTAGCCGCAGGCCGTCCCCTTCAGGTCGCCAGAGGTCAAACACACACCGTTGGATACAGAGGCTCCGGTAAGCGAGCGTCCCGCCGACCCGCAGTAATCGTGATCGGAGGACACGGAGGAATACGCGTGAGCAGAGAGGAGAGCAGCGGGGAGGCTTGTGTGAGTCTTCCGGGACGGGAGGGGACGGGGCTCGATTATCTGGATGGCCTTGGCCGGAGGATTTCTGCGTCTCGCTGGCAGATCTGGTCGAGTGCTGAGGATGATTTCAGTGCCGAGGGGCTCTGGGATCTCCGCACCCTCCAGCGCGTGAGGAGGCCGAGGCCTCCCGAGCGTCTCTGGATCCCCGGAGGCTTCCGAAGTGCTAAAAGGCTCAAATGCTTCTGTAGAGGTTTTCCGCGTTGCTGCAGCGATAGTTCTGTGCAAAGGATCGTCTGTTTGCAAGTTTGACCGCAAAGGAGCGGGTTTGGGCTCCGCCTCAATCTCGCACACTCTCTCCTCTTTAGCTGGAGGGGGAGGAATAAAAAGAGGTCAGCTGAGGAAGGAACATCAGCATCTGACACCACGGCGTTATCATTGCTCACCCTGCGTTTCCTCAAACCGCTCCAGCAGGCTGGTCAGGTCCAGCGCTTCGATCCCTGGAGTAGAAGAACAAACGAGACGTGAGATGCTGTTTCTTTATCAGTAAGGATCGTCAACGTGTCTCAAGTCAAATAAACAATTGTCAACAGCTTACCAGAGTCAGTGGCTGTGCTCTGGACAAGGAAACCAGGGGGGCGGACCTCCGACCCCGACCCGTCCGCTGGTGTGGGAGCATCTGCGGTAGCAGGGAGGGACGCACACAGTGTTGGACCTGAGGACGTCTTTGGCTCTTCTTCTTTAGTCGGGATCGGACTGCATCTTTGAGGCTGCAGCTTCTTGTCCCCTGAGGCAGCGTCGATTTGTTTTGAGGCTGCGCACAGCGCTGCAGGTGCTGCAGGGACAGCTGAAGCCCTCTCAGTGAGCCGGTCCTCCATTTCCTGGAACCGGGTGGTGCGGCCCTGGTTTACCAACATCACCTCGGGCGGATGCCCGGAGGAGGACGGCTTCCCAGAGGATTCATTTTGGATTCCTGGGAAGTGTCTGGTGCTGTGGTGGTCGAAGTCCCTGTTGAGGAGCTCCACTTTAGAGTTTGAGGATGAGGAGTCAGTGGTTGGCGATGTCGTTCGGCTAACTGACAGGGGGAGGAGGACGGGATTCGGGGGATCACTACTGCACAGCGATGGTTTCTTTAGTGAACCCCTCTTGCTTTCAGGCGCGGCCTCATTTGGCTTAGCCGTGACGTCTGGCTGCGACCCGGCAGACGAAAGGATTTTGGATTCGCTCCTTGAGCGCTTCAGTCCTCCGAGCCGCGGGTGAGTGGGTGGTTCGGGGCCCTGGGGGCGCCGCCCGGGCGCAGCAGGGACGGATCGCGTCACGTGACCTGGAGTTTGAGATAGAAGAAGCTGATCGGCACCGCTTCCTCTACCATCGGGGTGACGGTTGGCCGCCTTTGACCCGCAGCCGTTTGTTCCCTGTAAGCAGAGGATGGGGGTCAACTCCGTGGGGGGCTCAGAAACGCAGGGCCACATGGTGGTGTAGTTCCCCTGTTTCTCCACCAGAGGGTTTCTCTTTTGGCGCAGCTGTCTGTACTGTTGGAGGCTGAGGGACTTGGCCTTCGTCTCCCTTTTGAGAGACGGGACCGCCACCGGGTCGCTGCTCGTTTCTGAGGACAGCGTTTGGCGTGGAACCGACGCAGCTCCGCTCGTGTGCCCAGTTGTTACATTTCTCTCGTTCAGTCCCACTTCTGTTGATTCGAGTGGCGCCACTTGAACGGGGCCAAAGCTCACCCTTTTCTTCTCTCTGGATGGTGGAGCTCCGGATGAGTTTCCATTCAGCAGCACACTCTTCAAAGAGACGTCATTAGCTCCGTTTTCCGCTCGCTCTTCTTCCTCCCTTGTATCCGTCACCGTTACCTCATCGTCAGACACAACGTTTATCTCTTCATCGCACTCCTCTCGGGGTCTCTCGTACTTCCACACCTCCTCCTGAGAGAATAACGCATGCCCACTCCTCAGTTCATCGTCCCCGTCCTCTTCGACGTGCAGCTTCAGGCAGTACGGGTGCATGAGCTTCACCAGGTTGACGAGAGAAGTCGAGGTGAAAACCTCGATGTCAGTCTCCTCTTTCTTGTTTCCGAGGAAAAGGTTTTTACTTCTGCGTTTGGACCGCTGAGGAGGGCCGTTTCTCTCCATTTTGCTCTGATCTTTGGCTCCATCGATCTTCATTGTGAACGTTACGTTTGGCGATTTGGATCTTGGTCTAAGTCTGTCAGCAACGGATGGTTCCTGAAAAGAAGAGAGACATGAAACCGCAGAAATATTAATAATGGGAATAATTATATACAAATGTGCTTAGTTGAACATCATAACCACGAGGAAATGTCTCTGGAGATTTATTTCCAAATAAGTCCCTTCAAGCTTGTGCCTCTTGATCCTGTGTGTGGACCCACCGCTGAGGGGTCCCTGCCCTGTGGGTGGGCGAGGAGCTTGGTGTCTGGCAGGGTGTCAAAGGGAGACAGAGTTCTGTCGTCGTCCTCCACGCTGTCCAGCATCTCGGTCAGGGCCGACAGCAGAGTCTCACTCTCTTCCTCCGCTCCAATCTTATACTAAAAAGGAGCACAAGGTTTATATTATTTCACACGCAGATTTTACATATTGTACCAACGTGTGCGAAGTGTTGAAACTCACTCCACAACAAAAGGAAAGACGGTGTCTTTTAAAACTGCTAATTTAGGCAAAGTTGTGATTTAAGTCTGACCTCTGACGAGACGGCGGAGTCTTCAAAAATGGCCAGGATTGAGTGATCGATGCAGGACTGGGTGTCCATCTCCACGCCTCCCACTCTGCTCAGGGCCAACTGCAGACACAGAAACACACACACATTTGTCCAAACCATTAAAAAAAAATCATAGAGGGGTGCTGCGCGGATGGTCCGGTCGACACTGGGGGGACGGTGGGGGGGCACAGTGTCCTTTTCTCAATAATCGTTCTCATGTGGACTTGTGTTCTGTCCGTCAGACGTCCCTGCCCCTCCACGTTTGTTATGAGGTGTGGAGCGAGTGGGGGCAAGTGTCCGTAGAACTTTTACAGTTCACAGTTTACAAGGTAAAGTGGGCAAGATATTCAGACTTCCCGGTTCTTCCCGTTGTTAAAACACAAAGGACGCCTCTCTGTGACCGTGGTGATGTCAACAACCAGCTGCAAGGAGCCATATCTAAGTCACAATTTGACTTTCTAACCTTTTTCTTTGTGGGAGAAATGGGCTTCCATAGTGTCTAGTGTGCCAGGCTTGTTATTGTCTATCATTGTGCATTAAAACTAACAATGTTTTAATTAAAGGACATGAGGACCGTCATCGAGACGCTAAACCGGCAGCTTGACTTCAGCTTCAAAGAATCTCTGAAGACCCGACATTTTTATAATAATAAATAAATATTTTCCACATGTGAATTATTGTGTATTTCTCTAAGCTATATAATGCTTGGTCAGCTGCTTCCATATGCTTGAAAATGTTTCTATTTATTTCATTGTTTGAAAATGTAAGAGTTCACCTATCTAGCTGTAGCATCATTGATCCCTGCATTATAGATTAAATACTTTGTTAAGCACTAATAAAACTGCACATATAAAACTGCAGCCTCATGGATCACTATATCATAGATATTAAATACTATGACGTTAATCACTAATGCTGTCACCTGTCTTACGGTATGTAGCCTCATTGATCACTATATTATATACATAAAATACTATGAGGTTAATCACAATTGTCATGTTTGTGCATTTAACTGGAGGAGGACCACCATACTGATTATCGGCCTCTTAAGGTTTTAGTATAGAAAAATGCATTGATAAAACATTTTTATAGTGTTTTAAATGAAACTATCGTGCTACAAATGTATTGATATGAACAAAAAAATGTTATTCAACTAAAAGAAAATTGTGAAAAATGTAGATTATGACCTTACATAGTTTGTATATTTACATGTGATATGTTGTCAGAGCTACACTATAAAACCAAAGATATTTGGTCTACTATCATGAGAAATGAATGACAGCCAATGAAAACCATCCAACATCTGGAAAGGTGGAACCGGTGAATGAGATCTCACTCCACTGATTCCTTAAGAGCATAAAACAGCTGTCTTCTCAAAGCAGATGACATTATGTAAACGTGTCACTAACCCTGTCCCTCGAGGTGCAACACCTTTACTTGAGACAGAAGTGTACTAGGAGACACATTGAGAGGGGTGACAGCCGACTGCGTCTGCCCGGAAACAGACCGAATTAAATCTGTTAATTGTCAAATTTACGACTAGTTGGAGAGGAGTCAAAGGCCGGTGAGCAGGGACATCCTGTACTACGAGGGGACACCCTGTACTACACAGGAAGTGAACCGGTCTCTGCGTCAGCTTTCACGTGTAAGTCAGTGACGATTGAGAAGCGCGTGAACTAATCGATTGAATGTTCATATGCACCCGGCTGCACGAGCCCAAACATCAGGTTAATATACGACCTCGGGCCGGGGTAGTACAAGTACCTCGGTCGTGGAAGTAGTACTACCTCGGGTCGGGATACTAGTAACTAATACTACTTTGGGTCGGGATAGTAATACTACCTTGGGTCGGGATAGTAATACTATCTTAGGTCGGGATAATAGTACTAACTCAGGTCGGGATAATAGTACTACCTCGGGTCGCCAGGGTCGGGGTAGTAGTACTAGTACCTCGGGTCGGGGAGGTAGTACTACAAGCGTGTATCAGCCACGTGTCGGGATGCACGCATGTGGCCTCGCGCTCACCCTGATAAAGCGCGTAAACCCGTTCGCGTTCAGTTATATTAATGTCTTTTAGCTAATATTAGCAAACCGGTACCTCATTGGTAGCGCTGCTGGCCAGAAAGTTGCTGTTGCCGGCATTTAAATCCCCGTCTTCCCCCCTCCACCGCGCCGCCATCTTGCCGCTCCACATGGTCCGCCGGCAGGCCAGAGAGAGACACGTGGTCACAGAATCGAAGCGCGCGAAAAGCACCGATCTGGGATCAGATTCGCATCCACATTTCCTTTAGTAAAGATGCGGAAATGAGTAGATATCAGATCCAAGGTCCGCTAGACGTTTTCCTCGTGGTCGATTTATTTCTCTTTAAAAGTTGCTCCACATTGCTGAAAATACTTAGTGGAACATTACTGTTTTTGATTTTCATTATTTGTTCATTTGTTCGGTCAAAAAATATAGTGTGTACATATATATCTGTGACAATTGATGCATTTAATTAACATATTATTTGCTGCTTCTATATATCATGTTATCACAATGTCATATGAATTAGCATTTATGCTAGTACAGTTTCTGACAGGATTTTCTCATTTTAATTAGAATATTCTTTATTGCACAGCAGTGACATCTTGTGTCAAAATGACAGTACAGCAATTATTGAAATACAGTATCACGTGGGTTATATACCTGTCATTTACAAATCTTGCATAGTCAACTGTACTAATAAATTACGTGCAGTGTTAAAAAACTGCACTTGTATGGTGTATGTAAAATTTGGAAAACCATGTGAAATAAACCTATTAAGTTAATGATAGAATGGTAGAGGTGATAATGTGCAGCTTTACTGGAATCGGTCCTACGGTGGTTTCTCGTAAAGCAAAGCAAAGAGTGTGTCTGCTCCCTGTCGCTTGCCTCGTCACAGAACAAATAGAGATTATCTTCCAGTTTAGAGATTGCAATATTTATGTGTTGACTTTGCCGATTGATGTGTGCGCACATCCTCCACCTTGGCGTGGTTTGCTGTCGGAGACTAACAACATTGTTTATAGCCTGTTCCACCCACAGAGGTCCGGCTTTAAGACTTTGTGTTCATTTAAATGTTCATTCCCCTGAACACACAAGATCATAATATTTGGACACGTTTAAATGTGTTCACCGCTTGTGTTTTATTTCATTTAAATGAATCCAGTCAGACCAGTCCGACCTAACCAACTGACATAAAGTTTGTCGCATATCTCCAGCCACACCGTAACCAGGTGAGGGTGAGCAGCAGTGGTTTAAACATCTGCTTCTGTGGAATGCAATCTAAAGTCATAACATCTCAAATGGCTATTTCCTCCAATCCCAGCCAACACGACTCATGACATGATTAAAACTCAATGAGTTCTAGTCTTTACGCTAAGCTAAATGACTGCTCAGGCGTGTGATTATTTGTGCACACGGGAGAGTAGTATGAAGCTTCTCTTCTAACTCAGAATGAGTATCTTGTCCCTCAAAGCGGCTCTGTATAAAGCGAGGGTTGCATTAGCCTCGCAAGCTAAGTGTCATGAATTAAATAAAAGTAAATTGTGTTTTAGTCTCAGTTTTAGAGCAGTGGGGAACTTCATTGAGCGATCCGGAGGTTCAATGGATTCTAGATTCCCACATGAAGAAAACAAGTTATTGTTCTAGTTTACACTTGTTCGCATGTCAGAGGGGATGATGGAAATGTAGACGACCTGTAAGGCATTGCCTTTGTTTGGTAGGAGCTGTATTTACCATTCTGAATACTTAAAAAGCAGCAAGCAACCAATATGTACGAATAAATTGATTACGGTATTTAAAACTCTAATGACTAATCACACACTGTATGTTCTGTGTGTAGTAAAGCTTCCTTTCCGTGATTTAGTTTCTCCACCAGGTGGTGGTGACATTAAACATTTCCCATTAACTTCTGCTCCGACTTTCTGCTCTTCAACGAGCCCTCTGACGTTGTGAATGAGTTAATTCCCAGGGATCTGGTTGCCCCATGCGAGCCGCATATCTGCAATGTATGCCAATCAGACATTATCATATCTGAATGAAATAGTTTCTTAATCAAATTCAGGTTCACGGCCTCTTGGTTTTATGCGACGTTATCTTGTATCATCTCGCTGTTTGTCTGTGGAGGGCTGTGGATGTGTCTGGCCCGTTATCTCGTGCATACCGGCGAGGAGATGACCTTTCTGCTGAATGTCACAGCGGGACACCGAGTCATCGGCTGCACTAGATTAGTCGGGAGAGAAATATGTTCACAGACACGCGCTTTGACAAGGCACCGCAGACTCTCTGTTCATTCGTCGTGATGCAGGCAGCCAGCTGGTGTGAACCCGTCCTCGCTTCCATACATCTGCTCAGTGACCTCTATTTGTTTCCCCTTTTTGTGTTTTCTTTGCTTTTGCCCTTAGGCCCACATTTTCTTCTGTACCGTTGCTCCAACTCTCTTCATCCCCGCCACACACACACACACACACACACACATACACACGCACAAACACGCACACACACGCGCCACCTACGGCTTCATCTCCCTCAACTCTTAGCATATTACTGTCTGAAATGGGGCCAAAGCATCCTCCAGTCTGCAGCGGGTGAGGTGCGAGTTAGTTCAGGAGCGTGCAGGGGCATTTCTAAGTATGTGTGTGTGTGTGTGTGTGTGTGTGTGCGCTCAGGAGAGGGGAGTTGTGTGTAAGTGGGTCACCTTACTCCAGTCACCATGTTGGTTGGTACGTGGCCTCTGCACATACACATACGTAGATTTAACCCGCCCTCCTTCCGCGGGCCCCATTTCCCCCACTTGGGCCAGTGCTTTTAGTTTGAAATGTAAAAGTCACTCAGTCGCCTCGTAAACAGACATTTGTTCCTAATTCCCTTCAGCTCTTCAGAGCTGCCTGTCATCCCTTCCTCACTCTTGACCTACAGGATGACTCCCACGCTGCTCTTTGGCATGTTTGCATTTTTAAAGAACCCATGAGGTCTGGGGAGTCATGCATATGCGTTCCTCTCTCTGCCTCCCTCACACCTGCTGCTTTGTGTGTGTGTGTGTGAGCATTTGTCTATACGACCTGCAGTCGTCTGTGCTGCCCAGTCATTTGTTTTGCGTGCGTACTTCAATGACCTTTCAGATATTGTGTAACGCTGCGTTTTAAAAAGGCAAAAGCAATCTGATCTTTAACTCGACACCGTCTCAGAAGAGTGCAGCAGGACACGCAGGCGGAAGCAGTGTTGCCATCATGCTCTTTGGATTTTTTCCTTACTTGATGTAAGCCTCCTTTTTTTTCTTTTTTTCAAGCTTTCAGAGCAGAGAAGAGGAATGTCCTCCCACATAGTGCCGAGAACATCTGTTGGTGGGAAATGAAGGCCTGAGAGAGAAAGAAGAGGAGGAGGAGGGGGATTTATATCAATACAAGTGGGGCAGAAGAGAGGTGGCAAAGAAAGAACAACAACAACAACGCATGCACAGAGGAGAGAGAGAGAGAGACTGACATCCGCTGGAGGAGACCATCCCTTCCCACACACATTCAAAGGTGAGAGCCAGAGACCTTCATGGCGTGGACGTTGGCTGGGCACGTGCGCACACAAACACACTTGTGTTACACGTGGTAACAGAAGCCTGCATCAATAATGTAGCAGAGAGAAACAGGATGCAGATTGTCCCTTACATAAGCGTTTACACAGAGCTGGCAGTCTCAGAACAGTCCCCCTCATTCTCTGCTGTGCCCTCAGGCTCGATGCGCATACGATGTTCTCAAGCTAATTAACCGCCACGTTTGCCATCCAAACAACTTTTCAAGATGAAGTGTGCTGCAACAAAGGCACGACATCGACGCGCAGCGATTTTTAACTTCAGTCTACTGACTTTTACTCCGCGGAGGCGACGTTTTTACAGAAGCGTTTTCCATTAGTCCCCAAATTGCCAGATTTTACTTTACTGAAGGTTCATTAATGAAACAAGCCTGTTTGTAGTGAGCATAGCAAGTGTGTTGGCACAGCAGGAATCCTTTAACATTAATGGCCTGAGAACTGAACTGTGTTGTGCAGTTGTGACAGGTCGCAGATCAGGAGTGTGACTCGAAATTTCACAAGTAGTTCAGAGTTATGTTTAAATCAACCATAAAACTGCCCTTCCGGATTTAATTAGGGTTATGAATATGCACATGAATCAAGGAGCGTACGAATAAATAATAAAGGCGACTGATTTTTGATTCGCTCCTCAAAATTCTTTCCTCTTCTCCATTTTCTTCTCTGGTGCCTTTTCGCCGCCTTCCTGTTTGTTTGCGCTATCTGTGTTTCCTTCTGTGGCCTTTGCGTGTCCGCTATTTGACTGTTATGTGGGCTTTGACTATCTGTTAACTGGCAAAATGTTGTTGTGTGTTTGTGTTTGTGTACAGACGTAATTATGGTGAGGTGAAAGACGGTGTGTTTTCTGCACACATTTGTTCAAAAGTATGAACTCGTCAAACCGTCTCTATGAATCCGATAATGTGGGCAGATATATGTGTGAATCACAGTTTTCATTTGCAAACGTGTGTGTGTGTCTACAAGCTCATCATGCTGGTGCTATCCTTTTTCTGCCACATTGCCATGGCGACAGTGCCCTCCCGGGGTAATGGGGGACGAGTGCGCCAGAGCTATTTATTCTCTCTTTCTCCCTCCCTCCCGCCCTCCATCCATCCATCCATCCATCCATCCATCCATCCGTCGCCCTCTCTTTTCCTCTCTCTCTTTTCATCGCTGCCCTCTTCCTCCTCCAACCTCCCTGTCTCTCTCCTTCTCCCTCCTTCCTCTGCTCTTTCTTCCCCTCTCTGATTGGCTTACCACTCTCCTCCTCACTCCTCCTCAATGCTGCCTAATGAGACAGAGGGTTAGGAAGGGAAGGAGGGAGACAAAGAGCAAGTGTCTTTAAAAAAGCGAAACAGAAATCCCTGGAGGAGGCGATCTCTGCAGACTTGTGTTGCATATACAGAGCCATCTTAACAAAACTGCCATGTCTTTTTTGGAGGAAAACTGTACAGAATGACTAAAATCCTACATTTAGCCGTCTGTATTGTGTGTGTACTGTAATGCACATACTCTCTTGAGGTGTGACCATGTGAGCTGAAGGCTCAGCTCGGGTCGTGACCTTTTTTAAACGGTTTGAAGATTGCGAAATATTTGTAAATGTTCATCAGGGGCCATTACCCCCCACGGGTCCAGGACCATAATT